ACCCTAGCCACATCCACCATCCTATCCACATCCACCACCCTAGCCACATCCACCACCCTAACCACATCCACCACCCTAACCACATCCATCACCCTAGCCACATCCACCATCCTAGCCACATCCACCATCCTAGCCACATCCACCACCCTAACCACATCCACCACCCTAACCACATCCACCACCCTAGCCACATCCACCATCCTAAACCACACCATCCACCACCCTAACCACATCCACCACCCTAACCACATCCATCACCCTAACCACATCCACCACACTAGCCACATCCACCACCCTAACCACATCCATCACCCTAACCACATCCACCATCCTAAACCACACCATCCATCACCCTAACCACATCCACAACCCTAACCACATCCATCACCCTAGCCACATCCACCATCCTAGCCACATCCACCATCCTAGCCACATCCACCACCCTAACCACATCCACCACCCTAACCACATCCATCACCCTAGCCACATCCACCATCCTAGCCACATCCACCATCCTAAACCATACCATCCACCACCCTAACCACATCTATCACCCTAGCCACATCCACCATCCTAGCCACATCCACCATCCTAAACCACACCATCCATCACCCTAACCACATCCACAACCCTAGCCACATCCACCACCCTAACCACATCCAGCATCCTAAACCACACCATCCACCACCCTAGCCACATCCACCATCATAGCCACATCCACCACCCTAGCCACACCCACCACCCTAACCACATCCACCACCCTAACCACATCCATCACCCTAACCACATCCACAACCCTAACCACAGCCACCACCCTAGCCACATCCACCACCCTAACCACATCCACCATCCTAACCACATCCACCACCCTAACCACATCCACCATCCTAGCCACATCCACCACCCTAACCACATCCACCACCCTAGCCACATCCACCACCCTAACCACATCCACCACCCTAGCCACATCCACCACCCTAACCACATCCACCATCCTAACCACATCCACAACCCTAACCACATCCACCACCCTAACCACATCCACCATCCTAAACCACATCCATCACCCTAGCCACATCCACCACCCTAGCCACATCCACCATCCTAAACCATACCATCCACCAGCCTAACCACATCCACCACCCTAACCACATCCATCACCCTAGCCACATCCACCATCCTAGCCACATCCACCACCCTAAACCACACAATCCATCACCCTAGCCACATCCACCATCCTAGCCACATCCACCACCCTTGCCACATCCACCACCCTAACCACATCCAGGACCCTAACCACATCCACCATCCAAACCACACCATCCACCACCCTTGCCACATCTATCACCCTAGCCACATCCACCATCCTAGCCACATCCACCATCCTAAACCACATCATCCACCACCCTAACCACATCCACCACCCTAACCACATTTACCACCCTAACCACATCCACAACCCTAACCACATCCACCACCCTAGCCACATCCACCACCCTAACCACATCCACCACCCTAACCACATCCACCATCCTAAACCACACCATCCATCACCCTAACCACATCCACCACCCTAGCCACATCCACCACCCTAACCACATCCATCACCCTAACCACATCCACCATCCTAAACCACACCATCCATCACCCTAACCACATCCACAACCCTAACCACATCCACCACCATAACCATATCCACCACCCTTACCACATCCATCACCCTAGCCACATCCACCATCCTAGCCACATCCACCATCCTAGCCACATCCACCACCCTAACCACATCCACCACCCTAACCACATCCATCACCCTAGCCACATCCACCATCCTAGCCACATCCACCATCCTAGCCACATCCACCATCCTAAACCATACCATCCACCACCCTAACCACATCTATCACCCTAGCCACATCCACCATCCTAGCCACATCCACCATCCTAAACCACACCATCCACCACCCTAACCACATCCACCACCCTAACCACATTTACCACCCTAACCACATCCACAACCCTAACCACATCCACCACCCTAGCCACATCCACCACCCTAACCACATCCACCACACTAACCACATCCACCATCCAAACCACACCATCCACCACCCTAGCCACATCCAACATCCTAGCCACATCCACCATCCTAAACCACACCATCCATCACCCTAACCACATCCACCACCCTAGCCACATCCACCACCCTAACCACATCCATCACCCTAGCCACATCCACCATCCTAAACCACACCATCCATCACCCTAACCACATCCACCACCCTAACCACATCCATCACCCTAGTCACATCCACCATCCTAGCCACATCCACCATCCTAGCCACATCCACCACCCTAACCACATCCACCACCCTAACCACATCCATCACCCTAGCCACATCCACCATCCTAGCCACATCCACCATCCTAAACCATACCATCCACCACCCTAACCACATCTATCACCCTAGCCACATCCACCATCCTAGCCACATCCACCATCCTAAACCACACCATCCACCACCCTAGCCACATCCACCACCCTAACCACATCCACCACCCTAACCACATCCACCACCCTAACCACATCCACCATCCAAACCACACCATCCACCACCCTAACCACATCCATCACCCTAACCACATCCACCACCCTAACCACATCCACCACCCTAACCACATCCACCACCCTAACCACACCATCCACCACCCTAACCACATCCACCACCCTAACCACACCATCCACCACCCTAACCACATCCATCACCCTAGCCACATCCACCACCCTAACCACATCCACCATCCTAACCACATCCACCACCCTAACCACACCATCCACCACCCTAGCCACATCCACCATCCAAACCACACCATCCATTACCCTAACCACATCCACCATCCTAAACCACACCATCCATCACCCTAACCACATCCATCACCCTAGCCACATCCAACATCTTAGCCACATCCACCATCCTAGCCACATCCACCACCCTAACCACATCCACCACCCTAACCACATCCATCACCCTAGCCACATCCAACATCCTAGCCACATCCACCATCCTAGCCACATCCACCATCCTAGCCACATCCACCACCCTAACCACATCCACCACCCTAACCACATCCATCACCCTAGCCACATCCACCATCCTAGCCACATCCACCATCCTAAACCATACCATCCACCACCCTAACCACATCTATCACCCTAGCCACATCCACCATCCTAGCCACATCCACCATCCTAAACCACACCATCCACCACCCTAGCCACACCCACCACCCTAACCACATCCACCACCCTAACCACATCCACCACCCTAACCACATCCACCATCCTAACCACAGCCACCACCCTAACCACATCCAGCATCCTAAACCACACCATCCACCACCCTAGCCACATCCACCATCCTAGCCACATCCACCATCCTAACCACATCCACCACCCTAACCACATCCACCATCCTAGCAACATCCACCACCCTAACCACAGCCACCACCCTAACCACATCCACCACCCTAACCACATCCACCACCCTAACCACATCCACCATCCTAGCCACATCCACCACCCTAACCACAGCCACCACCCTAACCACATCCACCACCCTAACCACATCCACCACCCTAACCACATCCACCATCCTAAACCACACCATCCATCACCCTAACCACATCCATCACCCTAGCCACATCCAACATCCTAGCCACATCCACCATCCTAGCCACATCCACCACCCTAACCACATCCACCACCCTAACCACATCCATCACCCTAGCCACATCCAACATCCTAGCCACATCCACCATCCTAGCCACATCCACCATCCTAGCCACATCCACCATCCTAGCCACATCCACCATCCTAAACCATACCATCCACCACCCTAACCACATCTATCACCCTAGCCACATCCACCATCCTAGCCACATCCACCATCCTAAACCACACCATCCATCACCCTAACCACATCCACAACCCTAGCCACATCCACCACCCTAACCACATCCAGCATCCTAAACCACACCATCCACCACCCTAGCCACATCCACCACCCTAGCCACACCCACCACCCTAACCACATCCACCACCCTAACCACATCCACCATCCTAACCACAGCCACCACCCTAACCACATCCAGCATCCTAAACCACACCATCCACCACCCTAACCACATCCATCACCCTAACCACATCCACCACCCTAACCACATCCACCATCCTAGCAACATCCACCACCCTAACCACAGCCACCACCCTAACCACATCCACCACCCTAACCACATCCACCACCCTAACCACATCCACCATCCTAGCCACATCCACCACCCTAACCACAGCCACCACCCTAACCACATCCACCACATCCACCACCCTAACCACATCCACCACCCTAACCACATCCACCATCCAAACCACACCATCCACAACCCTAACCACATCCACCATCCTAGCCACATCCACCACCCTAACCACATCCATCATCCTAACCACATCCACCACCCTAACCACATCCACCACCCTAACCACATCCACCACCCTAACCACATCCACCACCCTAACCACATCCACCATCCTAACCACATCCACCACCCTAACGACATCCATCACCCTAGCCACATCCACCACCCTAACCACATCCACCATCCTAACCACATCCATCACCCTAACCACATCCACCATCCTAAACCACACCATTTCATCACCGTAACCACATCCACCACCCTAACCACATCAATCACACGAGCCACATCCACCACCCTAGCCACATCCACCATTCTTAACCACACCATCCATCACCGTAACCACATCCACCACCCTAACCACATCTATCACCCTAGCCACATCCACCATCCTAGCCACATCCACCATCCTAAACCACACCCACCACTCTAGCCATATCCACCATCCTAAACCACACCATCCACCACCCTAGCCACATCTACCATCCTAAACCACACCATCCACCACCATAAAGAGACAAAGGACCTACCATCCACAGCGATGTCAATGTTTACATAAGCCACCGCCCTCTCTCTCAGTGTAGCCACGTATTGCTTAAATCAGGAAAAAGTTGACAGAAAATGAGATCAAGCCATACACTTTCATACTAAAACATGCTACATAATATGGCCACATATTTGTATGTATGTATGTTGATTGTTTTTTATTTTGAGTATGTTGAAAGTTGGTGTGTACATAATGTTGTATTTTAAATAATTTCAAATTCAAATACGTAGTGATACGAACCCACTAAGTAAAAACTATAAATTAAACAAACTTACCCACAAAACGCTAACTGACCACCTAACCAAAACTAACCCATAAACCCAAACTGACCAACTAATCCATACTGACCACTTAACTAAAACTGATCACCTAACCTAAACTGACTAACTAACCAAAACTGACCACCTAACCAAAACTGACCAACTAATCCAATCTGACCAACAGATCTAAACTGACCAACAAACCCAAATTGGCCCCAACCCAAAGTGACCCCTAACCTAAACTGACCTCTACCCATTCTGTTGAGCCAATCAGTCCGAACTCCTCAGCTCCCCAGGAACAAAACACAATAGATCGTCGTGGTCTCCACTGGCCTGAGGGATGAATACAACATCAATAACAACATCAACTACAACATTAATTACAACATCAATAACAAAAACAGTATCAAGAACTGTTAAATATGTTCACCGCTTTGTTTAACATTACAGCTACACATAGAAACACAGACACACATACACAAACAAAATATGTATATTCATATAGATTTATCAATGAAAGTATATGGGTTTGTGAATTTATGGGTGTGTGGGATTGTTCTATACGCAGGAAGATCCTTTAAACCGAACGTAGGCGATCACTAGTGAGCCCGGGGCGCTTTATCACACTTTGCCAGGGCGCCAAATTGCACACTACTGGGGCGCCGCCCCTTAGAAATTTAACTTTATTTGTTCACAAGGAATATTTCAACTACTTCTCTTAAGCTGAATGATGAATAATAATGCATAAAAGACAAATGGATAGACTAACGGAAATCCTTTAATTTTTTAAATTCATAAATAGATTACCAATGGCTATCTGAAGACATGTTAACTTCATTTTGTCGAAACTCAAGATTTATTACCCAGGTAATACTGATCATTATTTTAGAAGGGAAGGCCCAAAGGGAAACAACCAAGTTAATATTTTTTTCAAAATAATCTAAGCCTTGTTAATTCCTCTGAATATTCATTCAAAATTCAATAATATTTTCCACATTATTCTTCATTTTATCCAGGGTTCAAAATTAATCTCTTCCCAGCAGAAACCCTAACGGGGTTATTCTCACCAACTCCAAAAAGATTCATGGCGATTGGATGAAGGGTGTAGTAATACATGAAGAACAAACCTACACATCCAGAAATATACAAAACCACATACTGTCATATATATATATATATATATATATATATATATATATATATATATATATATATATATATATATATATATATATATATATATATATATAATCTCTACATCTACATCTACATCTACGTCTACATCTCTCTCTCTCTCTCTCTCTCTCTCTCTCTCTCTCTGTATATATATATATATATATATATATATATATATATATATTTACTTCACCTTACCAAACACATTTTTTACCTAACTGTACCAATACCTGTTTACCTAACTGTACCAAACACCTTTTTACCTGGCTGTACCAGCAACTCTTTACCTGACTGTACCAAACACCTGTTTACCTGACTGTACCAAACTTCTGTTTACCTGACTGTACCAAACACCTGTTTACCTGACTGTACCAAACACCTGTTTACCTGACTGTACCAAACACCTGTTTACCTGACTGTACCAAACACCTGTTTACCTGACTGTACGAGCGCTCCCATGACCCTGGCCACCTCCAACATAACGGCTGTACCACTGGAGGGGTCAATGGCCCCATAGATCCAGGCGTCACGATGGTTACCAATGAGAACGTAGCGATCTGTAAACAAATCAGATGGTCACTACTTGACCACTATACCAGTTTTAAAACATGCTATATATGGCTGTCAGTATAAACTCACCTGGACGTCAGTATAAACTGACCTGCATGTCAGTATAAACTCACCTGGATGTCAGTATAAACTCACCTGGATGTCAATATAAACTCACCTGGATGTCAATATAAACTCACCTGGATGTCAATATAAACTCACCTGGATGTCAGTACAAACTCACCTGGATGTCAGTATAAACTCACCTGGATGTCAGTATAAACTCACCTGGTTGTCAATATAAACTCACCTGGATGTCAGTATAAATTTACCTGGATGTCAGTATAAACTCACCTGGATGTCAGTATAAACTCACCTGGATGTCAGTATAAACTCACCTGGATGTCAGTATAAACTCACCTGGATGTCAGTGTAAACTCACCTAGATGTCAGTGTAAACTCACCTGGCTGTCAGTATAAACTCACCTGGATGTCAGTATAAACTCACCTGGATGTCAGTATAAACTCACCTGGATGTCAGTATAAACTCACCTGGATGTCAGTATAAACTCACCTGGATGTCAGTATAAATTTACCTGGATGTCAGTATAAACTCACCTGGATGTCAGTATAAACTCACCTGGATGTCAGTATAAACTCACCTGGATGTCAGTATAAACTCACCTGGATATCAGTATAAACTCACCTGGATGTCAGTATAAACTCACTTGGATGTCAGTATAAACTCACCTGGCTCGACGAATCCTCTGATGATACCAAACACATTGTCAGCTTTAGCTCTCTCGTTTTTGGATGTGACATTCAACTCAATTTTCCTGGGATAATAAATAATTAAAATCAATTTTCCTGCGACAATAAATAATTTGACTCAATTTTCCTGGGATAATAAATAATTTGAATCAATTTTCCTGGGATAATAAATAATTTGACTCAATTTTCCTGCGACAATAAATAATTTGAATCAATTTTCCTGTGACAATAAATAAAGAGCTTTAAATATTTTTTTTTTATTATTATTGTGAGACATGGACTTTCTCCATCTGTAGAAAAACAGTACTGGACTTGATGAACTTACCAGCCTGAGTGTATGAAGGTAGGTCCTAAGTGGTAGGTCACGTTCAGACCACCCTGCCAACTAGATGGTGCGCGGGGTCCCGACATGGACCTGGGGTAGGGGAGGTGAATCAAAATCAATTGAGAATAGAACAACCACACGAACACAAACTTGATAGTCTGCCACTATCCCCCACATACCTGCCACTATCCCACACATACCTGCAACTATCTCACACATACCTGCCACTATCCCACACATACCTGCCACTATCCCACACATACCTGCCACTATCCCACACATACCTGCCACTATCCCACACATACCTGCCACTATCCCACACATACCTACCACTATACCACACATACCTGCCACTATCCCACACATACCTGCCACTATCCCACACATACCTGACACTATACCACACACAATATCTGCCTCTATCCCACACATACCTGCCACTATCCCACACACAATACCTGCCAATATCCCACACATACCCGCCACTATCCCACACATACCTGCCACTTATAAATGCTCTAAAATCTTACTTGATTATGTGAATGGCAGCCCCATAGCCGATGGGATGAGATGGAATTTTGGGCAGTGGAGGTTTGACTTTGTCTTGAGGATAACGATAAGCGAGATCTAAAGGACACGCATGAAGGGTTTAAAGTTTTAGATTTCAGAATAATGGAAGGCAAGAACTAAAGGACACACATGAAGGGTTTAAAGTTTTAGGTTTCAGAATAACGGAAGGCAAGAACTAAAGGACACACATGAAGGGTTTAAAGTTTTAGGTTTCAGAATAACGGAAGGCAAGAACTAAAGGACACACATGAAGGGTTTAAAGTTTTAGGTTTCAGAATTACGGAAGGCAAGAACTAAAGGACACGCATGAAGGGTTTAAAGTTTTAGGTTTCAGAATAACGGAAGGCAAGAACTAAAGGACACGCATGAAGGGTTTAAAGTTTTAGGTTTCAGAATAACGGAAGGCAAGAACTAAAGGACACACATGAAGGGTTTAAAGTTTTAGGTTTCAGAATAATGGAAGGTAAGAACTAAAGGACACATATTAAAGGTCTAAAGTTTTTGGTTTATCTCGTTCTTCACTGTAACTTTAATTAGCACTTTATCTAGTCTTTGATGGCATGCATCCTTTATTTAATGTTTGCTGGATGGCCTTGTATAGTTTGTTGGATGGCCTTGTATAGTTTGTTGGATGGCCTTGTATAGTTTGTTGGATGGCCTTGTATAGTTTGTTGGATGGACTTGTATAGTTTGTTGGATGGCCTTGTATAGTTTGTTGGATGGCCTTGTATAGTTTGTTGGATGGCCTTGTATAATTTGTTGGATGGCCTTGTATAGTTTGTTGGATGGACTTGTATAGTTTGTTGGATGGCCTTGTATACCTAATATTTGTTGGATGGACTTGTATACCTAATATTTGTTGGATGGACTTGTATAGTTTGTTGGATGGACTTGTATAGTTTGTTGGATGACCTTGTATACCTACTGTTTGTTGGATGGCCTTGTATAGTTTGTTGGATGGCCTTGTATAGTTTGTTGGATGACCTTGTATAGTTTGTTGGATGGCCTTGTATAGTTTGTTGGATGGCCTTGTATAGTTTGTTGGATGGCCTTGTATAGTTTGTTGGATGGCCTTTTATACCTGCTGTTTGTTGGATGGCCTTGTATAGTTTGTTGGATGGCCTTGTATAGTTTGTTGGATGGCCTTGTATGCCTACTGTTTGTTGGATGGCCTTGTATAGTTTGTTGGATGGCCTTGTATGCCTAATCTTTGTTGGATGGCCATGTATGCCTACTGTTTGTTGGATGGCCGTGTATACCTACTGTTTGTTGGATGGCCTTGTATACCTACTGTTTGTTGGATGGCATTGTATACCTACTGTTTGTTGGATGGTCTTGTATACCTGCTGTTTGTTGGATGGCCTTGTATATCTACGGTTTGTTGGATGGCCTTGTATACCTACTGTTTGTTGGATGGCCTTGTATACCTACTGTTTGTTGGATAGCCTTGTATACCTACTGTTTGTTGGATGGCGTTGTATACCTACTGTTTGCTGGATGGCCCGGGGTCAGCGGATCCCCGTCCCCCGTGAAGACGGTCCCCCTCTGCGAGCCAGAGGGGGGCAGCCACCAAGTGTCTGGGTAGACCCGTGGGTCACCGCTCTTCATCCCCGTGTAGTCGGCTGGGTCAGAGAACATGATGACGCCAGTAGCGCCATGTTTGTTGGCTATGTCCACCTGTTCATCAATGTTACAAACATTTATCAATGTTACAAACATTCATCAAATCTATAAACATTCATCAATGTTACAAACATTCATGAATGTTAAAAACATTTATCAATATTACAAACTTTCATCAAATCTACAAACATTCATCAATGTTACAAACATTCATCAATGTTACAATCATTCATTAAATTTACAAACATTCATCAATGTTACAAACATTCATCAAATTTACAAACACTCATCAGTGTTACAAACATTCATCAAATTTACAAACATTCATCAAATCCACAAACATTATTCAATGTTAAAACATTCATCAATGTTACAAACATTGATCAATGTTACAATCATTCACCAAATTTACAAGCATTCATCGATGTTACAAACATTTATCAAATCTACAAACATTTATCAATGTTACAAACATTCATCAAATCCACAAACATTATTCAATGTTACAAACATTTATCAATGTTACAAACATTTATCAATGTTACAAACATTCATCAAATCTACAAACATTCATCAATGCTACAAACATTCATCAATGTTACAAACATTCATCAAATTTACAAACATTCATCAATGTTACAAACATTCATCAAATTTACAAACATTTATCAATGTTACAAACATTCATCAAATTTACAAACATTCATCAATGTTACAAATATTCATCAACGTTACAAAATTCATCAATGTTACATTCCTCAAATTTACAAACATTCATCAAATCCACAAACATTATTCAATGTTACAAACATTCATCAATGTTACAAACATTCATCAATGTTACAATCATTCATCAAATTTACAAACATTCATTGATGTTACAAACATTCATCAATGTTACAAACATTCATCAAATCCACAAACATTATTCAATGTTACAAACATTTATCAATGTTACAAACATTCATCAATGTTACAAACATTTATCAATGTTACAAACATTCATCAAATCTACAAACATTATTCAAAGTTACAAACATTTATCAATGTTACAAACATTCATCAAATTTATAAACATTTATCAATGTTACAAACATTTATCAATGTTACAAACATTTATCAATGTTACAAACATTTCTTCAAAAAATAAATTAAAGCTGGAGTAAGCTCCCCTAAACCTTCTCGTGTGTTCTATATTTGTAACTACCAGCCGGAGTTAACACACGGAACACATGTAATTTGACTAGAACTGACCTTGTCCCCTCTGAAAATTTTCCCATACTTGACCAAGACAAGGTTTCCGGTCACCGTGACATTGTGTTCCCTCAGGACCTGGTAATCTTCGTCTCGTCCGTACCCAACAAACACGATGTTACCCTGGGGATGAAAAACACGATGTTACCCTGGGGATGACAAACACGATGTTACCCTGGGGATGGTAAACACGATGTTACCCTGGGGATGACAAACACGATGTTACCCTGGGGATGACAAACACGATGTTACCCTGGGGATAACAAACACGATGTTATCCTGGGGATGAGAAACACGATGTTACCCTTCTGCCAATCAACTCTACGTCTGACTTGATGCATGGAAGGCGAGGCGATTTGGTGTCGTGTGGAATGGTAGGTTCGGATCCCGTTGGGTTCTGACTATTCTGTCTTTACTTGGACTATATTCTGTACCTTTGTCTACCCTTGGCGTTGAAATATTACTTTCTGTTTGTATTGCTAGAATACCGTAATCTGTATACTACTAAAACTCAATATATTTATTTGTTTGTTTGTCTGATTGGCTACTGGAGAGAATCTGCACTATGTGTAGAGCTGTAGAATAGTAATTAGGTAGAGAACAATTTTTGTTTTCAGACAGACTGTTAATCACAAATTTATTTAAAGACTTTAATAAATTAATTGATTTATTCATTGGTAGATTAACCACATTTATTTTTAAAGTTTAGAAAACCGACTTTACTTTGAGTAAATAGTGACGTCACATGATTTGTTTACTTTTTTAGTACAATAAAACCACACTATCCCTTCATATATGACGTCACAGGTGACCTACTCAACTCTACTTCACCTGCCAAGTGTCCCGCCAAGTCTCAGACAACATGTTTTTGTGACGTCATATATGAAGGGATAGTGTGGTTAGACCTATGCTCAGCTGAAATCGGTGTTTTTAAAAGATAAAAAACGTCTTTTTGAATGTGGGGTCTGGTTTTTTTGTGACGATAAGTGACAGACGTGATGTCATTTATGGATGACCCCGAAACCCACAGTTATCCAAGGGATGACCGGGTAGTCTAGTGGAAATCTAAAATTACCAGATAGACAGCAACCTAAACCTACATACTATACCAACCTAGGCCAACCTATACCAGCCTACACCAAAACCCCCACCGATCTACACCACAGCAAACTAAACAAGCCTACACCAACCTACACCAACTTACACCAACCTATAGACCTAACAACCAGTACCAACCTACACCAACCTACACCAACCTACACCAACCTACACCAACCTACACCAACCTACACCAACCTACACCAACCTGCACCAACCTACACCAACCTACACCAACCTGCACCAACCTACACCAACCTACACCAACCTACACCAACCTGCACCAACCTACACCAACCTACACCAACCTGCACCAACCTACACCAACCTACACCAACCTACACCAACCTACACCAACCTGCACCAACCTACACCTACATACACTAACCAACACCAACCTACACCAACCTGCACTAGGCTACTAGGCGAGTAAGCATGAAATGGCGGAACGACATCCCGAAGAGCCGATATGTCGCTGTCGTCGCTTTTGGCGTCGTAGATGATGTGGTTGCTGGCGTTGATCAGCCGAACAGAGTTGGGGGACTGCAAGTCTGGGTAGGACAACAGAACATCGTAGGGCGTGGTCTGGACGGCCAGACCGGCACTTCGAAATCTGGACTTCAACAGCTCAACCAGCTCCATGTCGTTTTCTCTGCCAGCAATGTGAGGTTTCTGGGACAACAGTCTGAAAGTTGAAACAGCCAACCATTTTTATGTGAGGTTTCTGGGACAACAGCCTGAAAGTTGAAACAGCCAACCATTTTTATGTCAGAGTTCTGGGACAACAGTCTGAAAGTTGAAACAGCCAACCATTTTTATGTGAGGGTTCTGGGACAACAGTCTGAAAGTTGAAACAGTCAACCATTTTTATGTGAGTTTTTTTTAGGACAACAGTCTGAAAGTTAAAACAGCCAACCATTGTATTTGAGGTTTCTGGGACAACAGTCTGAAAGTTGAAACAGCCAACCATTTTTATGTGAGGTTTCTGGGACAACAGCCTGAAAGTTGAAACAGCCAACCATTTTTATGTGAGGGTTCTGTGATAACAGTCTGAAAGTTGAAACAGCCGACCATTTTTATGTGAGGGTTCTGTGACAACAGTCTGAAAGTTGAAACAGCCAACCATTTATATGTGAGGTTTTTTAGGACAACAGTCTGAAAGTTGAAACAGCCAACCATTTTATGTGAGGTTTCTGTGACAACTGTATGAAAGTTGAAACAGCCAACCATTTTTATGTGAGGTTTCTGGGACAACAGCCTGAAAGTTGAAACAGCCAACCATTTTTATGTGAGGGTTCTGTGACAACAGTCTGAAAGTTGAAACAGCCAACCATTTTATGTGAGATTTCTGGGACAACAGTCTGAAAGTTGAAACAGCCAACCATTTTTATGTGAGGTTTCTGAGACAACAGTCTGAAAGTTGAAACAGCCAACTGTGACCTACTTAGGTCTCGTCATGTTCCATTCTTAGTTTGACATTGTATAATACCTTATATGGATTGATGGTGCAACTACCGGGGTTTTTCCACTGTCTTATTAAGGGTGACTAGGACCCAGAAATTTTCCATCAAGATCTGATTGATTAATTCTGATCAGATGACCATCCCAACCAATGGCTACATGAGTTGAGGATAACCTCCCCTGTTGCATAAGTCTTTAACTGGATCGCACACACGCAACACGAGGCAGTCTACCTTGATCAAACGGTCTATTAAGACCAGGCCGTCCATTTTGTCCGGCAATAGATTCTGACCATTTGAACGTGAGAGAACTTAAGTCCTGTGTGTGCTATGCTTTCGTAAGTTGTTTTAGTATTCTAGTATAATATTACTTGTCGCCAAGTGATTCTTGAAGCTATAGCCGTGTTGTGTGACCTGTGGCTATTTTTATACAGTGTTGAAATCTGTGATAGTGTTTTTTCTTACGCTTTGTAAGTTGGGTTTTGTTATTTTCTAAATTAAATATTTTATCTCGTTTAACCTAGTGTTCTGCCACAACTGTGTTCGCTTATTAAAGGTTGTATGCAGATTGGATGAGTTGTTAACTTCAATAGTATCACTAGTTTTCCCTAGACATCGAGATCGAGCCCTAGTGTGTTGTTGAGTTAGTGTTCATTCATTTAGGCTTTAAGTCATTTGCATATAACCCCGAAAAAAGAATCCGGGGACGTTCACCATCTATCTGGCTGGTAGATAGGTAAACGTTACAAAGTGGGGGCTCGTCCGGGATTTAATCTGTCGTTCCAGTTGTTGGTTATATCAGTTAAACACTAAGTTTAGTTTGATTTAGTTGTTTTTCTATCCAGTGAAGCCGTGTTATTGAAACGCGCGCAAGGCTAGAGGTATCTAGGTCAAAAGCCAGACGTGTCACGATAAGAGGTCAAGTACACGGCCCAACGCTCTGTGTTAATTTAGAGAATCTAGGCTTGTTGTGATTTTGAAAGTTAGTGAAATGGAATCTTTTTTGGCTAATCCCACTTTTGAGGAGGTAGAAAAGTTGAGTAGAAAAGTTTTGATTAGTGTTGTTAAGGAATTGAAATTGGATTAATCTGTTACGCAGAAGTCAGAGGTGTTGAGAGATAAAATTGTTGTTCATTTTATTAATGAAGGTGTATTTGATGAAAGTTTGTTGGTTGGTGTGTTACTCCGCGAGGAGAAACCTCTAGAGAAGGTAGAATTAGAAGCTAGAATTGCTTTAGAGAAGGCTTTAAAAGAAAAGGAATTAGAGGCTAAAATTGCTTTAGATAAGAGGAGGTTGGAATTAGAATTTGGTCAAGTTAGTGATGTCACTTCTCTGGTAGATCCAAAAAAGTTGTCGGTGGGGCAAGTGATTGCCAAATTTGGGAAATTAGTTCCTAAGTTTGATGAAACACATTTGGTCGTTTTCTTTAACTCATTTGAGAGTTTAGCGAAGACATGTGAATGGCCCGAAACTTCCATTACTGCTTTATTGAGCACGGTCCTTACTGGGAAAGCTGCAAAAACATACCAGGCACTCTCTCACGACGTTCAAAATAACTATAGTTTGGTCAAGACTGCCATTTTGAAGGCCTACGAACTGACGCCCGAGGCCTATCGGATGAAATTCCGAGCACTCCGCAAGTTACCCACTCAATCATATGTGGAATTTCTCTTTGAAAAGGAGAAAATATTCTCAAGGTGGCTACACTCTGAGGAAGTTTCTGAGTTTGAGAAACTCAGGTCACTTATCCTAAGGGAAGAATTCCTAACGTCCCTGCCTGAAGACATACGACTTCACATACTGGATAACAAGATAACTGACATCCAGAAGGCTGCTGAGTCGGCTGACACATATATGTTGGTGCATAAGAAACCACCAGTGTCAGGAAACCGCCTCAACCCCGTGCTTCCCCTTTTTGGCAGCAATCCTCCTGTTGGCCAACACGTGAAGGCATCACAGTCCAGAGAGAAACCAAGATCAACTCTCAATCGTCGAGCAGTATGCCAGTTCTGCAAAAGACCTGGTCATCTTGTCAAGGACTGTTACAAACGTCGTCAATATAACAGAGAGGTGGTGCGTACTTCTGCGCACTATGCTCTATCCCCTCAAGCAGCCAGTTCAACTATGAACTCTAGAATTCTAAAGGACTCTAACCCTAAGTGTCCACAAGAAGGTAGTCAAGTCTCCACACATTATGTGCAGTCACATTTTGACTGTTCACGCCACCATCCAGTTTCTTCCGAGTCTACCGATCTCGAGGGATCGAGAAAAGTTGACTTTTCATCTTTCATTGCCGAAGCTATCATTAGCAAACCAGGTGATCCGTTGTCTCAGCGGAATATCACCGTCCTAAGAGACACAGGAGCGTCACAATCACTTCTTTTGAAAAGTTCAATGGACATTACACCAGAGACGAACACCGGAAGGATTTCCATTATCCAGGGAGTGGGGACAAAATCTACTGTCGTCCCTCTACACAAGTTTGCCCTGAAACATCATCTCGTCGAAGGTGAGGTCATTTTAGGTGTGATAGATAGTATTCCAGTCCCAGGAGTACACCTACTTCTAGGGAATGACCTTGCGGGAAGCAAAGTATACCCCTGTACGGTTTCAGACCCTTTGTCAACAGTTCCAGATAATGATAATGAACTGTATCCTGCATGTGCGGTGACAAGAAGCCAGACCAAACAATTGGCTGACACAACGTCTGAACCACACCTACCATCATCGTCAAGAAATTCGACTCCCAAACTGGAGTCTATGCTTCCAGAGAACACAAGCCTGGGCTTACCCCTGAGGATATCTCAGGAAGACATCATTAAAGCTCAACAAGTCGACGCGGAACTCAAGGCAATGGTCGAAAAATCTCTCTCATCTGACGATGGGGAATATTTCTCCGAGAACGGCCTCTTCTTTCGTCGCTCTATACCAGTGAATGCCTCACCAGCCGAACCATGGTTGGGTAAAAACCAGCTGTGGGTCCCTCCACCTTATCGGCATGAAATACTTAAGCTGGCACATGACCATCCAATGTCAGCGCACACAGGAGTCACTAAAACGACGGCGAAGATCAAAGAACTGTTCTTTTGGCCCAAAATGAGAAATGATGTGTCGCGTTACTGCAAAAGTTGCACGAACTGTCAGTTGGCCGGAAAGCCAAACCAGAAAATTCCTAAGGCCCCTTTGAGTCCGATTCCTGTATTAGAAGAACCCTTTTCTAAAATTGTCATGGACTGTGTAGGTCCCTTGCCTAAAACCAAGGCGGGCAACGAGTACCTACTTACCTTTATGTGTTCAAGTACCCGTTTTCCCGAGGCGTTCCCCTTACGGAACATTAAGGCAAAGACTGTAGTCAGAGCCATGACCCGGTTCTTCACTACCTTTGGATTACCTAGAATTGTTCAAACAGATCAAGGCAGCAACTTCACCAGTCACCATTTTCAGGAAGCACTAGCCAAGCTAGGCGTTACCCACATCACCAGCTCAGCCTACCACCCCCAGTCTCAAGGCGTACTTGAGAGGTTCCACCAAACCCTCAAAACCATGCTAAGAACATTCGCTAATAGTAACACCCAATGGGATGAGACTGTTCCTTGGATTATTTTCGCCGCGAGGGACTGTGTCCAGGACTCTTTAGGCTACTCTCCTTTTCAACTTGTGTTTGGACATTCTGTCCGTGGTCCCCTGAAGGTGATCCACGAACGTTGGACAGGTACCAGTGACCATCCAGTGGAAAACTTTGACGATTTTCACGTTCGACTGAAAGCTGTGTGCGAAATGGCTCACAAGAACTTAAGAAAGGCCCAAGTGAGAATGAAAGGACTGTATGATAAGAGTTCTCGTAAACGAACATTCAATCCAGGCGAGAAGGTTCTTGTGCTAGTGCCTAATCTGAACAATGCGTTATCCTTGAGATATTGTGGACCCTTTACTGTGCATTCAAAATTAAGTGATTTGAACTATGTTGTCAATACGCCCGACAGAAGAAAGAAACAGACAGTGTATCATGTTAACTCACTGAAAAAGTATTATGATAATTGTAACAATTATCATTCCACAGCTAAAATTACTTTACCTGTATGTTCAAATGTTTCTGATGATGTGATACATGATAAATTGAAACCCCCAAAATTGGTAAATTCTTCCTTTTTAGATAATTTAAATGACCACCTTATGCATTTGTCCACAGAGGAAAGCCATAAATTGTCTGAAGTTAATTCTACTGTAAACCTTTACAGAAATCACTTTTATGCAAGTTCCGTAAAGGTTCAATTACCTATTTGGGTTATCAAGTGGGAACGAACCAAGTTCGGCCCATTGAAGCTAAAGTAGATGCTATTGTAAGGTTACCTCCTCCCAAAAATTGTAAAGAAATCAAAAAGTTCCTTGGGATGGCTGGTTACTATAGGCGGTTCTGTCAAAACTTTTCAGCTGTTGCTGAACCTCTTACTGCATTATTGAAAAAGGGTGTTGAGTTTGAATGGTCAAATAAATGTCATGAAGCTTTTTTAACCATTAAGTCATTTTTATCTAATGCTCCTGTTATGGCTGCACCATATTTCAGCAAGCCCTTTAAACTTGCCATTGATGCTAGCAACTTAGCCATTGGTTCAGTCCTATTTCAAGAAGACAACATGGGGATTGACCATCCCATTGCTTTTTTTTCCAGGAAGTTAAATGAGAACCAAAAGAATTACTCTACTATTGAAAAAGAAGCTTTAGCTTTGGTTTTATCCTTACAACATTTTGAAGTCTATGTCTCTTCTTCAACCAATCCAGTCAGAGTGTTTTCTGACCATGATCCCCTGAAATTTACCTCTAAGTTAGGACAGACAAATCAAAGAATATTGAGATGGTGTTTATATTTCCAAAATTTTAATCTGGAAATTTCACACATTAAGGGTAGTGATAATGTTGTGGCTGATTGTTTGTCAAGGATGTAAAATCTTATTGCACACATTGGTCATGTGACATGTTTTGTGGTTCATTAAGACCATACACAGGTGTTGTGTTTGGGTGACACTCACATGAAAATGAGTGGTATGAGTTTTGAATTTTTCAAAATTCCAATCCGGTTGAATATTTTGTTTATTTTCAGGTGAACCTTAATTAAAGGTGGGTTTTTGATTATATGTAATCTTTTATAATAATATGTCTCATATGACTCAGTTGATATTGTAGCTAGTTATTGAAATAAAGGTCTTACCCTGGCGGGTTTACCACTTTTAATATCCACATGGAAATATTGTAATACCCTTTTCTGAGGGATTTTGATGTATAATTATTTTTTGAAGGGTTACTCCCCTTTCACCAATTGTAAAAGTTTGAGTTACTTCCCTTTTATGTTCAGGGATATTTTCATCTGGTATTAGGATTTTGATTGACTACATTTGTAAAACATTTTTTTTATTTTCATTGCCAGATTGGTTCCTTATGTATGTTTTTGTGGAACCTATCTGTCTCTTCCAAAAAGGGAGGGGATGTGACCTACTTAGGTCTCGTCATGTTCCATTCTTAGTTTGACATTGTATAATACCTTATATGGATTGATGGTGCAACTACCGGGGTTTTTCCACTGTCTTATTAAGGGTGACTAGGACCCAGAAATTTTCCATCAAGATCTGATTGATTAATTCTGATCAGATGACCATCCCAACCAATGGCTACATGAGTTGAGGATAACCTCCCCTGTTGCATAAGTCTTTAACTGGATCGCACACACGCAACACGAGGCAGTCTACCTTGATCAAACGGTCTATTAAGACCAGGCCGTCCATTTTGTCCGGCAATAGATTCTGACCATTTGAACGTGAGAGAACTTAAGTCCTGTGTGTGCTATGCTTTCTTAAGTTGTTTTAGTATTCTAGTATAATATTACTTGTCGCCAAGTGATTCTTGAAGCTATAGCAGTGTTGTGTGACCTGTGGCTATTTTTATACAGTGTTAAAATCTGTGATAGTGTTTTTTCTTACGCTTTGTAAGTTGGGTTTTGTTATTTTCTAAATTAAATATTTTATCTCGTTTAACCTAGTGTTCTGCCACAACTGTGTTCGCTTATTAAAGGTTGTATGCAGATTGGATGAGTTGTTAACTTCAATAGTATCACTAGTTTTCCCTAGACATCGAGATCGAGCCCTAGTGTGTTGTTGAGTTAGTGTTCATTCATTTAGGCTTTAAGTCATTTGCATATAACCCCGAAAAAAGAATCCGGGGACGTTCACCATCTATCTGGCTGGTAGATAGGTAAACGTTACACAACCATTTTTAAGTGAGGTTTCTGAGACAACAGTCTGAAAGTTGAAACAGCCAACCATGTCGTTGTGAGATGCGTTATCAGCGCTATGCAAAGAGTGAAGCGTCACCAGTGCTATGTACAAATGTAATGAATGAAGAATCATCAGTGCAGTGTACAAATTTAATGAATGACGCGTCATAAGTGCTATGTACAAATTTAATGTAATGAATGACGCGACATAAGTGCTATGTACCAATGAAATGAAGCGTCACCAGTGCTGTGTAAAAATGAATAAAGCGTCAGCAGTACATACCTCAAATTTTCCTCAATCCTCGAGGCTTGGATGCCGTCTATGATTTTCTGAGCGATGGCCGGGTCGGCGTCAGAGACCAGACCAGCTGGGACGCCGGACAGGTACAGACCGTCCTGCTCCTGGCCGATGGCGAATGTCCCCACCAGCAGACCGATGGCCAGTCCAAGAACCAGGGCCGCCACAAGGATGACAATCTGGACCACTCTCCGGCTCCTCATTGGCTGTTTGAAGAGGGCGTCAGATGAGGAGTCGAGCTCCACGCCACTCATCTTTACCTGCGAGCCTGCAGTGGATATAGGTGGATATAGGCTAGGACAGTCGCTAGGTGGATGTCCTCTTGGTGGATTCCTCTTGGTGGAATTCCTCTTGGTGGATTCCTCTTGGTGGAATTCCTCTTGGTGGATTCCTCTTGGTGGATGTCCTAGTCCAGTCACAAGGCAATGTCACAGCTGGTGAACTTAATACAGAAAGCAAAAGCTGTTGGTATACCAGATGTAATCACCTGTAAATTTGTAAAGTATACCAGATGTAATCACCTGTAAAATATACCAGATATAATCAACTGTAAAGAGTACCAGATGTAATCACCGGTACCAGATGTAATCACATGTAAGAAATGAGACCTAGATGAATGTAGCCTAGACAGAAACACAGCGGCCTTGACCTTGTAACAAACCCAGCTACCTTGACCTTAATTTCTAAAGAAAATAAACAAGGCAGGCTGACATATCGTCTGCCGCTCAAACAGCCTGAATGCCACAATCCTGAGCTCAGTGGCGACTTCTTGTGTCAACATTTCATATACGATCATGTGACTACCTATATTGTGTCAACATTTAATATACGATCATGTGACTACCCATATTCTATCCGGAATAAACATCCGGCTAACCGTGCGTCTCCGGTTCCTGGTTGTCACTTCACGTCATCTACAGGTTAGGTTGTCACGTTACAGGTCAGGTTGTCACGTTACAGGTCAGGTTGTCACGTCTGCTTTAGGTCAGGTTGTCACGTTACAGGTCAGGTTGTCACGTTACAGGTCAAGTTGTCACGTTATCTACAGGTCAGGTTGTCACGTTACAGGTCAGGTTGTCACGTTACAGGTCAGGTTGTCAAGTTACAGGTCAGGTTGTCACGTTACAGGTCAGGTTGTCACGTTATCTACAGGTCAGGTTGTCACGTTACAGGTCAGGTTGTCACGTCTGCTTTAGGTCAGGTTGTCACGTTATCTACACTCAGGTTGTCACGTCATTTAAAGGTCAGGTTGTCACGTTATCTACAGGTCAGTTTGTCACGTCATCTACAGGTCAGGTTGTCACGTCATTTAGAGGTCAGGTTGTCACCACATCTACAGCCAGGTTGTCACTTAGCAAACACTAAATGTAACAACCCCACAATAAATACAGCAACCCCACACTAAATACACCTACACCACACTAAATAGACATACCCCACACTAAATACACCTACCCACACTAAATACACCTACCTCAGACTAAATACACCAAACGCACATTAAATACAACTACCGCACACAAAATAGCACACACGAATAAGTAATCAAATTACCTACACTGATTAAGAACGGCCAAACCTGAACGGCCTACATTAAAAGCTGAACTGAGATGACAAGCATTTTACGTTTGGTTGAAATAAAATCTAGCCGTAAATATTTTTGTTGGTTTTATTTAGTCATAAATGTTGGCCATAAAGTCATCAACATTTCATGGACCAACAATTCACACACCAACTCTAGCACTGCAGGAATTTAAAACAATAGCTAAGTGCCCCTCAAAGGCGTCACAAGGGGAGGTGGGTGCGGATCGCACCGGGTAACATCATTTAAGAGGGTGGTACTAAGGGAGGTGGGTGCGGATCGCACCGGGTAACATCATTTAAGAGGGTGGCACTAAGGGAGGTGGGTGCGGATCGCACCGGGTAACATCATTTAAGAAGGTGGTACTAAGGGAGGTGGGTGCGGATCGCACCGGGTAACATTTAAGAGGGTGGCACTAAGACGAAAAAAGTGCAAAATTTGCAGAAAAAAAAATGCTTTTCCTCATGTTCAATTTATGATTAATTAGAGTTAAACAATCTTTTTAGTACAAAATGATGATCCTGACAAGGTGGGGGTGGGGGGGGGGGGGGGGGGGGGAGTAGGCATACACCAGGAAGTAAACTTGTTAATATAATAATTGTTACTTGGTTGTTCGTTAAAGGGGCTTAGGTGACGATCAGGCCAGGGAAATGTAAAATTTAATTAAATATTATCAGCTCACGCTGGTCGTTAGGGCTACGAGCTCTATGCAGGTGCATGAGTCACACGTAATGATGGGAAGACACCCGCGGTGATTTATGTCTAAAGTTGAGTTCGGGCATGCCGCTGGACGTCACGATAGAATCATTACTCATGACCTCTGTTGTGGTCAGTTGTCAGGTGTAAGGCACGGCGGGAGTGGCCGTACCTTAGTTCGAGCGGTGTATGACACGATCGTTAACCTGAGACAACGTGAAGATCTATAGCGGTCAATTATCGGGTGTGAAACGCATGGGTGCATAGTGGCTGGTGTTATCACGATCGCCGAGAGAGGGTAAGGAGCCCAACTCGTGAGCCTACAGCTCTGGGAGATGATAAGGTGGGGGGGGGGGGGGCAAGACTAGCCTATATATGAGTAAATATAATGAATATAAATAAATGTATTGAGCTGTGTGTTAATACGTTTTATTTTTAGTTTAATATTAATGTTGTCTAAGTGTGAAATGAGCTTGCTCAGGTCTGGTAAACCTCCTTGTACCAATGAGAATGCACGGAGGTGAGAGAAAAACCCATTTCCGCTCTCTCGACTTTCTCGGCTACAAACCCCTTATATATAGAAGTATAGAAGTATAGAAGTATAGAGGTTTAGAAGTATAGAGGTTTAGAAGTATAGAGGTATAGAAGTATAGAAGTATAGAAGTATAGAAGTATAGAAGTATAGAAGTATAGAAGTATAGAAGTATAGAAGTATAGAAGTATAGAAGTATAGAAGTATAGAAGTATAGAAGTATAGAAGTATAGAAGTATAGAAGTATAGAAGTATAGAAGTATAGAAGTATAGAAGTATAGAAGTATAGAAGTATAGAAGTATAGAAGTATAGAAGTATAGAAGTATAGAAGTATAGAAGTATAGAAGTATAGAAGTATAGAAGTATAGAAGTATAGAAGTATAGCGCGTTATCACGTTTCAATAGGCGCGCAATGGTTTTTAGTCATGAAACTCTAGTGTAAATAAAAACATGTAAAGTACTAAAAAAAATTCATAAAAAACAAGCTTTTATGTACTAATGCACTAAAAAGTAGCAAATAAATTATAGACTACTATTTAAATAACTATAGAGAAAAGCGTGGGTCCCTTCCCAGAGGCGTAGCGAGAGGGGGGGGGGGGCGGGGTGTGCGGACCGCACCGGGTGACACCATTTAGGGGGGTGACACCAAGGCAAAAAATAGTAAAATATATAGATAAAAACTTGAGGTAGGGGGTGCAAATCGAAAGTTTAAGGGGGGTGCAAATAAAAAATTTGTAAGTTTGTCCCCGGGAGCGACGCCTCTGGGGGGGTGACACCATTAAGTGCCGCACCGGGTGACACCCGACCTCGCTACGCCACTGTCTCTTCCTAAACATTAATAAAGGTATCCAATATATAGATTTAAGTGACCCACGCTTTTCTTTCTAGTTATTTAAATAGTAGTCTATAATTTATTTTCTACTTTTTAGTGCATTAGTACATAAAAGCTTGTTATTAAAACGTTTTTTTTTTTTTTAATTTTTTTTTTACAAGCTTTTATTTAACTCACTTCCTCTGTCTGTCGTCAGTCGTCAGTCTGTCTAGATCGAAACGCCGGAGCGAAAATTCGGACACTTCTATTTGACCGATACGGTTCACACTTGGCACGTGGGTCAAGACATGAAGACAATGCAGTCTGAAATTAAATTTGACTTAATTGGATGCCTAATTATTTTTTTATGAATTAATTAAAATTTGGACCGAATTAGTAGGCATGTTTATCCAACCATACCACACGCGTCACCACGTTCAATAGCTGCGCCATCAGGTTCAATAGCTGCGCCATCACGTTCAATAGACGCGCAATGGTTTTTAGTCATGTAACTCTATTGTAAATAAAACGTAAAGTACTGAAAAATATTCATAAAACACGTTTTAATAACAAGCTTTTATGTACTAATGCACTAAAAAGTAGAAAATAAATTATACACTACTATTTAAATTACTATAAAGAAAAGCGTGGGTCTCTTTTGCAAAATTAGCGGTATAGAATCCGCTTATGAATCTTAAGTTACGCAAATAGGCCCTAGATCGAGCTTTTCCAAAATAGCATATTCCATAGCTAAACAAACAAAGATTTATATAAAATAATTAAGGCCTGAAATAGTTTAGTATATAAATTCTAGTTTCTAGATTAATAATTTACGTTTAGTCTAGATCTAGATGTAGAATTTATTTACGTTGAGTCTAGATTCTACATCTAGAATCTAGATTAGATTAGATCTAAATTTTAGACAGATCCAGATCTAGATCTAGAATTTCTATCTAGATCCTAGATAGATAAGTCCTATGCATTCTCGAATAAGATAATCATTGACGCTAAACAAACATTTATATAAAATAATTAAGGCCTGAAATAGATTCTAGATGTAGAATTTACATTAAGTCTAGATCTAGAATTAAGAATTAACGTTAAATCTAGTGACCTAGATCTAGATCTAGATTCATAACTTAATTAACTTTTCTTCCTTCGACAGCTGATCTGCGGATATAGAGAAATTTATTGTAAAACTAAATGAAAAAGACAGTTGAAAATTGATATAAGTGTTGGAACGTAATAAATACAGCAAACGGACGTATTGTTAAAGTCATAGCCGTCAGAAAATTAGCTTTATAACGCCTTAAAGATCTGAATAGGCCACGAAATATTGCATTGAAGCCGCCATTGATTGTACTAAAACGTAAACAAATCATGTGACGTCACTTTTCCGTCAAAGTAAAGCCATTGTTTGAAACTTTTAAAATTAATGTGGTTAACCTACCAATGAATAAATCAATAAATTAATTAACGTCTTTAAATAAATTTGTGATTAACAGTCTGTCTGAAAACAAAAATTGTTCTCTACCTAATTACTATTCTACAGCTCTACACATAGTGCAGATTCTCTACTGTAGCCAATCAGACAAAAAAAAAAAAAAAAAAAATAATTCAAACAAGTAAACAAACTTGAGTTTTAGTAGTATTTAGATTTAGATTAGATAGAAGATATTCAAGAAAGTTCAGGGGAGGTCACTCCCGGTTTATTTTTTTTAAGTGAAGCAATTTTTTTTTTCAGCAAGGAAAATAATTGTTACTAAAGGAATAAAGGGAAGTAATTTGTACATTTTACAATTTTTTTGTGAAGGATGATACAGTTTCTTTAATTTTGTTTATTCCACTTGAGGTTATTAAAATAAGGTTTCGCCTAAGAATTGAAACTTATTTTAAACTTTATTAATAGATAAATGAGTAAAACAGAAAATAAAACAAATATTTTAAAGTACACTGAAAATAATATAATCAGTTTGCTTTCTCTAAAGATAACTATTAAATGACTGACGATAATACGGTAGTGACTATCATTAAGGTGTGATAACCTAAAGTAGCAACGTGATTTATTGACGTCTATCACACGTCGTTTACTTATTTTATTGCTAGGTTCAACTGTAGACACAGCTGTAAATCTAGGCTTGAGAATGTTTGTTGTGATAGTTTAGCCAGGTATAAAATAGTTTCACAAACATGTTTTAACAGCTTTGATTGTAATAGTTTAACCAGGTATAAAATAGTTTCACAAACGTGTTTAAATAGCTTTGATTGTGATAGTTTAGTCAGGTATAAAATAGTTTCACAAACATGTTTAAATAGCTTTGATTGTGATAGTTTAGCCAGGTATAAAATAGTTTCACAACGTATTTAAATAGCTTTGATTGTGATAGTTTAGCCAGGTATAAAATAGTTTCACAAACGTGTTTAAATAGCTTTGATTGTGATAGTTTAGCCAGGTATAAAATAGTTTGAAAAACATAAATATTTGTTTAAATACCTTTTATTGTGATAGGGAGGTATAAAATAGTTTCACAAACATAAACATTTATATTGTATTTATGATGTATTTATTTTTAGGGGTGTAGCATATATTGACGAAACGACACGCAGTAGAAATCAGTGACTAGCTCTATCAAGATAAATGTTCTATAGCAACACAGCAATGATCAACTCTATCAAGATTTTAGGTACATGAAATGAAGTAGAAAAATCAATATGAAATGTAAAGGATTTTAAAGGGATTTACGTACATACATCCATGTAAGGGTAGAGGAGGGTCTATCGATGGGGCAATTGTTATTGTAGTGCCAAAGTAGGCTGGTTCTATTATCATTGGTGGAGCTAAGGTAGGCTGGTTCTGTTATGTTAGGTGGCGCTAATGTAGGCTGGTTCTGTTATGTTGGGTGGAGCTAATGTAGTCTGGTTCTGTTATGTTGGGTGGAGCTAAGGTAGGCTGGTTCTGTTATGTTGGGTGGAGCTAATGTAGTCTGGTTCTGTTATGTTGGGTGGAGCTAATGTAGGCTGGTTCGTTTATGTTAGGTGGAGCCAATGTAGGCTGGTTCGTTTATGTTAGGTGGAGCCAATGTAGGCGGGTTCTGTTATGTTGGGTGGAGCCAATGTAGGCTGGTTCTGTTATGTTGGGTGGAGCTAATGTAGGCTGGTTCTGTAGCTGTTGGGTGGAGCCAATGTAGGCGGGTTCTGTTATGTTGGGTGGAGCCAATGTAGGCTGGTTCTGTTATGTTGGGTGGAGCTAAGGTAGGCTGGTTCTGTTATGTTGGGTGGAGCTAATGTAGGCTGGTTCTGTTATGTTGGGTGGAGCTAATGTAGGCTGGTTCTGTTATGTTAGGTGGAGCTAAGGTAGGCTGGTTCTGTTATGTTGGGTGGAGCTAATGTAGGCTGGTTCTGTTATGTTGGGTGGAGCCAATGTAGGCTGGTTCTGTAGTTGTTGGGTGGAGCTAATGTAGTCTGGTTCTGTAGCTGTTAGGTGGAGCTAATGTAGGCTGGTTCTGTTATGTTGGGTGGAGCTAATGTAGGCTGGTTCTGTAGCTGTTGGGTGGAGCTAATGTAGGCTGGTTCTGTTATGTTGGGTGGAGCTAATGTAGGCTGGTTCTGTTATGTTGGGTGGAGCTAATGTAGTCTGGTTCTGTTATGTTAGGTGGAGCTAATGTAGGCTGGTTCTGTAGCTGTTGGGTGGAGCTAATGTAGGCTGGTTCTGTTATGTTGGGTGGAGCCAATGTAGTCTGGTTCTGTTATGTTGGGTGGAGCTAATGTAGGCTGGTTCTGTTATATTGGGTGGAGCCAATGTAGGCTGGTTCTGTTATGTTGGGTGGAGCTAATGTAGGCTGGTTCTGTTATGTTGGGTGGAGCTAATGTAGGCTGGTTCTGTTATATTGGGTGGAGCCAATGTAGGCGGGTTCTGTTATGTTGGGTGGAGCTAATGTAGGCTGGTTCTGTTATATTGGGTGGAGCCAATGTAGGCTGGTTCTGTTATGTTGGGTGGAGCCAATGTAGGCGGGTTCTGTTATGTTGGGTGGAGCTAATGTAGGCTGGTTCTGTTATGTTGGGTGGAGCTAATGTAGGCTGGTTCTGTTATATTGGGTGGAGCCAATGTAGGCGGGTTCTAAACCTGCTGCGTCGGTGTGTATGCAGTCAACTGTAGGGGTATCATTGATTCATATCTGTAAGGGTCGTCCATAGACGACGTCACACTCAAAGACGGAAGTGAGGATGGGGGTGGGGGTATTATGTGACGGTGTAAAACTGGAGGGGGGGAGTGGGATTAAGAAAGTGTGACGACTCACTTCTGCATCAAAGCATCAAAAATAATGTTAGAAACTTAATTTCAGCGGTTATTTAGTGCTTTTAGAATCTGTTTCTTTTTTGTAGGCTAAATGTTAGAACTAAGTTATTATAGACTGTTTTGAACGGGGTCAGAAAATATTTAAGAAAGAAATCGATGTTTTAAAAAAAAACAGGGGTTGTAGGTTGTCGTCATTTTAGGGATGGGGGTTGGAATCTGTCTTTTTGTGACGATGTGTTGCAATGGGGAGGGGGAGAATTTAAATCGTCATTAACATCCTTAGGCATAAAGCGGGCTTGGTTGATGTGGATCGGTTCAACCAGTTTTATCCAATCAAATAAGTCCACGTGCTACTGATTTTTTGTAGGATTTCGGTGAGTGGGGTGTAGCACATGAGGTCACTATAGGCTCTCAGACATGAAGCTTGTGACGTCACGTAGCGTGGCGCCCGCTGATTGGATGGTTTGTAAAATGGCCGAGAAGTGCTGTTTGACCGTGGTCCATCTCTCCGGGTGCTCGTCGATCTGAAAGAGTAGTTCAACCAGGCCAGGGAAGCTGCTGCCGGCGTACCCGTCATTGGCGTTCTCAGCATAGATCACATGCCTGTAGCAAACAATCATAGATCACATGTCTGCAGCAAACAATCACAAATCACGTGTCTATGCAAAACATTTTGGACAACTGACACTTTTACAGCCTATATTTAGACACCCTATTTTTTTACGTCCTACTTTTGACGTCCTACTTTTTAAGAACTTATGTTTGGACGACCTATTTTTTAAGAACTTATGTTTGGATGACCTACTTTTTCAGCGGTCTGAGCGGAAGTCCCTCGGGTCTGAGAAAAGCTTTCTCCAGCAGCAACATCTGATCGTTGAGGGCGCGAACAGCCAGGGCCCTGTAAGTGATGGGTGGGTCAAAGTAGCTGGCAAATGTGTGACGTTACGACACAACAGCCTGACTGTACGACACAACAGCCTGACTCAAGACACAACAGCCTGACTCAAGACACAACAGCCTGACTGTACGACACAACAGCCTGACTCAAGACACAACAGCCTGACTCAAGACACAACAGCCTGACACAAGACACAACAGCCTGACTGTACGATACAACAGCCTGACTGTACGACACAACAGCCTGACTCAAGACACAACAGCCTGACTGTACGACACAACAGCCTGACTGTACGACACAACAGCCTGACACAAGACACAACAGCCTGACTGTACGACACAACAGCCTAACTCAAGACACAACAGCCTGACTGTACGACACAACAGCCTGACTCACGACACAACAGCCTGACTCAAGACACAACAGCCTGACTCAAGACACAACAGCCTGACTGTACGACACAACAGCTTATCACGTGACTAGAACTCGCCTGCTTGTGTCCACTAGACGTCGTCTGCTCTCAAAATTTGCCACGTCAGCAGTAAAGTTCTTGGTGACAGACGCTAGGAGATCTGGGGTACAGAAAGATCTAGAAACTACACTTCAAAACCTAAAAGGGTTTAAGACGATCTAGTAACTACACTTCAAAACCTACTCCCCCACCCCCCGAGGGTACTTAAAGATCTAGTAACAACACTTCAAAACCTACTCCCCCAGGGGTACAGAAAGATCTAGTAGCTACACTTTAAAACCTAAAAGGGTTTAAGACGATCTGGTAACTACACTTCAAAACCTACTCCCCCACCCCCCGAGGGTACTTAAAGATCTAGTAACCACACTTCAAAACCTACTCCCCCTAGGGAACAGAAAGATCTAGAAACTACACTTTAAAAACCTACCACCCGCACCCATCCATCTAAGGTACAGGAAGGTGAAACCTACTTGGTACCACAGTAATTCATCCATGTAATTGACATGCACATTATACTTGAGTTAGCTCACATGCACATTGTACTTGAGGTAGCTCACATGCAGATTGTACTTGAGTTAGCTCACATGCACATTGTACTTGAGGTAGCTCACATGCACATTGTACTTGAGGTAGCTCACAATCACATTGTACTTGAGGTAGCTCACATGCACATTGTACTTGAGGTAGCTCACATGCACTTTGTACTTGAGGTAGCTCACATGCACATTGTACTTGAGGTAGCTCACATGCACATTGTACTTGAGGTATCTCACAATCACATTGTACTTGAGGTAGCTCACATGCACATTGTACTTGAGGTAGCTCACATGCACATTGTATTTGAGGTAGCTCACATGCACATTGTACTTGAGGTAGCTCACATGCACTTTGTACTTGAGGTAGCTCACATGCACATTGTACTTGAGGTAGCTCACATGCACATTGTACTTGAGGTAGCTCACACATTGTATCAGGCGAACCGCCAGAGTTGGACTTACCGAAATTGTCCAGCTTGACTCGCAGCTTTGGCCCATGATCTCTCTCCAGCGTTGCCCTGAGCAGCTCCAGCCCCAGGGCGAAGGTCGTGAGGTTAAAGGGCAGGAGGAGCGAGTCGGCGAGAGAGAGAAGCAACTCGCCGCAAACCTTGGCCACAGCCGCGTGGTACTGGACGACAGGTGACTAAATTAGGCAGTCATCGTGGGACAACAGGTGACTAAATTAGGCAGTCATCGTGGGACAACAGGTGACTAAATTAGGCAGTCATCGTGGGACAACAGGTGACTAAATTAGGCAGTCATCGTGGGACAACAGGTGACTAAATTAGGCAGTCATCGTGGGACGACAGGTGACTAAATTAGGCAGTCATCGTGGGACAACAGGTGACTAAATTAGGCAGCAGTCATCGTGGGACGACAGGTGACTAAATTAGGCAGTCTTCGTGAGACAAGAGGTGACTAAATTAGGCAGTCATCGTGGGACAACAGGTGACTAAATTAGGCAGTCATCGGGGGACGACAGGTATCTAAATTATATCTTATTGTGACTAACTTAGTCTGTTAACGGTAGCACGAACTGTGTTACCTGGAAATCCCGGTCAAAATGATTTTTGACGAGCTGGAAAGTTTCATATTCGGTGTGGTACAGAGCGTAGGACGAAATGTCGTATTTTTTCTGGACAAAGTACATTTTTAAATAAACATTTTAACTTGTATAATTGACATTTAACTAGTACATAAGTAATGTATATGACTTAAACTTAGTACATACCTTGAACTACCTATGTATGTGACGTAGTACACACCTACCCTGTCTACATAAGTGACGCAGTACACACCTACCCTGTCTACATATGTGACGTAGTACACACCTACCCTGTCTACATATGTGACGTAGTACACACCTACCCTGTCTACATATGTGACGTAGTACACACCTACCCTGTCTACATAAGTGACGTAGTACACACCTACCCTGTCTACATATGTGACGTAGTACACACCTACCCTGTCTACATAAGTGACGTAGTACACACCTACCCTATCATACGAGTAACGCAGGTCTACGGATGTCACCCCAGCTTGTTGCAACAGGGGGGCGTAGTCGCTGCCAGAACCCAGGCCAGAGGTCCTAGAGTAGACAGACATTTGGTGTTAGATTAGACAGACATTTGGTGTTAGATTAGACAGACATTTGGTGTTAGATTAGACAGACATTTGATAGAGGTCCTAGATTAGACAGACATTTGGTGTTAGATAAGACAGACATTTGATAGAGGTCATGGATTAGACAGACATTTGGTGTTAGCTAAGACAGACATTTGGTAGAGGTGCTAGATTAGACAGACATTTGGTGTTAGATAAGACAGACATTTGATAGAGGTCCTAGATTAGACAGACATTTGGTGTTAGATAAGACAGACATTTGGTGTTAGATAAGACAGACATTTGGTGTTAGATAAGACAGACATTTGGTGTTAGATAAGACAGACATTTGGTGTTAGATAAGACAGACATTTGGTAGAGGTGCTAGATTAGACAGACATTTGATGTTAGATTAGACAGACATTTGGTGTTAGATAAGACAGACATTTGGTGTTAGATAAGACAGACATTTGGTAGAGGTGCTAGATTAGACAGACATTTGGTGTTAGATAAGACAGACATTTGGTATTAGATAAGACAGACATTTGGTAGAGGTCCTAGATTAGACAGACATTTGGTGTTAGATTAGACAGATATTTGGTTTTAGATAAGACAGACATTTAGTAGAGGTCCTAGATTAGACAGACATTTGGTGTTAGATAAGAAAGACATTTAGTAGAGGTCCTAGATTAGACAGACATATGGTGTTAGATAAGACAGACATTTAGTAGAGGTCCTAGATTAGACAGACATATGGTGTTAGATAAGACAGACATTTAGTAGAGGTCCTAGATTAGACAGACATTTGGTGTTAGATAAGACAGACATTTGATAGAGGTCCTAGATTAGACAGACATTTGGTGTTAGATAAGACAGACATTTGATAGAGGTCCTAGATTAGACAGACATTTGGTGTTAGATAAGACAGACATTTGATAGAGGTCCTAGATTAGACAGACATTTAATAGAGGTGCTGGATAAGACAGACTTGGATAGATCCTAGATTAGACAGACATTTGATAGAGGTCCTACTTTGGACTAGATTTTAAAAAAATTCTATACAAATATAAAATGTACTCTAAGAAGAGAAACACGTGAAATGTGATCTAGGACAAGCTAGGGTAGCTAACTTTGCTTACGCAGGCACGTCGTTGTGTGGTGTCACGTGGTACCAGGTGTCGTAGACCGTCTGTCTGCCTGCTGCCACTTCTGCTGGGTCAGGGTTAGGTACCTGTTATTGTACAGGGATTAGGGTTAGGTACCTGTGATTGTACAGGGATTAGGGTCAGGGTTAGCTACCTGTGATTGTACAGGGATTAGGGTCAGGGTTAGGTACCTGTGATTGTACAGGGATTAGGGTCAGGGTTAGGTACCTGTGATTGTACAGGGATTAGGGTCAGGGTTAGGTATCTGTGATTGTACAGGGATTAGGATCAGGGTTAGGTACCTGTGATTGTACAGGGATTAGGGTCAGGGTTAGGTACCTGTGATTGTACAGGGATTAGGGTCAGGGTTAGGTACCTGCGATTGTACAGGGATTAGGGTCAGGGTTAGGTACCTGTGATTGTACAGGGATTAGGGTTAGGTACCTGTGATTGTACAGGGATTAGGGTTAGGTACCTGTGATTGTACAGGGATTTGGGTCAGGGTTAGCTACCTGTGATTGTACAAGGAATGGGTTGACATAAAAAAGTCAGACTGCATGAAAAAAACATAGCTTACCTATTTACATGCCTCAAATAAAACATCGCTTACCTGTTTACATGCCTCAAACAAAACATCGAGCATAAGGGGCGTGGCCAGAGCCCTGAGCGTGTCGTTACCTGGTGAGACAAGTTTGGGAGTTGAGACGGTAATTTTTTAGAGTTGCCTACCTTAGATAATGTTCTAGAGTTGCCTACCTTATATAATGTTCTAGAGTTGCCTACCTTACCTAATATTCTGGAGTTGCCTACCTTATATAATGTTCTAGAGTTGCCTACCTTACCTAATATTCTGGAGTTGCCTACCTTACCTAAAGTTCTAGAGTTGCCTACCTTACCTAATGTTCTAGAGTTGCCTACCTTATTTAATGTTCTAGAGTTGCCTACCTTACCTAATGTTCTAGAGTTGCCTACCTTACCTAATGTTCTAGAGTTGCCTACCTTACCTAATGTTCTAGAGTTGCCTACCTTACCTAATGTTCTAGAGTTGCCTACCTTACCTAATGTTCTAGAGTTGCCTACCTTATATAATGTTCTAGAGTTGCCTACCTTGCACCGCCAGATCAACGTTAATGTATGCTACAGCTCGTTCCCTCAAGACGGCCACGTATTGCTGGGGGAAGGAGAAAACAAGAGTTACTGCCCCTCACTAAACTTACCCACTAACTGGGGGACGGAGAAAACAAGAGTTACTGCCCCTCAATAAACTTACCCACTAACTGGGGGACGGAGAAAACAAGAGTTACTGCCCCTCAATAAACTTACTCACTAACTGGGGGACGGAGAAAACAAGAGTTACTGCCCCTCAATAAACTTACCCACTAACTGGGGGACGGAGAAAACAAGAGTTACTGCCCCTCAATAAACTTACCCACTAACTGGGGGACGGAGAAAACAAGAGTTACTGCCCCTCAATAAACTTACCCACTAACTGGGGGACGGAGAAAACAAGAGTTACTGCCCCTCAATAAACTTACTCACTAACTGGGGGACGGAGAAAACAAGAGTTACTGCCCCTCAATAAACTTACCCACTAATCCAAAACTTACACAGTGTTTCAAACTCACCCAAACTGACCAAAAAAACCCAAACTGACCAATTAACTCAAACTGACCAACTCACCCAAACTGATCAACTAACCCAGACTGACCAACTAACCCAAACTGACCAACTAACTCAAGCTGACCAACTAGCCTAATCTGACCGAAAAACCCAAACTGACCAACAAACCCAAACTGACCCCTAACCCAAAGTGACCCCTAACCTAAACTGACCTCTACCCATTCTGTGGAACCAATCAGTCCGAACTCCTCAGCTCCCCAGGAACAAAACACAATAGATCGTCGTGGTCTCCACTTGCCTGAGGGATGTATACAACATCAATAACAATATCAACTACAGCATCAATAACAACATCAATTACAACATCAATTACAACGTCAATTACAACGTCAATTACAACATCAATTACAACATCAACAACAACATCAATAACAACAACAATTACAACATCAACTACAACATTAATAACAACATCAACGACAACATTAATTACAACATCAATAACAACATCAACTACAACATCAATTAGAACATCAACTACAACATCAATTACAACATCAATTACAACATTAATTACAACATCAATTACAACATCAATTACAACATCAATTACACATCAATTACAACATCAATTACACATCAATTACAACATCAATTACAACATCAACTACAACATCAACTACAACATCAACTACAACATCAACTTCAGCATCAATTACAGCATCAATTGCAACATCAATTACAAAATCGATAACAACATCAATTACAACATTAATTACAACATCAATTACAACATCAATTACAACATCAATTACAATATCGATTAAAACATATAATTCTTAATCTAATTTCTTTAAGTAAATCAGCTAAACTTATATATGAAGTTGTCTTGGTGATAGAAGTCTTTAGTAAGAAGGAAATGAGGTCTATGTGAATATGCCAAGCCTTATTTAAAACTAGCGTACCCGTCCCTGCGCGTTGCCTCAGGGATAGAAGAAAGTCTGACGAAATATATAAGAAGTGTTTCATCAATGCGTTACCGTTTTCTTAAACTGAGTTATTTAAATGTAAACAATGTCTGCGCTTGGGTTATAAAAATCGGGACACGGGTTTACGCACACAGCCGCATAAAAACATTGAGTGTACGTTAATCACTCACCGAAATACGTACCAAGTACTTAGAGGGTCGCTTTCGAAACCTCCATTACACTACCTCAGAGGCATCGCAGACAGCCCCTGGCTCCATAAAACTAACATAGGCGCCACAGTGCTCACAGGATAACCAAAATAGCATCCTGAAACAATGCAGATAGTGTCATTCGCTAAAGTGACACAAATCAACAGGATTTATTCTTTAATACGTAGAAAAAAATATCTGTCGTGTTATAAACATTAGTGTGACTGATGCAATTTGTTAGCGTTACTAATGGTGTATTATTAGATGCTCGATCTCAATTTCTGATTGGATCGTTTAAAAATAGCTGCTAATTGCATCCTTTGCAAACTGACATTTTTGCCAAATCGCACATACTACGGCGCCGGCGGACACGCCTGATTCAATTTATTGAGCGACTGTAACGCCCCATCTTATCCATTGTCTGTAGCACTGTTCAGAACGAGCGCATGCGCAATTGCGCTCAAGGGAAACCCAAGGCGCCAAATCGAACCTTGCAGGAGCGCCGAAAGACGCGCCTAGTTCGATATAGTCAACGATTATTGTTGCCCATCGTGTCTTTAGTGTATAGTCTTTTATTAAACGAACTTAGGCGCCATAGTGCTCGCAGGGGACCGCGGGGCGCTTCGGGTCGTGCAATCTACGGGGCGCCGACGGTTGCACCTGTTAAAGTTTTAACGCTGAATATAGTAGTACCCTTTACGCGGTATGCAGGATGCACGATTAACGGATGCCATGTGCTCACATAGCCGCTCTAGAACTCTGGGCGTCACATCACCTCTTTACTTAACCGTACTAGCACCTGTTTACCTGACTGTACCAAACACCTGTTTACCTGACTGTACCAAACACCTGTTTACCTGACTGTACCAAACACCTGTTTACCTGACTGTACCAAACACCTGTTTACCTGACTGTACCAAACACCTGTTTACCTGACTGTACCAAACACCTGTTTACCTGACTGTACCAAACACCTGTTTACCTGACTGTACCAAACACCTGTTTACCTGACTGTACCAAACACCTGTTTACCTGACTGTACCAAACACCTGTTTACCTGACTGTACCAAACACCTGTTTACCTGACTGTACCAAACACCTGTTTACCTGACTGTACCAAACACCTGTTTACCTGACTGTACTAGCTCCCCCATGACCCTGGCCACCTCCAACATAACGGCTGTACCACTGGAGGGGTCAATGGCCCCATAGATCCAGGCGTCACGATGGTTACCAAACAGCACGTACCTGTCTGTTAACAAATCAGATGGTCATTAATCTCTGGTGACTAAACAAATCAGATGGTCATTTAAAGCGTAAAGATCTCTCAGGTGACTAATCAAATCAGATGGTCATTAAAGCGTAAAGATATCTCTGGTTACTAACTAAATAAATAACCTTTATAGCGACAAGCTTTTTATTGCTCTGAAAATAAGAAAATAAAACTAATTTGCTTTCTGTCATGAAAGCTTTTATCGCTAACTAAAATATGTAGGCCTAAAGATTTTATGAGAAACCTAAACTTTTATGTAAGAAAGCAAATTAGTTTTATTTTTAATGCATTTAAAAGCGTGTTAGTATAATGGTTTTTTTTTATATTAGTTATATTTTCTACTTTTTACTAGTTCCTAATTTATGAAGTCGACACGACTAAACATATCTATATATATATATAATTCTCTTCTTGGAGACGTTAGAAAACACCAAGCTGTAAGCGCGCTTAGCAGTCCCCTCTCTTCCTCTCTAGGCACATCGCAACCACCCCCACCCCCACATGGTCTGGTGAGCAGTGTTTCACGCTAAATGTTTACAATCGTAGAGCCGGGTTTAGTGACGCCTATTAGGGGCAGATAACTATTTTAAACTTAAGGAAGATAACTAAAAGGAGGCTGCTTTCACAGGGGGGGGGGGGGTAGGGTAGGGGTTTGGGGGAAAAGGAGGGTGGGGGGGGGGGGTATCATCCTTAACGACTTACTGATAGTGTTTTAAAGCAAATATTTTCAGTGGCAGCATTGGTACTGTCGAATTCACAAATTATGAATTACTGGAAAGTAGAAAAAACAACAACTAAATAGCGGCGTATGATACGCCGCGGGTCGGCTCGTTTGCTTTAAAACACAACCAGAAGTGAAAGACATTTATGTACCCCGTGAAAACAGCCGTCTGTGATTACAGTTTACAACAGCGAGCTATTCAAGTAAAGGACAGTTCTAAATCTAGTTACCTCCCGTTAGTTTCAAATCGTTTAAAAACTATAATATTATTATCCGCCCCCAATAACCTTCACTATCTCGACCCGGCTAAACGATTGTAAACATTCAGCGTGAACCAGAACTCAGCAAACTGGTAGAGTGATCGCGTCTAGCCAGTTATCTCCCCTTATGTTATTGAATATAGTAATCTATCAAGTAATTTCATTTTTCAATCTCCCTTTAGTTTTGAAACCGTTTAATTAATGACTTTTTAAGCATCTAATTAAATTTAAAAAAATACTTGTATTTTCATCTAAGCGGAATGTATATGGAAAGTTTGAACGAAATGGTTGCATTAAAAGTGGGTCAAAATTAGTAAGAAGAGTTACCACAAACAAACAAACTGACGTTGTTAACTAAACAAAAGTTTGTAATTAATAGAGTTTTAGGTTCAGGGCATTTTTCCTGAGTCTGTTACCAATTCGTTCAATCAAGCATAATATTAGAGTTAACTGTAAAATAAAAATACGATTGGGGGTGGGGGATGGGGGGGGGTGCTGTAAGTAAAAGATGGCCATACCTGGCTCCTCTTCTCCTTCAATGATGCCAAACACGTTCTCGATTTTTCTTCGGGTGTTTGTGTTGGTCACATTCAGCTGTAGCTTCCTGCTGACAAATGGGCACATGTCACATTGTGTCACATTTTGTCACATCATGTCACATTGTGTCACACTAGTGCCAACTTACAAGCCACCAACGGTTCAGCCTCCACCACAAACTAACTCGATCGACAGCAACCCCTCCACAACTCTGCACACCACAACCTCCCCACCACGACCCTACGTTCCACAACCCAGCACCCCACCAGCCCTCAGCACCCCAGCACCCCACCTCCCCTCAGCACCTCACCTCCCCTCGGCACCCCACCTCCCCTAAGCACTCCAGCACCCACCAGGTAGAGTTGAGGAAGCCCGGCCCCAGCCTGTAGGTGATGTTGAGCCCTCCACTCCAGGTGGTCGGCGCCACGGCTCCACTCAGTTGTCTGGGGAAACAAGACTCGTCTAGTTCACTTGGGAGGTTCCATCACGTGATCAAAGCCACTTCAATACGTTAAAGCCACGTCATTACGTCAAAACCAAGTCATTACGTCAAAACCAAGTCATTACGCCAAAGCCACGTCATTACGTTAAAGCCAAGTCATTACGTTAGAGTTACATCATTATATTTAAGTTGATTCATCTTGATGAAATTTAATAGCTAACTAGACTACCCGTCATCCTTTGGATAACTGTGGGTTTCGGGGGTCATCCATCAAAAAGCATCACGTCTGTCACTCAGAGGCGTAGCGACCCTTCCCGGCGCCCGGGAACAAACTTTCCGATTTGAACCCCCCCCCCCCGCAAGATTTCGATTTGCAACCCCCCCACCTCAAACTTTCGATTTGCACCCCCCTGAACCTTTCAATTTATTTTTCCTACCCATTTTGGCGCCCCCTAAGGTCGGCGCCCGGGGACATATGTGTCCCCTCCCCCCACCCCCCCCCCCCCCCCCCGCTAAGCTACTGCAGTGTCACTTATCGTCACAAAAAAAACAGACCCCCACATTAAAAAATATGTTTTTTTATCTTTTAAAAACACCGAAAACAGCGATTTCGAACTATCCCTTCATATACTGACGTCAAAGGTGACCTACTCAACTCTACTTCACCTGCCCAGTGTCCCGCCAAGTTTCAGACAACATGTTTTTATCTTTTAAAAAACGATTCCAGCCGAGCATGTCTCTGACCACACTATCCCTTCATATGCTTAGGATAAAGAAACAGATGAACTCTACTTCACCTGCCCTATATCCCGCCAAGTTCAGATAGGCAACTTTATCATTCACATCTAAAAAATAAAATAAAAATTGAAAAAAAATATCATTGACGTATTGGTCTAGAACCTGTGCCACCCGCATGTGAGCCGATTACACTAACAACTTAGCTATTTACTCGTGACGTCACAGATGAATCTTTATACTATACTTTAATACTTTGAGTCTCCTTATGCAACTTGATTTACGCGCATAAGTCTAGTAGTAGATCTAGTAACTTTCAAATTAAATTTTATCTTAAATTAGCCAAACAAAGATTTATATAAAATAAAGAAGATCTGAAATTATCTAGATCTAGATAGAATTATCTAGATCTAGATTCTACGACTCGTTTGCTTAAGTCTAGAATCTAGAAGATCTAGATCTAGATCTATTTGCCTAACTCTTTCTAGATCTAGAATCTAGAAATTCTAGATCTAGAATCTAGATCTAGATAGATAAATCACAAAGATTTATATCAAGTATTTAAGGACTAAAAATGTATTATGATTATAAAATGGATTGTATTTTTATTTAGTTAATCTTTGGTATGTATCTAATTAATCTTTTGTTTGACTTAGATTCTAGATCTAGATCTATAAATAACTTGCTTGGTCACATGATATTTTTAGATCTAGATCTATAAATACCTTTCTTGGTCAGATTGTAGAGCTAGAGAAATTTATTGTAAAACTAAATGAAAAAGACAGTTGAAAATTTATATAAGTGTTGGAACGTAATAAATACAGCAGACGGACGCATTGTTAAAGTTATGGCCGACAGAAAATTAGATTTAGAACGCGTTAAACTTTTGAATGGGCCTATGATGGAAGCCGCCATTTTATTGTACTAAAAATATAAACAAAAAATGTGACGTCACGGTTCCGTCGAGTCTAGTGGTTTTTCTAATCTTTTTAAAAAAAAATTTGGTTAATCTACCTATGAATAAATCAATAAATTAATTAACGTCTTTAAATAAATGTGTGATTAACAGTCTGTCTGCAATAAAAAAATATTCTCTACCTACATACTATTTTACAGCTCTCCAGATAGAGTAGAACCATTTACAATAGTAAATCAGACAGATAGTTTTAGTAGTATAAATAATATAGATGTCAAATGACATTAACAGCTCGTTTTCTTACTTTAAAATATTATAAGCAGCTCCGTATCCGATTGGCTGAGATGGAATTGTAGGCGTGGTCAAATTGTCGGTACGTCGGTAGGCCAGATCTGGGAAACGGAAGGTGTTAGGACCAGAGTTTCTTCCAGGCTTCTCTTCGGGGGGGGGGGGGGGGGGGGGGGGGTTCGAAGGGGGGGGGGGGTGGTCGGAGCTCCCCCGAAGAAAGTCTACCGCCCCCCCCCCCGGTCGGGATGGAATTTATATCGTAAACATTCACTTTAACTAGTGTCCGCCCCCTCCCCTCCCCCCCCGAAAAATGTTGACCGCCCCCCCCAATATCAAGTGCCCCCCCCCCCCCCCCCCCCCGGAGAAAAAAGTCTGGAAGAAACACTTATTAAGACTCATCATGTTTACCTACTTACTGTTGGCTGGTCTGATGGTGCCCCCCTACTTACTGTTGGCTGGTCTGATGGTGCCCCCCCTACTTACTGTTGGCTGGTCTGATGGTGCCCCCCCCTACTTACTGTTTGCAGATGTGATGGTGCCCCCCCCCTACATACTGTTGGCTGGTCTGATGGTGCCCCCCTACTTACTGTTGGCTGGTCTGATGGTGCCCCCCTACTTACTGTTGGCTGGTCTGATGGTGCCCCCCCCTACTTACTGTTGGCTGTTCTGATGGTGCCCCCCCCTACTTACTGTTGGCTGGTCTGATGGTGCCCCCCCCCCCCTACTTACTGTTTGCAGATGTGATGGTGCCCCCCCCCCTACATACTGTTGGCTGGTCTGATGGTGCCCCCCCCCCTACTTACTGTTTGCAGATGTGATGGTGCCCCCCCCCCCCCTACATACTGTTGGCTGGTCTGATGGTGCCCCCCCCCTACTTACTGTTTGCAGATGTGATGGTGCCCCCCCCCCCTACATACTGTTGGCTGGTCTGATGGTGCCCCCCCCTACTTACTGTTGGCTGGTCTGATGGTGCCCCCCCTACTTACTGTTGGCTGGTCTGATGGTGCCCCCCACTTACTGTTGGCAGCTAGCCCAGGTGTGCTGGGGTCCCCTTGGCCGGACATGACTGTGCCCCGCTGGGCCCCTGTGGGTGGCATCCACCAAGTGTCTGGGTAGACCCGTGGGTCCCCGGCCCTCCAGCCCGTGTAGTCGGCCGGGTCTGTGTACATGAGGACACCCACAGCGCCGTGTGACGCCGCAATCTCCACCTGCAAGATGACATCAGGTGTGGGAGACTTCACCAAATGACATCAGGTGTGAGAGACTTCACCAAATGACATCAGGTGTGGGAGACTTCACCAAATGACATCAGGTGTGGGAGACTTCACCAAATAACACCAAGAATGTAAAGTATACATAAAAGTGCGCAAAACATTCCTAAACAGTTTTTTGGTATCTTCAGAATTTCAGTAACTAGTTGCGCATTTTTCTGTCTACGCAAATTTCTGTTTGCGCATTCTTCTACTGCACAATTTTCCGTTGTATGCTTTTCTGGGAACCAGACAAACTATGCGCCATGGACAACAACAACCAGCCCTCCAACACTCTTGTAGTCATCACGACAGTTTATGTTGGTTTGTTTTCCCACAAGGCCTGACACAGCTTCCCCTGATTGTGGTACTGAGAGATACCCTCTTTTTTTATGTGGCTGTAGCATTGGTTGAGTGTGTTTACATATAACGATAGGTTCCCTCTTTTTAACACGTTTTTAACACGTTTTTATTAACTCAGCTTCGCGTTTGTGGATTTGTTTGTTGTTAAAATTGACATCGAAAATTAGCCCACTTCTGATTGCTCTAGAGATCTGAAATTTGGCATGCAGGCTACTTTCGCCTAACAATTTCAGATGCAATCATAAAAACTAGCAATTAGAGACCGTAATTAGCTTAATTTAATTACGCCCCAAGGACCATAAAATTGAGGACATGATTTCTAAAGATACCGACAAGACTGGAGTCCTATTGACACAGTTACTTCGGCCCCAATCGAGGTGAGCGCGCTGGCCGTGATCGTATAGTGGTTAGTACTTCGCGTTGTGGCCGCGACAACCCAGGTTCGAATCCTGGTACCTCAATAGTTTTAGTCCGTGTATTTATAAACACTTAGTCAAGTCATACTCAAGTCATTAGATAAAGTAGAAAATAAACTATATAAAAAACTTTTTTTAAAAACCACGTTTTTCATGTGTAGCAACGGACTAAAAAGGAGAAAATAAAATACTAAAAAAAAACTTTTTAAAAAACCACGTTTTTCTTGTGGACTAAAAAGAAGAAAATAAATTTTTCTTTTGTGCTTCCTCGAGCTGTGCAGGTTCTTGTGATGACTGACAAAAAACGTGGGTCGGGCAGATGGGTCGGGAAATTTGATGGTGAACGTACCCACGTTTTTTGTCAGTCATCACAAGAACCTGCACAGCTCGAGGAAGCACAAAAGAAAAATTTATTTTCTTCTTTTTAGTCCACAAGAAAAACGTGGTTTTTTAAAAAGTTTTTTTAAAGTATTTTATTGTATGTGGTTGTAGCCTTGGTTGAGTGCGTTTACATAGAACGATAGGTTCCCTCTTTTTGTATGTGGTTGTAGCCTTGGTTGAGTGTGTTTACATGGAGTGAGAGGTGTTCACGTGAGGGTTGACAGTTGACGGGGGACACAGCGTGTGTTACGGTGTGTTGACAGCGAGAGGACGTGGACGAGTGTGTTAAGTATTGTACCAGTGACGTCGTTAGGCAACAAATGGTGTCATCCCTTCTCCACTCGAAAAAAATCCCTCTATATACATATACATATGTAGTACATATATATATATATATATATATATATATATATATATATATATATATATATATATATATATGCCACATACATTTCTAAGTCTATGTTTATATGTATTTTAATATGAGTGTCGCGAGCCAACCAGTTGTATTCGCACACGTACACTATTGTACAATAATTTGCTTGATTGAATGTGTACATTTGTACATTTCCAATGTGGTGTCACCCCAATTCATTTCGATGGACTGTGTATTTGTGCAATCATTATATTAATGGACTGTGTATTTGGTGTCACCCCCTAAATTTTTATCGAAGGTCGTCAATTTGTGCAAACATGATATTAATGGACTGTGTATTTGGTGTCACCCCCTAAATTTTTATCGAAGGTCGTCAATTTGTGCAAACATGATATTAATCAACCCAGATAAATCATTTAGGGCCCAACGCTAACAGTTTTTTTAATTCAAGTGGAAAAATCATTGTATTTGTAGTAAATTATTAAATTTGGTGTCACCCGCCCCTCGACCTCGCTACACCTCTTTATTGTAGTATCGTATTTTGTATTATTTTCGAGTAATCTATGTCCAGTATTAAACATTGTGTGGTCCTGTGTATTGTGTGGTCCTGTGTATTGTGTGGTCCTGTGTATTGTGTGGTCCTGTGTATTGTGTGGTCCTGTGTATTGTGTGGTCCTGTGTATTGTGTGGTCCTGTGTATTGTGTGGTCCTGTGTATTGTGTGGTCCTGTGTATTGTGTGGTCCTGTGTATTGTGTGGTCCTGTGTATTGTGTGGCCAACATTGTGTGGTCCTGTGTATTGTGTGGTCCTGTGTATTGTGTGGTCCTGTGTATTGTGTGGTCCTGTGTATTGTGTGGTCCTGTGTATTGTGTGGGCCTGTGTATTGTGTGGTCCTGTGTATTGTGTGGTCCTGTGTATTGTGTGGTCCTGTGTATTGTGTGGTCCTGTGTATTGTGTGGTCCTGTGTATTGTGTGGTCCTGTGTATTGTGTGGTCCTGTGTATTGTGTGGTCCTGTGTATTGTGTGGTCCTGTGTATTGTGTGGTACTGTGTATTGTGTGGTCCTGTGTATTGTGTGGTCCTGTGTATTGTGTGGTCCTGTGTATTGTGTGGTCCTGTGTATTGTGTGGTCCTGTGTATTGTGTGGTCCTGTGTATTGTGTGGTCCTGTGTATTGTGTGGTCCTGTGTATTGTGTGGTCCTGTGTATTGTGTGGTCCTGTGTATTGTGTGGTCCTGTGTATTGTGTGGTCCTGTGTATTGTGTGGTCCTGTGTATTGTGTGGTCCTGTGTATTGTGTGGTCCTGTGTATTGTGTGGTCCTGTGTATTGTGTGGCCAACATTGTGTGGTCCTGTGTATTGTGTGGTCCTGTGTATTGTGTGGTCCTGTGTATTGTGTGGTCCTGTGTATTGTGTGGTCCTGTGTATTGTGTGGGCCTGTGTATTGTGTGGTCCTGTGTATTGTGTGGTCCTGTGTATTGTGTGGTCCTGTGTATTGTGTGGTCCTGTGTATTGTGTGGTCCTGTGTATTGTGTGGTCCTGTGTATTGTGTGGTCCTGTGTATTGTGTGGTCCTGTGTATTGTGTGGTCCTGTGTATTGTGTGGTACTGTGTATTGTGTGGTCCTGTGTATTGTGTGGTCCTGTGTATTGTGTGGTCCTGTGTATTGTGTGGTCCTGTGTATTGTGTGGTCCTGTGTATTGTGTGGTCCTGTGTATTGTGTGGTCCTGTGTATTGTGTGGTCCTGTGTATTGTGTGGGCCTGTGTATTGTGTGGTCCTGTGTATTGTGTGGTCCTGTGTATTGTGTGGTCCTGTGTATTGTGTGGTCCTGTGTATTGTGTGGTCCTGTGTATTGTGTGGTCCTGTGTATTGTGTGGGCCTGTGTATTGTGTGGTCCTGTGTATTGTGTGGTCCTGTGTATTGTGTGGTCCTGTGTCTTGGAGTCAGATGAAGAGCCAGACAGTGGGAGTGGGATAAATTCATGTAAGCTTGTATCTGTGTGCTTGTATCTGTGTGCTTGCATCTGTGTGCTTGCATCTGTGTGCTTGCATCTGTGTGCTTGCATCTGTGTGCTTGCATCTGTGTGCTTGCATCTGTGTGCTTGCATCTGTGTGCTTGCATCTGTGTGCTTGCATCTGGCATCTGTGTGCTTGCATCTGTGTGCTTGCATCTGTGTGCCTGCATCTGTGTGCTTGCATCTGTGTGCTTGCATCTGTGTGCTTGCATCTGTGTGCTTGCATCTCTGTGCTTGCATCTGGCATCTGTGTGCTTGCATCTGTGTGCTTGCATCTGTGTGCCTGCATCTGTGTGCTTGCATCTGTGTGCTTGCATCTGTGTGCTTGCATCTGTGTGCTTGCATCTGTGTGCTTGCATCTGGCATCTGTGTGCCTGCATCTGTGTGCTTGTATCTGTGTGCTTATCATGTGCCGGTTAGTTTTTGTGCCGCTCGTATACAAACACAAGTTAAGCTTCACGTACCTTATCTCCCCTGAATATCTTGCCGTATTTGACGAGAACCACGTGACCTGTGACGTCAACACCATAGCCGGCCAGTACCGTGTAGTCCTCCACTCGTCCGTAACCAACGTAAACAACTTGACCCTGGATACGGCAGAAACTGGACTTGACATGTTGTATACAAACACACAAACAAACAAACATGTATTGCCAGTAGAAGTGGATGAAACCAAGCACTTGTTGGCGCAAAACATAAAACCTACAATTGATGAGCTACCTACCTGTACACACCTATACCAACAGTGGATGAGCTACCTACCTGTACCAACAGTGGATGAGCTACCTACCTGTACCAACAGTGGATGAGCTACCTACCTGTACCAACAGTGGATGAGCTACCTACCTGTACCAACAGTGGATGAGCTACCCACCTGTACCCACCTGTACCAACATTGGATGAGCTACCTACCTGTACCAACAGTGGATGAGCTACCTACCTGTACCAACAGTGGATGAGCTACCCACCTGTACCAACAGTGGATGAGCTACCTACCTGTACCCACCTGTACCCACCTGTACCCACCTGTACCAACTTTGGATGAGCTACCTACCTGTACCAACAGTGGATGAGCTACCTACCTGTACCAACAGTGGATGAGCTACCTACCTGTACACACCTATACCAACAGTGGATGAGCTACCTACCTGTACCAACAGTGGATGAGCTACCTACCTGTACCAACAGTGGATGAGCTACCTACCTATAGACACCTGTACCAACAGTGGATGAGCTACCTACCTGTACCAACAGTGGATGAGCTACCCACCTGTACCAACAGTGGATGAGCTACCTACCTGTACCAACAGTGGATGAGCTACCTACCTGTACCAACAGTGGATGAGCCACCTACCTGTACCAACAGTGGATGAGCCACCTACCTGTACCAACAGTGGATGAGCTACCTACCTGTACCAACAGTGGATGAGTTACCTACCTGTACCAACAGTGGATGAGCTACCTACCTGTACCCACCTGTACCCACCTGTACCCACCTGTACCCACCTGTACCAACAGTGGATGAGCTACCTACCTGTACCAACAGTGGATGAGCTACCTACCTGTACCCACCTGTACCAACAGTGGATAAGCTACCTACCTATAGACACCTGTACTAACAGTGGATGAGCTACCTACCTCAACTAGACCGCTGGGAGAGTAGGCATGAAAGGGTTGGACAACATCCGGTCTTGTCGTGACGTCACTCTCGTCACGGACGGCGTCATAGATGATCGTGCCGTCGGCGGCCACCAACCGGACGCTGTTGGTGCCCGCGGGGTAGGACAAGAGGACGTCATAGGGCGTGGTCTGCACGTGCAGGCCGGACTGCCGAAACCGGTCCTTGACCAACCGGGCCAACACGGCGTCGTTCTCCTGTCCTGCTATGTGGGGCTTCAGGCTTAGCTGTCTGATGACACATGACATTTGGCTGTAATGTTTGGTGAAACATGACATTTGGCTGTAATGTTTGGTGACACATGACATTTGGTTGTAATGTTTGGTGACACATGACATTTGGCTGTAGTGTTTGGTGACACATGATATTTGGTTGTAATGTTTGGTGACACATGACATTTGGTTGTAATGTTTGGTGACACATGACATTTGGCTGACATTTGGCTGTAATGTTTGGTGAACATGACATTTGGTTGTAATGTTTGGTGACACATGACATTTGGCTGTAATGTCTGGTGACACATGACATTTGGTTGTAATGTTTGGTGACACATAACATTTGGCATGACATTTGGTTGTAATGTTTGGTGACACATGACATTTGGTTGTAATGTTTGGTGACACATGACATTTGGCTGTAATGTTTGGTGACACATGACATTTGGCTGTAATGTTTAGTGAACATGAAATTTGGTTGTAATGTTTGGTGACACATGACATTTGGTTGTAATGTTTGGTGACACATGACATTTGACTGTAATGTGTGATGACACATGACATTTGGTTGTAATGTGTGATGACACATGACATTTGGAATTAATGTCTGGTGACACATGGCATTTTGTTGTAATGTTTGGTGACACATGACATTTGGCTGTAATGTTTGGTGACACATGACATTTGACTGTAATGTTTGGTGACACATGACATTTGGTTGTAATGTGTGATGACACATGACATTTGGTTGTAATGTGAGATGACACATGACATTTGGAATTAATGTCTGGTGACACACGACATTTGGTTGTTATGTGTGATGACATATGACATTTGGAACAAATGTCTGGTGGCATATGACATTTGGTTGTAATGTTTGATGACACATGACATTTGGAATTAATTTTTGGTGACACATGACATTTGGTGATAAATAGTGATGACACATGGCATTTGGCACTAATGTCTGGTGATACATGACACTTTGAGTTAATGTCTGGTGACACAGTGATATAAAACATGTGCTATATTGTCAGTTGTGTGATATAAAACACGTGCTATATTGTCAGTTGTGTGATATAAAAGACGTGCTATATTGTCAGTTGTGTGATATAAAAGACGTGCTATATTGTCAGTTGTGTGATATAAAAGACGTGCTATATTGTCAGTTGTGTGATATAAAAGACGTGCTATATTGTCAGTTGTGTGATATAAAAGACGTGCTATATTGTCAGTTGTGTGATATAAAAGACGTGCTATATTGTCAGTTGTGTGATATAAAAGACGTGCTATATTGTCAGTGGTGTGATATAAAAGACGTGCTATATTGTCAGTTGTGTGATATAAAAGACGTGCTATATTGTCAGTTGTGTGATATAAAAGACGTGCTATATTGTCAGTTGTGTGATATAAAAGACGTGCTATATTGTCAGTTGTGTGATATAAAAGACGTGCTATATTGTCAGTTGTGTGATATAAAAGACGTGAATCTAACACGGCACTAGCATATTCAAATCTTGCACAAACAAGACGACCTTGACCTAGATGGTATCCCATTAAAGTTTTATGATTTTTTAACGGCAAATGTTGCACATAAACTTGGGCCAGGAGCGTGCAGGCATTTCACCTGACATCTGATGACACTTTCTTCCTGACAGTTACTCACCTGTCGTTAGCTCACCTGACATTGCCACGTGAGATTGCCGCATGACATTTAACCACATGACACTGTATCAACTGACATTGCCACATGACATTGACATGACATTATCTCATTTGACATTTGCCCACCTGACATTTGCCCATCTGACATTTGCCCATCTGACATTTGCCCACCTGACATTTGCCCACCTGACATTTGCCTACCTGACATTTGCCCATCTGACATTTGCCTACCTGACATTTGCCCACCTGACATTTGCCCACTGTCTCACCTGAGCGTCTCCTCCATCCTCCCTGCATCAACGGCCGCCATGACTTGCTGTGAGATGGACGTGTTCCCCACCTGTTGCAGCCCCCCACGTGACTTGCTGGCCGGGTCAACGCTCTCCGTGCAAAGTGCGAATCTCCCCAGCAATAATCCAACAGCCAGGCCTATGGCTGCAGCAATAAATAGCACAACAGCTAGACAAAAACTGCTGCGTCTGTTCTGTAGTTTGAACCCAAGCTCCTGGTTAGTTCGGCTCATGTGGACTTGATCCAGCGACCCCATGCTCAGCGGCTAGACCGTCGACTCCACAAGACTCCACTAGATGACTGACTCTACAGGTAAACAAACCACAAGGCTCCACTAGATAACTGACTCTACAGGTAAACAGAAGGTCCACCTCACCGGCAGTAGTTCACCACTAGAGAACTGACTCTACAGGTAAACAGAAGGTCCACCTCAACGGCAGTAGTCCACCACTAGAGAACTGACTCTACAGGTAAACAGAAGGTCCACCTCACCGGCAGTAGTTCATCACTAGAGAACTGACTCTACAGGTAAACAGAAGGTCCACCTCACCGGCAGTAGTTCACCACTAGAGAACTGACTCTACAGGTAAACAGAAGGTCCACCTCACCGGCAGTAGTTCATCACTAGAGAACTGACTCTACAGGTAAACAGAAGGTCCACCTCACCGGCAGTAGTCCACCACTAGCTAACTGGCTCTACAGGTAAACAGAAGGTCCACCTCACCGGCAGTAGTTCACCACTAGCTAACTGGCTCTACAGGTAAACAGAAGGTCCACCTCACCTGGCCAGAGACTAAGACATTCGTCACTTGTCAAGACACCACTATGTGTCGTCAACTGGTCATGTGACATCTTCAGATAACAGCATAGCTCATTTGTTCTAAGCATAATTAATTAGTTTAAGCATAATTAACTAGTTGACAACTTAGCTGTTAGATTGATAGCATGGCTATGGCAGACACTGGACGTAAACGTGTTTGATAGCTAGAAAACATGTTTGATAGCTAGAAAACATGTTTGATAGCTAGAAAACATGTTTAATAGCTAGAAAACATGTTTGATAGCTAGAAAACATGTTTGATAGCTAGAAAACATGTTTGATAGCTAGAAAACATGTTTGATAGCTAGAAAACATGTTTGATAGCTAGAAAACGTGTTTGATAGCTAGAAAACATGTTTGATAGCTAGAAAACATGTTTGGTAGCTAGAAATCATGTTTGATAGCTAGAAATCATGTTGGATCGCTAGAAAATAAAGTGCGATGGATCCCCTCAAAACTTCCAACATTTCATCTTTCAAAGATGTCTTCAATTGCTTGTGGTCAGTATTTTTACCTCAATTTAGACCCGTTTATAATGGGATGTTTCTTCCAGACTATGTATATCGATGAGAGGCAATAATCTCTAAGTTTTCTATATAAGTCCTTCATTAGAGCTTAGGGGTAAGACCAGACAGGACAGGGGGTGAGGTAAGTGTTTGACCACTCGACCAGACAGGACATGAGGTGTTTGACCACTCGACCAGACAGGACATGAGGTGTTTGACCACTCGACCAGACAGGACATGAGGTGTTTGACCACTCGACCAGACAGGACATGAGGTGTTTGACCACTCGACCAGACAGGACATGAGGTATTTGACCACTCGACCTGACAGGACATGAGGTAAGTGTTTGACCACTCGACCAGACAGGACATGAGGTAAGTGTTTGACCACTCGAACAGACAGGACATTAGGTAAGTGTTTGACCACTCGACCAGACAGGACATGAGGTAAGTGTTTGACCACTCGACCAGACAGGACATGAGGTAAGTGTTTGACCACTCGACCAGACAGGACATGAGGTGTTTGACCACTCGACCAGACAGGACATGAGGTAAGTGTTTGACCACTCGACCAGACAGGACATGAGGTGTTTGACCACTCGACCAGACAGGACATGAGGTGTTTGACCACTCGACCAGACAGGACATGAGGTGTTTGACCACTCGACCAGGCAGGACATGAGGTAAGTGTTTGACCACTCGACCAGACAGGACATGAGGTAAGTGTTTGACCACTCGACCAGACAGGACATGAGGTAAGTGTTTGACCACTCGACCAGACAGGACATGAGGTGTTTGACCACTCGACCAGACAGGACATGAGGTAAGTGTTTGACCACTCGACCAGACAGGACATGAGGTGTTTGACCACTCGACCAGACAGGACATGAGGTAAGTGTTTGACCACTCGACCAGACAGGACATGAGGTAAGTGTTTGACCACTCGACCAGGCAGGACATGAGGTGTTTGACCACTCGACCAGACAGGACATGAGGTGTTTGACCACTCGACCAGGCAGGACATGAGGTGTTTGACCACTCGACCAGACAGGACATGAGGTAAGTGTTTGACCACTCGACCAGACAGGACATGAGGTAAGTGTTTGACCACTCGACCAGACAGGACATGAGGTGTTTGACCACTCGACCAGACATGACATGAGGTGTTTGACCACTCGACCAGACAGGACATGAGGTAAGTGTTTGACCACTCGACCAGACAGGACATGAGGTGTTTGACCACTCGACCAGACAGGACATGAGGTGTTTGACCACTCGACCAGACAGGACATGAGGTGTTTGACCACTCGACCAGGCAGGACATGAGGTAAGTGTTTGACCACTCGACCAGACAGGACATGAGGTAAGTGTTTGACCACTCGACCAGACAGGACATGAGGTAAGTGTTTGACCACTCGACCAGACAGGACATGAGGTGTTTGACCACTCGACCAGACAGGACATGAGGTAAGTGTTTGACCACTCGACCAGACAGGACATGAGGTGTTTGACCACTCGACCAGACAGGACATGAGGTGTTTGACCACTCGACCAGACAGGACATGAGGTGTTTGACCACTCGACCAGACAGGACATGAGGTGTTTGACCACTCGACCAGACAGGACATGAGGTGTTTGACCACTCGACCAGACAGGACATGAGGTGTTTGACCACTCGACCAGACAGGACATGAGGTGTTTGACCACTCGACCAGACAGGACATGAGGTGTTTGACCACTCGACCAGGCAGGACATGAGGTAAGTGTTTGACCACTCGACCAGACAGGACATGAGGTGTTTGACCACTCGACCAGACAGGACATGAGGTAAGTGTTTGACCACTCGACCAGACAGGACATGAGGTAAGTGTTTGACCACTCGACCAGACAGGACATGAGGTAAGTGTTTGACCACTCGACCAGACAGGACATGAGGTGTTTGACCACTCGACCAGACAGGACATGAAGTGTTTGACCACTCGACCAGACAGGACATGAGGTGTTTGACCACTCGACCAGACAGGACATGAGGTAAGTGTTTGACCACTCGACCAGGCAGGACATGAGGTAAGTGTTTTACCACTCGACTAGACAGGACATGAGGTGTTTGACCACTCGACCAGACAGGACATGAGGTGTTTGACCATTCGACCAGACAGGACATGAGGTGTTTGACCACTCGACCAGACAGGACATGAGGTAAGTGTTTGACCACTCGACCAGACAGGACATGAGGTAAGTGTTTGACCACTCGACCAGACAGGACATGAGGTGTTTGACCACTCGTTCAGACAGGACATGAGGTGTTTGACCACTCGACCAGACAGGACATGAGGTAAGTGTTTGACCACTCGACCAGACAGGACATGAGGTGTTTGACCACTCGACCAGATAGGACATGAGGTGTTTGACCACTCGACCAGACAGGACATGAGGTAAGTTTTTGACCACTCGACCAGACAGGACATGAGGTAAGTGTTTGACCACTCGACCAGACAGGACATGAGGTAAGTGTTTGACCACTCGACCAGACAGGACATGAGGTGTTTGACCACTCGACCAGACAGGACATGAGGTAAGTGTTTGACCACTCGACCAGACAGGACATGAGGTGTTTGACCACTCGACCAGACAGGACATGAGGTGTTTGACCACTCGACCAGGCAGGACATGAGGTAAGTGTTTGACCACTCGACCAGACAGGACATGAGGTAAGTGTTTGACCACTCGACCAGACAGGACATGAGGTGTTTGACCACTCGAGCAGGCAGGACATGAGGTAAGTGTTTGACCACTCGACCAGACAGGACATGAGGTAAGTGTTTGACCACTCGACCAGACAGGACATGAGGTAAGTGTTTGACCACTCGACCAGACAGGACATGAGGTGTTTGACCACTCGACCAGACAGGACATGAGGTAAGTGTTTGACCACTCGACCAGACAGGACAGGAGGTGTTTGACCACTCGACCAGACAGGACATGAGGTGTTTGACCACTCGACCAGACAGGACATGAGGTGTTTGACCACTCGACCAGACAGGACATGAGGTGTTTGACCACTCGACCAGACAGGACATGAGGTGTTTGACCACTCGACCAGGCAGGACATGAGGTAAGTGTTTGACCACTCGACCAGACAGGACATGAGGTGTTTGACCACTCGACCAGACAGGACATGAGGTGTTTGACCACTCGACCAGACAGGACATGAGGTGTTTGACCACTCGACCAGACAGGACATGAGGTGTTTGACCACTCGACCAGACAGGACATGAAGTGTTTGACCACTCGACCAGACAGGACATGAGGTAAGTGTTTGACCACTCGACCAGACAGGACATGAGGTAAGTGTTTGACCACTCGACCAGACAGGACATGAGGTGTTTGACCACTCGACCAGACAGGACATGAAGTGTTTGACCACTCGACCAGACAGGACATGAGGTAAGTGTTTGACCACTCGACCAGACAGGACATGAGGTAAGTGTTTGACCACTCGACCAGGCAGGACATGAGGTAAGTGTTTGACCACTCGACCAGACAGGACATGAGGTAAGTGTTTGACCACTCGACCAGGCAGGACATGAGGTAAGTGTTTGACCACTCGACCAGACAGGACATGAGGTGTTTGACCACTCGACCAGACAGGACATGAGGTGTTTGACCACTCGACCAGACAGGACATGAGGTGTTTGACCACTCGACCAGACAGGACATGAGGTGTTTGACCACTCGACCAGACAGGACATGAGGTAAGTGTTTGACCACTCGACCAGACAGGACATGAGGTGTTTGACCACTCGACCAGAGAGGACAAGAGGTGTTTGACCACTCGACCAGACAGGACATGAGGTGTTTGACCACTCGACCAGAGAGGACATGAGGTGTTTGACCACTCGACCAGACAGGACATGAGGTGTTTGACCACTCGACCAGACAGGTGAACTAGTATTAACACCTGCAGTTGCTACACACTCGACACAACACTTAGAAGATAACATGCCTCCCCGCTTAAGTTGATGTCAGATACTTAAAGCCAACATGTAGTGTTGGACATTGTGTTACTTGAATGTGGAGAATTACAATAGACGTGATTGGTCTAAACCTCAAACTAGATCCAATTACTGTTATTAGTCGACTATAACTTTACTTGGTTATATAGGTAGTCTACTAGAGCTTTACGTGGTTATAATGTAGTCTACTAGAGCTTTACGTGGTTATAATGTAGTCTACTAGAGCTTTACGTGGTTATACAGGTATGTTTTAAATCATGCACGAACAAAGTTATACTAACAAACTTTAAAACATACAACTTATTTGCCTGTTTATCAAATATATTAGAAAGCTTTGTAGAAGAACCAGTTCTTTTCCATCCAGAGTTGAAGAATAGTATTTTCTAAAGTCTTCCCGTGTGTGTTCACATGTATTTATTTAGAAAGCTAATGTTTACCGTTTGATGCCAGCCCATAGTTTGTTAGATTAAGTTAGCTAATGTTTACCATTTGATGCCAGCCCATAGTTGGTTAGATTAAGTTAGCTAATGTTTACCATTTGATACCAGCCCATAGTTCGTTAGATTAAGTTAGCTAATGTTTACCATTTGATGCCAGCCCATAGTTCGTTAGATTAAGTTAGCTAATGTTTACCATTTGATGCCAGCCCATAGTTTGTTAGATTAAGTTAGCTAATGTTTACCATTTGATGCCAGCCCATAGTTTGTTAGATTAAGTTAGCTAATGTTTACCATTTGATGCCAGCCCATAGTTCGTTAGATTAAGTTAGCTAATGTTTACCATTTGATGCCAGCCCATAGTTCGTTAAGTTCACTCAACTTATGACCTTGGCCAAAAACGACGTCAGTAAACTTCAAGAGAAACGTGTTTTACGAAACAATGTAACGGTATCAAAGGGGATAAAATGACGCCATTCATGGACACAGTGACGTCATTCACGGACACAGTCACACCATTCACGGACATAGTGACGCCATTCATGGAGACAGTGACGCCATTCATGGACACAGTGACGTCATTCATGGACACATTGACGTCAATCATGGACACAGTGACGCCAATCAAGCCATGAAGCACACATACAGTCTGTTTTATTTTTATTGCAATTATCCCTGCTGACTTATGATTTAAACAGAAATGAACAAGTCACGTGACATTGTACTTGGTAAAAAAACATTTATAAAAAATAAAAATTGACCGAAAAATAACAACGGTAAAAAAAACAGATTAAATGTACAGGGGGCTGGGCGTGATCAATACGTGTTTGTATGGAGTGGACGTGGTCAATGCGTGTTTGTATGGAGTGGGTGTGGTCAATGCGTGTTTGTATGGGGTGGGCCTGGTCAATGCGTGTTTGTATGGAGTGGGCGTGGTCAATGCGTGTTTGTATGGAGTGGGCGTGGTCAATGCGTGTTTGTATACAGTGGGCGTGGTCAATGCGTGTTTGTATGGAGTGGGCGTGGTCAATGCGTGTTTGTATGGAGTGGGCGTGGTCAATACAATACATTTTGTAAAAGGGTTAAAAGCTACTTGACGGGCATAAGTTATAAAGTAGGTCATTGTAATTGTATAGGTGCAGTAGGAGATTGTATAGATGCATAAATTGATTTTATTGGTACAATAGGAGATTGTATAGATGCATAAATTGATTTTATTGGTACAATAGGAGATTGTATAGGTTAAGAAACTCGTGAGAGGTAGGCTTGTCCAGCATTGATGGTCGCTCCACTCTACTCCACCTGTAGCTGACCGACCCTGACAGTACACACGTAGTAGGACTAGAATGGCAGGGGGGGGGGGGGGGGCAAGTCAAACTTCAACACACGTCACGGTCTAGGAAGTTCCTGTTGGACGTCCATCTTAGTGACGTCACGAACATGGCGCAGTCAAACAGTTGACGGCTACAGTGATCCACGTGTTGCTAGACGTGGGGTCAAGTGATCCACACCATCGACCGGTCGTTCACCCCTGGCGAGCTTCTGACAGCTGACATCAACAAATCTGTAAAAAAAGATATTTTACAAATTTTGACTGTAAGAAAAGATATTTTACAAATCTTGCTGTAACAAAATATATTTTACAAATCTTTACTGTAACAAAAGATATTTTACAAATCTTTACTGTAACAAAAGATATTTTACAAATCTTGACTGTAACATCCTTTATATAAAACTAATATCGGCTAGGCTTTGCTCCAACCATTTAAAGCCATCTCAAAATGTAAATGTTAACGCACAGATGTGTGTTTACAAGATGTTTTAAGAAACATTAAGGAGTGTTACATTCAACAGAAACCCGCTTGTTACTGTCCTCTCCGGTTCAATGTGAAATAATACTTTCGCTTAGATTACTAGAAAAATTAGATACATTTTAATAACAGCAAGGTAAAAAAACAAATTAATTAAAATCTTTTATAATTTTGCCAGGGGAGGTAATTTAAAAAGAAATTCAACTCTGTTACGTCCCTTACATGTCCCCTGCTTGTGTGTGTGTGTGTTGTGTGCTGGAACGACAGGTACCCTCCCTTTGGTGTATAGTTGTATCCCTTGGTTGAGTGTGTTTACATGGAGCGAGAGGTGTTCACGTGAGGTGTGTCAGGTGACGGGTGTCAGAGCGTGTGCCAGGGTGTGAATCAGTCTGTTGGAGTGTGGCTGTGGACGTGGAACGTGGGGTTGAGATCTGGATGTGAAGTTGTGCTGTGGCTGTGGACGGGGAGACGTTGAGTATCTTGTTATTTTATGTTGTAGACTCCATTTGCTCTTTTATTATTCTTATTACTGTATACATTTATATTAAACATCTTATTGTTATTATTATATTTAAATAGTGTTAGTTGTCTTTGTTTGTCGCTACATATATATATACCCTAGATTCCAGAACCCAACATTTGGGGGCTCGTCCGTTTAGCATGGCTACTACCAGGAGTGCCAGAAGACAGCTAATAAGTGATTTGAAGGAGGAGGGAAAGCTAATTGGGCTGACCGATGACAGTTTGGCGGAGTGGGTGAAGGAAGAGTTGAGGAGGGTGGAAGATGCGAAGGTCGAGGTTGTAGCAAAGGTATGTAACCCTGTACCCCGCTTGAGGGATGTGGCGCCGATGACGGTGGACGAAGACCTGGGTGCGTATGTGAGGCATTTTGAGAGTCAGGCAAAGAGACAAGGCATTGACCCCAAGGACTGGTCGCTCCTTCTGACGGACAAGATGAGTGGACAACTGAAGACTTTCCTCGTTGAGACGGGACTGAACTTGCATCAGGACTTCGAGTCAGTAAAGGTAAAGTTATTCACGCACGCAGGTTTCAACGAGGAAAAGTATAGGGTCAGATTCCACCAGCTGGTACCAACACACGACGATATGAGAAGCTTCGCAGTCAACACAGAAGCCGCGTTGAGAGCGTGGGTCCGGCAGTCGGAGACAAAGGAAACGTTTGAGGACTTGGTGAACCTCCTGATTGTTGATCGGATAAAATCGGTGGTCACATGTGATCTGTTGGAGAGGCTGAATGGTGCTGCTAAGGTAAGTGTGGAAGATAATCTTAAAGTTATTGACAACTATAAGAGCACGCAAATCGCTAGAGTGACGAGGCCAGTAAATCAAACCCCTCCGTACGTCGCTGCTAGTTCGACAGCAGAGAGGATACCCTGGCTAAACACGACACCGCGATCTCCAGGACGCCACACTTGCCCTGGTGTACAGCCTGTGCATGGTGTTAGGAAGGTCAGCCGGAGCAGTAAATGTTTCACATGTGGACGTTATGGACACTATGCCAGGGATTGTCATAGCAATAGTAATAGCGGCTTTACTTGGAGAAATAGGTCAGAGAAAAGAGCTGTCGTGGAGTATGGAAACAACAAAAGACCTTATCGGTGCTACAAATGCAATGAACAAGGTCATATTGCCAAAGAGTGCAGTATGGGTATAGATACAGGCGCCTGTTATAGTTGTAGAAAGCCAGGCCAACGAAACTGTCTCATCGGGACCAGTAGAGCGAGCAACTGGCGTACTGAAAATGTACATCGACGGTCAGATGATCTCAAGTGTTATTGCTGCGGTGGTGTTGGTCACATATCACGGGTGTGTCCCACAGCTCAGCGTGATATGTTAGGAGATTTTTCCCGGCTTAAAGACTCGCATATGAGAGCGAGGTAAAGCACGAAATTTGGAGGCGTATCCTTACAAAGGTAGTGTCCTTGGTAAGTTTTTTTTTGTTAAGATAATTTATTCAATCAATGTTAATTTTTCTTTTTTTTTTTTTTTTTTTGCAGAAGCTGTGTATGATGATTACGGGCTGGAGATGATTAATGTAGTTAAAACGGCTATCGAGAAAGGAACTAAGTTTGATCGCCTTTAAGAAAAGATTACCATCTATGGCGACGTACGCATCTACCGATGGGCCCTTGCTCTACATGAATTAGCCTGTACTGGGAAACATATCAAGGGAACTGAGAACTTTGTAGCAGACATTCTATCACGAGTGTTTTACGACAACTAGTGTATATGATATTGAGAAATGTATTATTGTTGGAGTACAGTATGATTATATTAAGGAATTTACTATTGAGGCATTATGATATGATTATATTGAGAAATGTTTCAGAAAGGTATTACTGATGCAGTATAGAATGATTATGCAAATCAAATTTTTTATTGTGGCTTCTCACATGTATCTTCATAGGTTGAGATAGTCAGACCACGAGCTTGGTGCCCGGCCGGAGAAAACCATAGTCCACACTCAGGACCGAAATGTTAAAGCTGGATGCGAGCCACACTCTGGACCGAACTGTCCAGGCTGGATACAAGCCACACTCTGGACCGAACTGTCCAGGCTGGATACAAGCCACACTCTGGACCGAACTGTCCAGGCTGGATACAAGTCAAACGCTGTCCCCACCGGTCAAAGCGAGGCGTCCTAAAAGCTGAAGAATAAATAGTCGAGCTCGGGCACCAACAGTGGCTAATGGAACAAGAGATGTTTGATCTCTTTAAGGAAAAGAGATCTGAAGGTGGAGGGGAGGGATGTTACGTCCCTTACATGTCCCCTGCTTGTGTGTGTGTGTGTTGTGTGCTGGAACGACAGGTACCCTCCCTTTGGTGTATAGTTGTATCCCTTGGTTGAGTGTGTTTACATGGAGCGAGAGGTGTTCACGTGAGGTGTGTCAGGTGACGGGTGTCAGAGCGTGTGCCAGGGTGTGAATCAGTCTGTTGGAGTGTGGCTGTGGACGTGGAACGTGGGGTTGAGATCTGGATGTGAAGTTGTGCTGTGGCTGTGGACGGGGAGACGTTGAGTATCTTGTTATTTTATGTTGTAGACTCCATTTGCTCTTTTATTATTCTTATTACTGTATACATTTATATTAAACATCTTATTGTTATTATTATATTTAAATAGTGTTAGTTGTCTTTGTTTGTCGCTACATATATATATACCCTAGATTCCAGAACCCAACAAACTCATGCTAATAAAAAAAAATGTGAATGCAAATTCTGTAGACGTGCAAGAGGGCATTATTGTTAGAATATTATAATTAGCATGGATTGATAAAATGCACCGTGATAGGTAAAATACGGACATTTTAAATATTGACTTTTGTTTATTTTATGGATAAATTAGGGTATTATAGTCGTTGTCTAAGTTGAATCAGGTGGTTCCGCCGGCGCCACGGCCGGGCGCGATTTAGACTGTGAGCACTATGTGTTTATGTTTGTATTTAAGTTGCGTTTATGTTATTCGTTTGCGTTTTCTGTTGTATTTTTTACGTTTGCATTTGTGTTTGCCTTGTGTTTTTGTTTGTTTTTTCTTTTGTGTTTGTGTGTTGCGTTTGTGTTTTTGTTTATGTTTATGTCTTTTGCGTTTGCGTTTGCATTGGTTTTGTGTTGTGTAAGACGATAGCCACCACAAGTGTATCCTTAATTTTCACGTTATCCATAATCTTTATTATCTAATATGTAACTTTCAATTATGTATGTAGTGGACCGAGGATTAAAAAGGAATATAAGAATTTAATAGATGTCATCCTCATAGTGTTAAACGTCTAAAGTGCTCGTCGTCTAAATTCACGATTTAAAAAATTAATATTGAAGGTGATGTAAAACAATTTTCATTTTTCAAACTTATAGTGATAAATTTACTGTCGGCATGTCCATTAAACAAAATCTCAAACTTATAGTGGTATCTTTACTGTCGGCATGTTCATTAAACAAAATCTCAAACTTATAGTGATATCTTTACTGTCGGCATGTTCATTAAACAAAATCTCAAACTTATAGTGATATCTTTACTGTCGGCATGTTCATTAAACAAAATGTTTTCAAACTTATAGTGGTATCTTTACTGTCGGCATGTTCATTAAACAAAATCTCAAACTTATAGTGGTATCTTTACTGTCGGCATGTTCATTAAACAAAATCTCAAACTTATAGTGGTATCTTTACTGTCGGCATGTTCATTAAACAAAATCTCAAACTTATAGTGATATCTTTACTGTCGGCATGTTCATTAAACAAAATCTCAAACTTATAGTGATATCTTTACTGTCGGCATGTTCATTAAACAAAATGTTTTCAAACTTATAGTGATAACTTTACTGTCGGCATGTCCATTAAACAAAATCTCAAACTTATAGTGATACCTTTACTGTCGGCATGTTCATTAAACAAAATCTCAAACTTATAGTGGTATCTTTACTGTCGGCATGTTCATTAAACAAAATCTCAAACTTATAGTGATATCTTTACTGTCGGCATGTTCATTAAACAAAATCTTAAAAAATGTATCACCTTCACAAAAATTCTAATTGTGTCTGAAAAATTATTTACATTTAGTCATTTAACACTTATTACGTCCCTTGATAAATTAGGAAAACACAATTACTTCTCTTTATAAAATCATTACACCGAGGGGAGGGGAGGGGTATTTTTTATTACTTTGTTTTGGTATTGGGAAAAAATACTTACATAATTAGCGTGGATTGATCAATTGCAATGTGGTAAGTAAAACACACATATTTTAAATACTGCTTTTAATTTATTTTATACACTGAACGTACTGTTTACTAATTATTTAAAAAAATTAATAACAGTCTAGAAGCCGCTCCTAAATATCCTCTATGTTTACTACTTTCCGTTTGCGGATAAGCTTGGGGTATTGTAATTGTTCACTAAATTGAAACAGGCGCGTACGCCGGCGTCCCGGCGTACTTCGATTTGGCGCCCCTGGGCTATCATGTGAGCGCTATGGTGCATAATTTCGTTTTAAAATAGACTATTGATAAGAAATGTTACTATAGTCTTTAAGTGAATCTATTCCGGGCGTCCTCCGGCGCCCCGACAGAGTGGTATTTGGCGGCCCTGGCCTTCCCGTGTTCGCTATGGCGCCTACGTTCGTTTAAGTGAGTGCAAAAGACTATGACGAAGTTGGGGTACTATAGTCATTTACTAAGTTGAAACAGGCGGTTCTGCCGGCGCCCCAGCATGGTGCAACCTGACGTCCCGTGCTAGACTGGGAGCACTTTGCGTTTAAGTTGGCTTATGTGCTTTCTTTGTGTTTGGGTTGGGTTTACGTTGGTGGTTGGGTTTGTGTTTGCGTTTGGATTTGGTTTGTTTTCGTTTGGTTTTTTGCTTGCGTTTGCATTTGTGTTTGTGTTTTCTTTGTGTTTGTGTTTGTGTTTGCGTTTGTGTTTGTGTTTTCGTTTGTGTTTGTATTTGTGTATGCGTTTGTGTTATGTTTGCTTTTTTGTGTGTTTTTGTTTTGGTTGGGTGTGGTTAGGGTGGGCAATGCCGGGTATATGCTGATTACTAAACACACATGTTATGGTCCTTTACGGCTTGTATCCTATAATTACCGTTACCGTTATGACGGGGTCCTTTTGTCGATGGCCCTTTTGACGGGGTCGATTTGACGGGGCTCTTATGTCGGGGCCGTTTTGTCGGAGTAGGTTTGACAGGGCCGCTTTGTCATTGGCCGTTTTGACCCCCTCCACTCATACACCTCCCTCCCGTCAAGTCAATCGTACATGATGATGTCAACATTCCAAGTCAAAATATCGCTGTGTGTGTGGTGACAGCTTTGTGTGTGTGTGGTGACAGCTTTGTGTGTGTGTGTGTGTGTGGTGACACCTTTGTGTTAGTGTGTGTGTGTGTGGTGACACCTTTGTGTTAGTGTGTGTGTGAGGGAGCAGTTTTGTGTTTATGTGTGTGTGTGTGTGTGTGAGTTGACAGCTATGTGTGTGTGTATGACAGCTGAGAGCATATATTTTCTCACCTGAGCATTTACTCTGTTAACGGCAGGTCGGCATTGTCTACCTGCATCTCTGGCAGACCCTGTTAGGATGGGACAGGTAGAAGGTCAGGTGTGTACTGGATGTGTAGGTCAGGATATAGGTCAGGTGTGTACTGGATGTGTAGGTGAGGTGTGTACTGGATGTGTAGGTCAGGTGTGTACTCGATGTGTAGGTCAGGTGTGTAGGTCAGGTGTGTACTGGATGTGTATGTCAGGTGTGTACTGGATGTGTAGGTCAGTTGTGTACTGGATGAGTAGGTCAGGTGTGTACTGGATGTGTAGGTCAGGTGTGTTCTGGATGTGTAGGTCAGTTGTGTACTGGATGTGTAGGTCAGGTGTGTACTGGATGTGTAGGTCAGGTGTGTACTGGATGTGTATGTCAGGTGTGTACTGGATGTGTAGGTCAGTTGTGTACTGGATGAGTAGGTCAGGTGTGTACTGGATGTGTAGGTCAGGTGTGTTCTGGATGTGTAGGTCAGATGTGTACTGGATGTATGGATCAGGTGTGTACTGGATGTGTAGGTCAGGTGTGTACTGGATGTGTAGGTCAGGTGTGTACTGGATGTGTAGGTCAGGTGTGTACTGGATGTGTAGGTCATGTGTGTACTGGATGTGTAGGTCATGTGTGTAGGTCAGGTGTGTACTCGATGTGTAGGTCAGGTGTGTACTGGATGTGTAGGTCAGGTGTGTACTGGATGTGTAGGTCATGTGTGTACTGGATGTGTAGGTCATGTGTGTAGGTCAGGTGTGTACTCGATGTGTAGGTCAGGTGTGTACTGGATGTGTAGGTCAGGTGTGTACTGGATGTGTAGGTCAGGTGTGTACTGTATGTGTAGGTCAGGTGTGTAGGTCAGGTGTGTACTTAACGTGTAGGTCACGTGGCAGTCCTCACCTGAGGTCCCAGGACTGAGGCCATAGACTTGTGTAGGTCCTCCAGCTCCTGATGTAGGACTGCTGTACTCTGGGCCTCCTTCTTCTGGAGCTCTCTCTGTGCCGCCACTTCTGACTGAGTCTGTTGCAGGGAGTACCTGTAACATTGGCACATTTGTATAGAACATTTCTATTGGCACATTTGTATAGAACATTTCTATTGGCACATTTGTATAGAACATTTCTATTGGCACATTTGTATAGAACATTTCTATTGGCACATTTGTATAGAACATTTTTATTTGAATATTTGTTTAGAATATTTCTTAAATTTTTTATTTTTTTTAACATTTCTATTTAAATTTGTATGAGACATCTGTCAAGCTAACTAGAGACTTGACCACTTGACCTACTTACTTGTAGTCTGCTAGATACTTGACCTACTTACTTGTAGTCTGCTAGAGACTTGACCACTTGACCTACTTACTTGTAGTCTGCTAGAGACTTGACCACTTGACCTACTTACTTGTAGTCTGCTAGAGACTTGACCTACTTACTTGTAGTCTGCTAGAGACTTGACCTACTTACTTGTAGTCTGCTAGAGACTTGACCACTTGACCTACTTACTTGTAGTCTGCTAGAGACTTGACCTACTTACTTGTAGTCTGCTAGAGACTTGACCACTTGACCTACTTACTTGTAGTCTGCTAGAGACTTGACCTACTTACTTGTAGTCTGCTAGAGACTTGACCTACTTACTTGTAGTCTGCTAGAGACTTGACCACTTGACCTACTTACTTGTAGTCTGCTAGAGACTTGACCACTTGACCTACTTACTTGTAGTCTGCTAGAGACTTGACCACTTGACCTACTTACTTGTAGTCTGCTAGAGACTTGACCACTTGACCTACTTACTTGTAGTCTGCTAGAGACTTGACCACTGTGTCCTGAGACTTGGCGATGTCTGCAAGTTTTTCTAAAGCATCTGACGACTCCAGCTGTTCCTGTCGGTGGGAATTTGGAGGGGTTCATTATCTGAACATTTGGAGGGGTTCATTATCTGAACATTTGGAGGGGTTCATTATCTGAACATTTGGAGGGGTTCATTATCTGAACATTTGGAGGGGTTCATTATCTGAACATTTGGAGGGGTTCATTATCTGAACATTTGGAGGGGTTCATTATCTGAACATTTGGAGGGGTTCATTATCTGAACATTTGGAGGGGTTCATTATCTGAACATTTGGAGGGGTTCATTATCTGAACATTTGGAGGGGTTCATTATCTGAACATTTGGAGGGGTTCATTATCTGAACATTTGGAGGGGTTCATTATCTGAACATTTGGAGGTGTTCATTATCTGAACATTTGGAGGGGTTCATTATCTGAACAATTGGAGGGGTTCATTATCTGAACATTTGGAGGGGTTCATTATCTGAACATTTGGAGGGGTTCATTATCTGAACATTTGGAGGGGTTCATTATCTGAACATCTGGAGGGGTTCTTAGAAAGAGAGCGTCATACACAGAGAGAGAGAGACATACATACATACAGAGAGAGAAAACCTTACACAGAAAGAGAGAGCTGTGTCAGAGAGAGAGAGAGAGAGAGAGCTGTACCAGCTTAGAGTTGAGCGTGTTGTAAAGCTCCATGGTTTGGGCCCTGATAGAGAGAGAGAGAGAGAGAGAGAGAGAGAGAGAGCTGTACCAGCTTAGAGTTGAGCGTGTTGTAAAGCTCCATGGTTTGGGCCCTGATCTCCGCCATCTTCTTGGTCTCAGTCTCCTGCTCCCTGCGCTGCTCGTCCTGCTTGGCACCTGCCGCGCCCTTTGACCTCCTGTAGTTGTCGATCTCCCGCTGAAGCTCCTGCTGCAGCTTCTCCATGATGGCGATCTTGACCATCGTCTCCTTCTGCTGCTTGACCAGCTTGGTCATTTCGTCGGAGGTCAGCTGTAAACAAACATTGGACGGGGTCAAAGGTCAGCTGTAAACAACCATTGGACGGGGTCAAAGGTCAGCTGTAAACAACCATTGGACGGGGTCAAAGGTCAGCTATAAACAAACATTGGACGGAGCTAGGGGTCAAAGGTCAGCTGTAAACAAACATTGGACGGGGTCAAAGGTCAGCTGTAAACAAACATTGGACGGGGTCAGAGGTCAGTTGTAAACAAACGAATGACTTACACTAGTGGACAGGGCCCGCTCCATTTTGCTGTAAAGCTCCATGAGCTTAGTTTGGAGCTTCCTGAGCGCCACGTCACTGATGGCCCGCTTCCGGTCCCTCTCCATCAGCTCCTCGTGCGTCTTGAGCAGGGTCAGCTTGTACTTGACCAGCGAGTTCTGGATGTCCACCTGCGTGTCTCGGAGCTTCTTCAGACTCCTCAGGGCCGCCACTTGCCTGTTTAGTATGTTGGTCACCAGACGACCTTTGGGCTGGGTGCACGGGGGGGGGGATAGATGGTGGATTAGGTGGATTAGGTGGTGGATTAGGTGGAGGTTATGGGGTGGATTGGTTGGAGGTTAGGTGGTGGATTAGGTGGAGGTTAGGTGGTGGATTATGTGGAGGTTATGGGGTGGATTAGTTGGAGGTTAGGTGGTGGATTAGGTGGAGGTTAGGTGGTGGATTAGGTGGAGGTTAGGTGGTGGATTAGTTGGAGGTTAGGTGGTGGATTAGGTGGAGGTTAGGTGGTGGATTAGGTGGAGGTTAGGTGGTGGATTAGGTGGAGGTTATGGGGTGGATTAGGTGGAGGTTATGGGGTGGATTAGTTGGAGGTTAGGTGGTGGATTAGGAGGAGGTTAGGTGGTGGATTAGGTCGAGGTCAGGTGGTGGATTAGGTGGAGGTTAGGTGGTGGATTAGTTGGAGGTTATGTGGTGGATTAGGTGGAGGTTAGGTGGTGGATTAGGTGGAGGTTAGGTGGTGGATTAGGTGGATGTTAGGTGGTGGATTAGGTGGATGTTAGGTGGTGGATTAGGTGGAGGTTAGGTGGTGGATTAGGTGGAGGTTAGGTGGTGGATTAGGTGGAGGTCAGGTGGTGGATTAGGTGGAGATTAGGTGGTGGATTAGGTGGAGGTTAGGTGGTGGATTAGTTGGAGGTTAAGTGGTGGATTAGGTGGTGGATTAGGTGGAGGTCAGGTGGTGGATTAGGTGGAGGTTAGGTGGTGGATTAGGTGGAGGTTAGGTGGTGGATTAGGTGGAGGTCAGGTGGTGGATTGGGTGGAGGTTATGTGGTGGATTAGTTGGAGGTTAGGTGGTGGATTAGGTGGAGGTTATGGGGTGGATTGGGTGGAGGTTATGTGGTGGATTGGGTGGAGGTTATGTGGTGGATTAGGTGGAGGTTAAGTGGTGGATTAGGTGGAGGTTATGTGGTGGATTGGGTGGAGGTTATGTGGTGGATTAGGTGGAGGTTATGTGGTGGATTGGGTGGAGGTTATGTGGTGGATTGGGTGGAGGTTATGTGGTGGATTAGGTGGAGGTTATGTGGTGGATTAGGTGCAGGTCAGATGGTGGATTGGGTGGAGGTTAGGTGGTGGATTGGGTGGAGGTCAGGTGGTGGATTAGGTGGATGTTAGATGGTGGATTAGGTGGAGGTTAGGTGGTGGATTAGGTTGAGGTTAGGTGGTGGATTAGGTGGAGATTATGTGGTGGATTAGGTGGAGGTTAGGTGGTGGATTAGGTGGTGGATTAGTTGGAGGTTAGGTGGTGGATTAGGTGGTGGATTAGGTGGAGGTCAGGTGGTGGATTAGGCTAGACAATGATTAGCTTGTATTGTGTAGAGTACACGGTGGAGGTAATAAATGCTGCCGTCGGTTCTGTGGTGTCTACTCACCCCCTCCACGGCTAACTTTCTTATGCTGGATCTGAAATTTCGGACAGCCATCTCTAGACTGACCACTTTGTCCACTATGGCTTTCCTTGAGACCTTGAGACTGGCCAGTTCCTTGTACAGGTGCGTGCGGTCAGATATCTCAACTATACAAGGGCAAGGGAATATGGAGTCAGTAAAAAATGAGAACAGTTGACCTTTTGTCCTTACCTAGAATGTCGTCATTGTTTAGCACAGTTGACCTTTGACCTTACCTAGAATGTCGTGATTGTTTAGCACAGTTGACCTTTGTCCTTACCTAGAATGTCGTCATTGTTTAGCACAGTTGACCTTTGACCTTACCTAGAATGTCGTGATTGTTTAGCACAGTTGACCTTTGTCCTTACCTAGAATGTCGTCATTGTTTAGCACAGTTGACCTTTGACCTTACCTAGAATGTCGTGATTGTTTAGCACAGTTGACCTTTGACCTTACCTAGAATGTCGTGATTGTTTAGCACAGTTGACCTTTGACCTTACCTAGAATGTCGTCATTGTTTAGCACAGTTGACCTTTGACCTTACCTAGAATGTCGTGATTGTTTAGCACAGTTGACCTTTGACCTTACCTAGAATGTCGTGATTGTTTAGCACAGTTGACCTTTGACCTTACCTAGAATGTCGTCATTGTTTAGCACAGTTGACCTTTGACCTTACCTAGAATGTCGTGATTGTTTAGCACAGTTGACCTTTGACCTTATCTAGAATGTCGTCATTGTTTAGCACAGTTGACCTTTGACCTTACCTAGAATGTCGTCATTGTTTAGCACAGTTGACCTTTGACCTTATCTAGAATGTCGTCATTGTTTAGCACAGTTGACCTTTGACCTTATCTAGAATGTCGTCATTGTTTAGCACAGTTGACCTTTGACCTTATCTAGAATGTCGTCATTGTTTAGCACAGTTGACCTTTGACCTTATCTAGAATGTCGCAATTGTTTAGCACAGTTGACCTTTGACCTTACCTAGAATGTCGTCATTGTTTAGCACAGTTGACCTTTGACCTTATCTAGAATGTCGTCATTGTTTAGCACAGTTGACCTTTGACCTTATCTAGAATGTCGTCATTGTTTAGCACAGTTGACCTTTGACCTTATCTAGAATGTCGTCATTGTTTAGCACAGTTGACCTTTGACCTTACCTAGAATGTCGTGATTGTTTAGCACAGTTGACCTTTTGTCCTTACCTAGAATGTCGTCATTGTTTAGCACAGTTGACCTTTGACCTTACCTAGAATGTCGTCATTGTTTAGCACAGTTGACCTTTGACCTTACCTAGAATGTCGTCATTGTTTAGCACAGTTGACCTTTGACCTTATCTAGAATGTCGTCATTGTTTAGCACAGTTGACATTTGACCTTATCTAGAATGTCGTCATTGTTTAGCACAGTTGACCTTTGACCTTACCTAGAATGTCGTCATTGTTTAGCACAGTTGACCTTTGACCTTACCTAGAATGTCGTCATTGTTTAGCACAGTTGACCTTTGACCTTACCTAGAATGTCGTCATTGTTTAGCACAGTTGACCTTTGACCTTACCTAGAATGTCGTCATTGTTTAGCACAGTTGATTTTTGACCTTACCTAGAATGTCGTCATTGTTTAGCGCAGTTGACCTTTGACCTTACCTAGAATGTCGTTCTCAATTCTCTTCTGATTGTCCTGCACCGATGCCACCTGCCCCCGTAAGTAGGTCAAGATTCGGCGTTGTTCCAGGTTTATCTTGGACTGGAAACAAATAATTTGATGTATGCAACAAAAGTTCCAAGCAATTTGTAGTTGCGCCATAAGTTCCAAACAAATTGTTGGATGCAGCAAAAGGTCCAAACAATTATTTGTTTGATGCAACAAAAGTCCCAAACAATTTGTTGGATGCAGCAAAATTTCTAAAAAATTTGTTGGATGCAGCAAAAGTTCTAAAAAATTTGTTGGATGCAGCAAAAGTTCCATACAATTTGTTTGATGCAACAAAAGTTCCAAACAATTTGTGGATGCAACAAAAGTTCCAAACAATTTGTTGGATGCAACAAAAGTTCCTTTGTCGGATGCAACAAAAGTTCCAAACAATTTGTTGGATGCAACTAAAGTTCCAAACATTCATGTAGTGTCTGATGGTGGATATAACTTTCCACAGCTGTTTCCTAAAAGAATGCTATCGGTATGACCCCCACCCCGGGTCAACCCCTCCACTCACCCCGTGTCGACCCCTCCACTCACCCCGTGTCGACCCCTCCACTCACCCCGGGTCAACCCCTCTACTCACCCCGTGTCGACCCCTCCACTCACCCCGTGTCGACCCCTCCACTCACCCCCGGATCTATAACTTTCCGCAGCTGTTTCTCTGAGAAGCGCAGCCTCTCATTGAGGAAGTCGATCTGACTGTCCAGACTCTCCATCTTCTTCGTCACCACAGCCAGCATGCCCTCCTTCTTGTTCAGTTGTTTCTGGGGCAACAAATATCAGGTCAAGGTCAAGAGAAACAGGTGTTCTAAGGTTCAATATAAGCAGATTGGGTCTAGAAATAACACGGGCTGTTGTGTAGAAAGTCAAACATAACACAAACACGTCAGATACACGTCAGGTACACATCAGGTACACGTCATGTAAACATCAGGTACACATCAGGTACACATCAGGTACACAACACCTACACGTCAGGTACACATCAGGTACACGTCATGTAAACATCAGGTACACATCAGGTACACATCAGGTACACAACACCTACACATCAGGTACACATCAGGTACACACCAGGTACACATCAGGTACACATCAGCTACACATCAGGTACACAACACCTACACATCAGATACACATCAGCTACACATCAGCTACACATCAGGTACACATCAGCTACACATCAGCTACACATCAGGTACACATCAGGTATACACAACATGCAATCACCTGGAGGGCTGGAATTCTGGGGGTCAAGGACATTATTTTTTTGGTCAGCAGACTGAGGGCTTCTGCTAGGGTCGCCTGGGAGTCTCTCATCTCCTTCAGCTCTGGTCCCACCAGCTGTAGGACATTTTTGGACATTTAGTCATCTGGTCATTTTAGGACATTTTAGGACGTATAGTCATCTGGTCATTTTAGGACATTTTAGGACGTATAGTCATCTGGTCATTTTAGGACATTTTTGGACATTTAGTCATCTGGTCATTTTAGGACATTTTAGGACGTATAGTCATCTGGTCATTTTAGGACATTTTTGGACATTTAGTCATCTGGTCATTTTAGGACATTTTAGGACGTATAGTCATCTGGTCATTTTAGGACATTTTAGGACGTATAGTCATCTGGTCATTTTAGGACATTTTTGGACATTTAGTCATCTGGTCATTTTAGGACATTTTAGGACGTATAGTCATCTGGTCATTTTAGGACATTTTTGGACATTTAGTCATCTGGTCATTTTAGGACATTTTAGGACGTATAGTCATCTGGTCATTTTAGGACATTTTAGGACATTTAATCATCTGGTCATTTTAGGACATTTTAGCACATGTAATCATCTGGTCATTTTAGGATATTTTAGGACATTTAATCATCTGGTCATTTTAGGACATTTTAGCACATGTAATCATCTTGTCATTTTAGGATATTTTAGGACATTTAGTCATCTGGTCATACAAGTTGTAGGGCAGGTAGGCATTTAATACTCAGTTACAGTGCAGTGCTAAATTTGTCGGTGTGTCGATGTGTCGGTGTATTAGTCTGTCAGGGTGTCCGTGGGCCAGTACTCGGTGTGTCAGTATGTCATCACTTAGTATATCAGTATGTCAGTGTGCCGGTATGTCAGTGTGTCAGTGTGTCAGCGTGTCATCACGTAGTATATCAGTGTGTCATTGCGTCGGTGTGTTGGTGCTGTCTATTATTTACCGTATCTATGGTAGCCACTTTCTCCATGACGTCAGCAGATAGACCAGCGAATCTGACCTCCAACTCTGAGGTCAACCTTTTGACCGAGGTCAGGCCGTTCTTCAGGTCAGATGTTGACGTGGCTAGCTCTCTGATACTGGCCCTCATATCCTTAGCTGACTGGGACAGCTGGGGTGGTCGTGGTGTTAGGTGTTTAGTGGTGGTCATGGTGTTAGGTGTTTAGTGGTGGTGATGGTGTTAGGTGTTTAGTGGTGGTGATGGTGTTAGGTTGTAGTGGGGGTCATGGTGTTAGGTGTTTAGTGGTGGTGATGGTGTTAGGTGTATAGTGGTGGTGATGGTGTTAGGTTGTAGTGGGGGTCATGGTGTTAGGTGTTTAGTGGTGGTCATGGTGTTAGGTGTTTAGTGGTGGTGATGGTGTTAGGTGTATAGTGGTGGTGATGGTGTTAGGTTGTAGTGGGGGTCATGGTGTTAGGTGTTTAGTGGTGGTGATGGTGTTAGGTGTATAGTGGTGGTGATGGTGTTAGGTTGTAGTGGGGGTCATGGTGTTAGGTGTTTAGTGGTGGTCATGGTGTTAGGTGTTTAGTGGTGGTGATGGTGTTAGGTGTATAGTGGTGGTGATGGTGTTAGGTGTTTAGTGGTGGTTTGTAGTGGTGGTCATGGTGTTAGGTGTTTAGTGGTGGTCATGGTGTTAGGTTGTAGTGATGGTCATGGTGTTAGGTGTGTAGTGGTGGTGATGGTGTTAGGTGTTTAGTGGTGGTCATGGTGTTAGGTGTTTAGTGGTGGTCATGGTGTTAGGTGTGTAGTGGTGGTCATGGTGTTAGGTTGTAGTGGTGGTTTGTAGTGGTGGTGATGGTGTTAGGTGTATAGTGGTGGTCATGGTGTTAGGTTGTGGTGGTGGTCATGGTGTTAGGTTGTAGTGGTGGTCATGGTGTTAGGTTGTGGTGGTGGTGGTGATGGTGGTGATGGTGTTATGCATGTAGTGGTGGTGATGATGTTAGGTGTATAGTGGTGGTGATGGTGTTAGGTTGTAAAGGTGGTGATGGTGTTAGGTTGTAGTGGTGGTCATGGTGTTAGGTTGTAGTGGTGGTCATGGTGTTAGGTTGTGGTGGTGGTGGTGATGGTGTTATGCATGTAGTGGTGGTGATGGTGTTAGGTGTATAGTGGTGGTGATGGTGTTAGGTTGAAAAGGTGGTGATGGTGTTAGGTTGTAGTGGTGGTGATGGTGTTAGGTGTATAGTGGTGGTGATGGTGTTAGGTTATAGTGGTGGTCATGGTGTTAGGTGTATAGTGGTGGTGATGGTGTTAGGTGTATAGTGGTGGTGAAGGTGTTAGGTGTATAGTGGTGGTCATGGTGTTAGGTGTATAGTGGTGGTCATGGTGTTAGGTGTGTAGTGGTGGTCATGGTGTTAGGTTGTAGTGGTGGTTTGTAGTGGTGGTGATGGTGTTATGTGTATAGTGGTGGTCATGGTGTTAGGTTGTGGTGGTGGTCATGGTGTTAGGTTGTAGTGGTGGTCATGGTGTTAGGTTGTGGTGGTGGTGGTGATGGTGGTGATGGTGTTATGCATGTAGTGGTGGTGATGATGTTAGGTGTATAGTGGTGGTGATGGTGTTAGGTTGTAAAGGTGGTGATGGTGTTAGGTTGTAGTGGTGGTGATGGTGTTAGGTGTATAGTGGTGGTGATGGTGTTAGGTTATAGTGGTGGTCATGGTGTTAGGTGTATAGTGGTGGTGATGGTGTTAGGTGTATAGTGGTGGTGAAGGTGTTAGGTGTATAGTGGTGGTCATGGTGTTAGGTGTATAGTGGTGGTGATGGTGTTAGGTGTATAGTGGTGGTGATGGTGTTAGGTTGCAGTGGTGGTGATGGTGTTAGGTGTATAGTGGTGGTGATGGTGTTAGGTTGTAAAGGTGGTGATGGTGTTAGGTGTTAGGTTGTAGTGGTGGTGATGGTGTGAGGTGTGTGGTGGTGATGGTGATGGTGTTAGGTGTGTAGTGGTGGTGATGGTTTTAGGTGTGTTGTGATGGTGATGGTGATGGTGTTAGGTTGTAGTGGTGGTGATGGTGTGAGGTGTGTGGTGGTGATGGTGATGGTGTTAGGTGTGTAGTGGTGGTGATGGTGATGGTGTGGTGGTAGATGTGGTAGTGATGGCGACTGGGTAGTGGGTACACTATGACGTCACCAATTACCATTGCCACTGTGAGACTTGTGCCCTTCTCTTCCTCGTTGACCTTTCTGACCTTGTCACTGAAGGTCTTCTGAAGCTCGCCCAAGGTCATGACCGCGTCCTCGACCCGCTTAGTCTCAGATTTCAGCACTTCCGTTTTCTCGTCTTCAGCTGTGGGTGGAATGTTGGAGGCTAGATACAGACAGACAGGCAGACAGGCAGACAGACAGACAGACAGACAGACGGACAGACGGACAGACGGACAGACGGACAGACGGACAGACGGACAGACGGACAGACGGACAGACGGACAGACGGACAGACGGACAGACGGACAGACGGACAGACGGACAGACGGACAGACGGACAGACGGACAGACGGACAGACGGACAGACGGACAGACGGACAGACAGACAGTGTGTACCACGTGACCTACCAGCAATGTTCTGATCCGTCTGCTCCTTAGTTGTCCTCAGGAGATGGTGAGTCAAAGCCCGTGAATTTTTCAAAGCCGCCACTTCTGCCCTCAACTCTGTTGTCTCCTTGTGGAGGTTCTGTCAGGTGGGGAGGGGGGAGAGGGGGGGGGGAAACACCGAACATGATGAACAATAATTTGTCACAAGAACATGTAGGGAGAAGGTGTAGGACGGACGCAACAAAAAAGAGAAATAAAAGCTTTTTATTTTATTTGGGACCGGGGTTGATGATACAATCAGATCTAAGAGAAAATCATAAATTTCATCGGGAAAAATCTCTTTGCTCTAAAAGAAATAAGCAACTAAAAAAGAGATGGTACAGATTTTACATTTCTCTTAACGTTTTGATTTATAATGATGTGTGCCTGTTTGTCAGCTGGTTTTAGTTTACCATCCGTCGATCATCTGGCATAATCTGACCTTGAACTTCATCCAGCACTGACCTTGACATCAATATTCCTCTGCTCCAGGGCCAAGACACGCGCCTGTAGCTGTTCGATCCACGAGGACGCTGGTTTCTTGATGGGGCCAACCTCTGGAACATACAGGTGCTCATACAGGTGCTTATGCAGGTGCTCATACAGGTACTCATACAGGTGCTCATACAGGTGATCATACAGGTGATCATACAGGTGATCATACAGGTGATCATACAGGTGATCATACAGGTGCTCATACAGGTGCTCATACAGGTGCTCATACAGGTGCTCATACAGGTGCTCATACAGGTGCTCATACAGGTGCTCATACAGGTGCTCATACAGGTGCTCATACAGGTGCTCATACAGGTGCTCATACAGGTGCTCATACAGGTGCTCATACAGGTGCATGTACAGGTGCTCATACAGGTGCTCATACAGGTGCTCATACAGGTGCTCATACAGGTGCTCATACAGGTGCATGTACAGGTGCTCATACAGGTGCTCATACAGGCGCTCATACAGGTGCTCATACAGGTGCTCATACAGGTGCTCATGCAGGTGCTCATACAGGTGATCATACAGGTGCATGTACAGGTGCTTATACAGGTGCTCATACAGGTACTCATACAGGTGCTCATACAGGTGCTCATACAGGTGCTCATACAGGTGCTCATACAGGTGCTCATACAGGTGCTCATACAGGTGCTCATACAGGTGCATGTACAGGTGCTCATACAGGTGCTCATACAGGTGCTCATACAGGTGCTCATACAGGTGCTCATACAGGTGCTCATACAGGTGCTCATACAGGTGCTCATACAGGTGCATGTACAGGTGCTCATACAGGTGCTCATACAGGCGCTCATACAGGTGCTCATACAGGAGCTCATACAGGTGCTCATGCAGGTTCTCATGCAGGTGCTCATACATGTACTCATACAGGTGTTCATATAGGTGCTCATACAGGTGCTCATACAGGTGCTCATACAGGTGCTCATACAGGTGCTCATACAGGTGCTCATACAGGTGCATGTACAGGTGCTCATACAGGTGCTCATACAGGCGCTCATACAGGTGCTCATACAGGTGCTCATACAGGTGCTCATACAGGTGCTTATACAGGTGCTTATACAGGTGCTCATACAGGTGTTCATACAGGTGCTCAGACAGGTGCTCATGCAGGTGCTCATGCAGGTGCTCATACATGTACTCATACAGGTGCTCATACAGGTGCTTATACAGGTGCTCATACAGGTGTTCATACAGGTGCTCAGACAGGTGCTCATGCAGGTGCTCATGCAGGTGCTCATACATGTACTCATACAGGTGTTCATATAGGTGCTCATACAGGTGCTCATACAGGTGCTTATACAGGTGCTCATGCAGGTGTCCATACAGGTGCTCATACAGGTGCTCATACATGTGCTTATACAGGTGTTTATACAGGTGCTCATACATGTGCTCATACAGGTGCTCATACAGGTGTTTATGTAAGTCTTCATATATGATGCTTAAAGGTCATTACCTGGTATAAAGTTCAAGGCTCACCTGCCTTAGGTTCTAGGCTCACCTGCCTTAGGTTCTAGGCTCACCTGGCTTGTCCACCTTCCTCATATCCGGCACCGCTACATCCGGTTCTGCAGACAGGACGCAAGACTCCTTGACCTTGTTGAACTTGTAGTAGCGGCAGTCGATCTCCTTCTCATCAACACACGCGCCTGCGCACTGGGTGTCTGACAGGCCAGGTCGCGTGATCAGGGTGTTGGCCGTCACGTGACCTGTGGTCAGACAAACTAAACGGTGAGACAAACTAAATGGTGAGACAAACTAAATGGAGAGACAAACAAAATGGTGAGACAAACTAAATGGTGAGACAAACTAAATGGTGAGACATACTAAATGGTGCGACAAACTAAATGGTGAGACAAACTAAATGGTGAGACAAACTAAATGGTGAGACAAACTAAATGGTGAGACAAACTAAATGGTGAGACAAAAAAAGAGTGACAAAATGTGACCCAAAAAGTGAACCGAGAGAAAAATGAGATTACCTCACTAAAAGTGAGGTAATCTCACGCAACCCCAGTGTGTTTCACCTGGCAGTGTGGCAAGGACTAGAACAGTGAGAACGAGGGGAAGTGGGTTCAAACCCCGCCTGTCCCACAACATTCAGCCTGTTGGTGTGATCTGGTACAGATCCTATTTATAACGGCATGTCATCTCAGCATGTCATCTCAGCATGTCATTTCAGCATGTCATCTCAAAATGTCAACTTCCCTAATACATCAACAAATACATGTTAATTCATTTCAAATTAACATATTAAATCAATACACTGTCATTCATGTGCCGATTGACAGCATTCTCTCATGACAAATGACATGGCATTTCCTCCACAGCTAATTAATATCTTTACTTTTTACCAAAAAATAAATAAATTTAAAAGTTCAACATAAGCAAGTCTGTGGAATCAAAACAAAGCTTACAACACAACACTGTAAACATATCTACCGTCAAACTTTGAAACATATCTAGACTAGATCTAGATGTACAGTCGAACTATGAATCACAAAAACACAAACATGGAACCTACTCAGCGTGGAGCTAACACCATTCAAACAAGTGGACAAGGTGAATTGCCTTCATCAGAACAAAACAAATCAAATGGACATCAAAACCTGCTGCGTTCAGGTGTCATTTCTGGGAAAATCCGATTTCCTGCGTACATGGATCTTGTTGGTTGGTTGAATTATTTTATAGTAAATTTGGTTCTATTTTTTACTTTCTCATATATACGAAGTATAGAGAGTCTTGTAATCGTGCAAAAAAAAATTCGAGATTTTTACAAATCTCGACGTTTTACAGCTCACTGATACGGAGAAACAAAATTTTGCAATCTTGTCCGTATGTCTCTCTCTCTCTCTCTCTCTCTCTCTCTCTCTGTGTGTGTGTGTGTGTGTGTGTGTCTGTGTGTGTGTGTCTGTCTGTCTGTAAACACGATAACTTGAGTACCGTTACAGCTAGGTTGATGAAATATTATATAAGTATTTTATCAAAATATTAGATCCGTATCAACTTTTGAGCGATTTCCGATAACCGGAAATGGTACTTTTTTTTACTTTGAATTTTTCAAAAGCCTATAACATGAGTACTATTTCAGATAGATAAATGAAATTTCACATGTAAGTAAAAGATCTAACTCTCTACCTTCGATCAAAGTTTGAGTAATTTCCGTTGACCGGAAGTACTAATTTACGCTATTTCCGATTTCTCAAAAAGTAATGTAAATTTATAAAGTACTAATAATATTTCGCACTATTATGCACATTTTATTTGGCGTTCACTGGTGTGCAATTCTTTTTTCTACGAGATTTTATTCTATTTTAAAATTTTAAGTATTTAAAATGGATTAAAATTCATGTCTATATCCCGAGTTCCCATCCCCTGTTTTTTTTATATAAGAATATTCGAGAAAGTTTAGGGGAGATCACTCCAAGTTTATTTATATAATAAATTATATAAATTGTTAAGCTTTTTTTTTTTTAGTTTAGACTAAGGTTAGGATATTAACCAGTCTGGGTTTAACCAGACTTGCACTCACCGAATAGTTTCTTTAGATAAGCCTAGGAAGGTAGATATTAGTTATCCCTACTGTCAGGGCTTATCTATATACCAAACGTATCATTTTAACTAGCGTCACGTGAAAAAAACAAAATTAAAGAAAAAGTATCATTCTTCACAAAAACTTTAAAAGTGTACAAAATAATTTACTTTTGTTATTTTATTGCAAATTACTTCCCTTGATAGATATCAAAAAATGTTTTTACTTCAGTTTAAAAAAAAAAAACACTACATCGCGGGGAAATACTTTTTATTAGTTTTGGTGTTTGAAAAAAATAATTATATGATTAGCGTGGATTGGTAAAGTGCAATGTGGTAGGTAAAAACACTGATATTTTAAAAACTGCTTTTTACAAGCTTTTATTACAAGCTTTTATTTAACTCACCGTCTCTGTCGACAGTCTGCCTGTTGTCAGTCTAGATCGAAACGACCGAGCAAAATTACGGGTACTTCTAACTGACAGATACGGTTCGCAGTTGGTACGTGCGTCAAGACATGAAGACAATGCAACATCTATATATATATATATATATATATATATATATATATATATATATATATATATATATATATATATATATATATATATATATATATATATATCTTCTTGGATACCCTAGAAAACACTAAGCTGTAAGCGCGCCTTGCAGTCCCCTCTCTTCCTCTCTAGGCACCCCCACATGGTCTGGTGAGCTGTGGTTCACGCTAAATGTCTACAATCGTAGAGCCGGGTTTAGTGACAGCTATTAGGGGCAGATAATTTAGTTTGAAACTATTTTGAACTTAAGGGAGGTAACTAAGAGGAGGCTGCTTTAACGGGGGGGGGGGGGTAGGGGTTGGGGGGAAAGGAGGGGGGGGGGGGTTATCGTCCTTAACGAACTACTGATAGTGTTTTAAAGCAAATATTTTCAGTGACGGCAGTGGTACTGTCGAATTCACAAATTATGAATTACTGAAAAGTAGAAAATAAAACAACTAAATAGCGGCGTATGATACGCTGCGGGTCGGCTCGTGACATTATATTTGACTGAATTGGTTGCATGAGTATTTTTTTGTTTGTATTTGCGTTTGGGTTTGTGTTTTGTTTGTGTTTGTGTTTGCGTTTGCTTTTGTGTTTGCGTATGTGTTTTAGTTTTCGTTTGTGTTTGTGTTTTGGTTGGTTGTGGTTATTGTTAAGTTTAAAGTTAGCGTAGGGTTTAGGGTTACGTCTTTATTTCTCAAACGTCCATGCCGGGTATTTGCTGCTTATTAAACACGGTCCTTTACAGAGGTCAGTGCATGACCTTGCCGGGACGGCTAGTATATATATATATATATATATATATATATATATATATATATATATATATATATATATATATATATATATATATATATATATATATTATATATATATATATATATATATATATATATATATATATATATATATATATATATATATATATATATATATATATATATATATATATATATATATATATATATATATATGTTGACTACAACACCGAAAATCCGCTGACAATTTGAGCAATGCAACAAGATCAAGTAGGTTTGTATCAAACTGTTTTTGTCTTCTTTATTACATCGACATGTAAATATTTCATCAGTCATTTTTACAAGCAAATAAATCAATGTACATCAATCAATTCAAAGTTAGCCAGCGTGCACAAATTATAATCACAATTTAATACTGCTTTTAGTGTTGGGAGATTCAGCGGATTTAATACTGCTTTTAGTGTTGTGAGATTCAGCGGATTTAATACTGCTTTTAGTGTTGGGAGATTCAGATTATAATCACAATTAAATACTGCTTTTAGTGTTGGGAGATTCAGCGGAAAAACTTATTCAACCGGCATTCAAGTGGACTTGATTCATGCAGTCAGTTCAAGCCATCCGGCATTCTGTTTGACTTGATTCATGTAATTAATTAAAAATTAATTAAAAAGGTATCTGTATCCTTAGAAGACCAGAAGTCAATCAAATTAACCCCAATAAGAAAACAATAAAATCTATGAGCATTGCAATACTAGAAAACTATTATAAAAATTCACTACATTGTGGAGAAAAATCACCCAGCTTGTTCATAAAAAACAATGACGTGAATTTTCAAGATAAAAGAAGAAATAAGTTAAACAATTAATTAAAATTGGCACACCTCTATATTAAATAAGTAGAACAAAAACATATGAATTGATTCAATTTAAATTCACCCACTTTAGATTTAGAGACAAGAAAAATTTGATGTTAAAATATTTGATGAATAGATTTGTCAATTGCTAAAATTTGATGTTAAAATATTTGATGAATAGATTTGTCAATTGCTAAAATTTGATGTTAAAATATTTGATGAATAGATTTGTCAATTGCTAAAATTTGATGTTAAAATATTTGATGAATAGATTTGTCAATTGCTAAAATTTGATGTTAAAATATTCGATGAACAGATTTGTAAATTGATAAACCAACGCAGTGTGTCGTCCATTAATAACGTCACCTTCCGAGGGAGAGGAGAGGTTTTTGTGACGTGGTGTGACGATCGGGGGCTGCAGTGTGTTACAATGTGTGACGTCACTTTAAAAAAGTAAGTTTTCGAAACTGAATTTTAGCTATGGATTAGCTTTTTAAAATGTTACTATACAATGGATTAACATACTTTACTTAATCCACACACGTCTTAGTTATTAACGGCTGCTTGAAAAAAAATACAATATGACGGGGTTGATGGGCTGAGGTTTGTCTACCAACTTAAGCTAGATCTGACCTTTTGTAGTGAAGGGGTTGATGGGCTGAGGTTTGGCTACCAACTTAAGCTGGATCTGATCTTTTGTAGTGAAGGGGAGGGGCTAAACATCGTCACAAAAAGATGGACTTCTTTTATCGTCGACCTCATAGAGGTTTGTGTTCGAAAAAATTAATTATTTAGTTTTTTTTAAATAAAATAAAATATTATTATTATCTACGGAGATATGTGTATAAACATTGTGTACATCCGAAAAAGAATTAAAATCTGTAGCAAAATAAGGTTAAAATGTAAACACATAAACATTATAAACATGGAAAGGTTAACAAGTAAATAGAAGTCTTCAAAACTATACAGTGTAATACTTTGTAAACCATCACAGACCTTCAGTAAATATAAATTCGTATGTTTAAAGCACAAACAACAGTCACGCGAAATTTTTAAACAACGCAGTCCACGGACTGTCCTTGACTGGTGGACAAGTTCAAGGCCAAAGCCAAGCTTTGCATGCCAAAGCGATGAGGACGGCGCAAAAGCTGAAGAACCCTAAGGTCATGTTGATGATGAACTTTTGGCGGGCAGTCTCCTGACGACACTTGCTGTACGACGTGTTGGTAAAGGCGACCTGCAGATATCATAGCATTAGTTAGGTTAATCACATGCAGAAGTCATAGCATTAATTAGGTTAATCACCTGGAGATATCTGATCATTAATTAGGTTAATCCCCTGCAGAAGTAAGGTAAGTAATTATGTTAATTATCTGTCGTGCGTTTTGTAAAAAAGCAATTTTCAGGTTATCACAATCAGTGTTTCTTCCAGACTTTTTTCTCCGGGGGGGGGGGGGGCACTTGAAATTTTCGGGGGGGGGGGGGGGGGGGCGGTAGACTTTCTTCGTGGGTGGGGGGGCGGACACTGTTAAAAGTATATATTTTCTATGTAAATTTTATAAATTTCATTTCGTTCGGTGGGGGCGGGGGCGGTAAAAAAATTTCGGGAGATGTCTGGAAGAAAATCTGATCACAATAGACCCTAGTTTCACAATAGACGGAGGACTCCACCAAGATAAAAATAAACATGGATTTGTCTACATTATAAAGGTTAGCAACTACAGGTCAGTATTTGAAGGTCAGCACAGTCTGGTCACCACCTGAAGGTCACTTGAGGTCAAGACCTTCAGGTCAGCACCTTCAGGTCAAGACCTTCTGTCGTGTACCTTGAGGTCAGCACCTTGAGGTCAAGACCTTCAAGTCAAGGCCTTCTGTCGTGTACCTTCAGGTCAGCACCTTGAGGTCAAGACCTTCAAGTCAAGGCCTTCTGTCGTGTACCTTCAGGTCAGCACCTTGAGGTCAAGACCTTCTGTCGTGTACCTTCAGGTCAGCACCTTCAGGTCAAGACCTTCTGTCGTGTACCCACCATTGTGTACTCCGGTACCCAATTGTTGGGGAACACCCTGTAGAGCATGTTGTCCAGAAACTTCCTCAGGTAGAAGACGGGTCCGGCGATATCAGATCTCAGCTGAAATACAAAGTAGGTCAATCACTGGCCTGGTCTCAGTGCCCCCCCCCCCCCTGGTGTTGTGACACCCAACCTAGGGACGCCTGTACGTGCTCACCTCCTTGTAGTGCCCCCCCTGGTGTTGTGACACCCCACCTAGGGACGCCTGTATGTGCTCCCCCCTGGTGTTGTGACACCCAACCTAGGGACGCCTGTACGTGCTCCCCCCCCCCCCTGGTGTTGTGACACCCCACCTAGGGACGCCTGTACGTGCTCACCTCCTTGTAGTGCCCCCCCCCTGGTGTTGTGACACCCCACCTAGGGACGCCTGTACGTGCTCCCCCCCCCCCCTGGTGTTGTGACACCCCACCTAGGGACGCCTGTACGTGCTCACCTCCTTGTAGTGCCCCCCCTGGTGTTGTGACACCCAACCTAGGGACGCCTGTACGTGCTCCCCCCCCCCTGGTGTTGTGACACCCCACCTAGGGACGCCTGTACGTGCTCCCCCCCCCTGGTGTTGTGACACCCCACCTAGGGACGCCTGTACGTGCTCACCTCCTTGTAGTGCCCCCCCTGGTGTTGTGACACCCCACCTAGGGACGCCTGTACGTGCTCCCCCCCCTGGTGTTGTGACACCCCACCTAGGGACGCCTGTACGTGCTCCCCCCCTGGTGTTGTGACACCCCACCTAGGGACGCCTGTACGTGCTCCCCCCCCCTGGTGTTGTGACACCCCACCTAGGGACGCCTGTACGTGCTCCCCCCCCCTGGTGTTGTGACACCCCACCTAGGGACGCCTGTACGTGCTCCCCCCCCTGGTGTTGTGACACCCCACCTAGGGACGCCTGTACGTGCTCCCCCCCTGGTGTTGTGACACCCCACCTAGGGACGCCTGTACGTGCTCCCCCCCCCCTGGTGTTGTGACACCCCACCTAGGGACGCCTGTACGTGCTCACCTCCTTGTAGTGCCCCCCCTGGTGTTGTGACACCCCACCTAGGGACGCCTGTACGTGCTCACCTCCTTGTAGTGCCCCCCCCGGTGTTGTGACACCCCACCTAGGGACGCCTGTACGTGCTCCCCCCCTGGTGTTGTGACACCCCACCTAGGGACGCCTGTACGTGCTCCCCCCCCCTGGTGTTGTGACACCCCACCTAGGGACGCCTGTACGTGCTCCCCCCCCCCTGGTGTTGTGACACCCCACCTAGGGACGACTGTACGTGCTCCCCCCCCCTGGTGTTGTGACACCCCACCTAGGGACGACTGTACGTGCTCCCCCCCCCTGGTGTTGTGACACCCCACCTAGGGACGCCTGTACGTGCTCCCCCCCTGGTGTTGTGACACCCCACCTAGGGACGCCTGTACGTGCTCCCCCCCCTGGTGTTGTGACACCCCACCTAGGGACGCCTGTACGTGCTCCCCCCCCTGGTGTTGTGACACCCCACCTAGGGACGCCTGTACGTGCTCCCCCCCCTGGTGTTGTGACACCCCACCTAGGGACGCCTGTACGTGCTCCCCCCCCCTGGTGTTGTGACACCCCACCTAGGGACGCCTGTACGTGCTCCCCCCCCTGGTGTTGTGACACCCCACCTAGGGACGACTGTACGTGCTCCCCCCCCCCTGGTGTTGTGACACCCCACCTAGGGACGCCTGTACGTGCTCCCCCCCTGGTGTTGTGACACCCCACCTAGGGACGCCTGTACGTGCTCCCCCCCCTGGTGTTGTGACACCCCACCTAGGGACGACTGTACGTGCTCCCCCCTCCTGGTGTTGTGACACCCCACCTAGGGACGCCTGTACGTGCTCCCCCCCCCCCCCTGGTGTTGTGACACCCCACCTAGGGACGCCTGTACGTGCTCCCCCCCCTGGTGTTGTGACACCCCACCTAGGGACGCCTGTACGTGCTCCCCCCCCTGGTGTTGTGACACCCCACCTAGGGACGCCTGTACGTGCTCACCTCCTTGTAGTGCCCCCCCTGGTGTTGTGACACCCCACCTAGGGACGCCTGTACGTGCTCCCCCCCTGGTGTTGTGACACCCCACCTAGGGACGCCTGTACGTGCTCCCCTCCTTGTAGTGCCCCCCCTGGTGTTGCGACACCCCACCTAGTGACGCCTGTACGTGCTCCCCCCCTGGTGTTGTGACACCCCACCTAGGGACGCCTGTACGTGCTCCCCCCCTGGTGTTGTGACACCCCACCTAGGGACGCCTGTACGTGCTCCCCCCTGGTGTTGTGACACCCCACCTGGGGACGACTGTACGTGCTCCCCCCCCCCTGGTGTTGTGACACCCCACCTAGGGACGCCTGTATGTGCTCCCCCCTGGTGTTGTGACACCCCACCTAGGGACGCCTGTACGTGCTCCCCCCCCCCCCTGGTGTTGTGACACCCCACCTAGGGACGCCTGTACGTGCTCCCCCCCTGGTGTTGTGACACCCCACCTAGGGACGCCTGTACGTGCTCCCCCCTGGTGTTGTGACACCCCACCTAGGGACGACTGTACGTGCTCCCCCCCCTGGTGTTGTGACACCCCACCTAGGGACGCCTGTACGTGCTCACCTCCTTGTAGTGGGCATGTGCCATCTCGCTGATGGCGTGGCCGTCGTCACACCTCGCGGCGGAGAAGTCCTTCAGGACACGACCGATCTTCTCTGAAAAACATCAGAGTTTTAGTCAGGCTCAATCTTATCTCTGGATCACGTGATCCCCGTCGGGTAGGTCTGGGTGTTACACACAAGCTAAAGCCATTTTTACTTACACATACCTACAGATGGACATAAAACATACATACACGTACATGTACATTTCTGTACACACACCCGTCTCAGTTCTCTCGGATGGATCTCACTTGGCCCCACCCAACCCCTCGGATGGATCTCACTTGGCCCCACCCAACCCCTCGGATGGATCTCACTTGGCCCCACCCAACCCCTCGGATGGATCTCACTTGGCCCCACCCAACCCCTCGGATGGATCTCACTTGGCCCCACACAACCCCTCGGATGGATCTCACTTGGCCCCACCCAACCCCTCGGATGGATCTCACTTGGCCCCACCCAACACAACCTCCGATGGGTCTCACTTGGCCCCACCCAACACAACCTCGGATGGATCTCACTTGGCCCCACCAAACCCCTCGGATGGATCTCACTTGGCCCCACCCAACCCCTCGGATGGATCTCACTTGGCCCCACCCAACCCCTCGGATGGATCTCACTTGGCCCCACCCAACCCCTCGGATGGATCTCACTTGGCCCCACCCAACACAACCTCGGATGGATCTCACTTGGCCCCACCCAACCCCTCGGATGGATCTCACTTGGCCCCACCCAACCCCTCGGATGGATCTCACTTGGCCCCACCCAACCCCTCGGATGGATCTCACTTGGCCCCACCCAACCCCTCGGATGGATCTCACTTGGCCCCACCCAACCCCTCGGATGGATCTCACTTGGCCCCACACAACACAACCTCGGATGGATCTCACTTGGCCCCACCCAACCCCTCGGATGGATCTCACTTGGCCCCACCCAACCCCTCGGATGGATCTCACTTGGCCCCACACAACCCCTCGGATGGATCTCACTTGGCCCCACCCAACCCCTCGGATGGATCTCACTTGGCCCCACCCAACACAACCTCGGATGGATCTCACTTGGCCCCACCAAACCCCTCGGATGGATCTCACTTGGCCCCACCCAACCCCTCGGATGGATCTCACTTGGCCCCACCCAACACAACCTCGGATGGATCTCACTTGGCCCCACCAAACCCCTCGGATGGATCTCACTTGGCCCCACCCAACACAACCTCGGATGGATCTCACTTGGCCCCACCCAACCCCTCGGATGGATCTCACTTGGCCCCACCAAACCCCTCGGATGGATCTCACTTGGCCCCACCCAACCCCTCGGATGGATCTCACTTGGCCCCACCCAACACAACCTCGGATGGATCTCACTTGGCCCCACCAAACCCCTCGGATGGATCTCACTTGGCCCCACCCAACACAACCTCGGATGGATCTCACTTGGCCCCACCAAACCCCTCGGATGGATCTCACTTGGCCCCACCAAACCCCACAGATGGGTCTCACTTGGCCCCACCCAACCCCTCGGATGGACCCCACTTGGCCCCACCCAACCCCTCGGATGGACCCCACTTGGCCCCACCCAACACAACCTCGGATGGATCTCACTTGGCCCCACCCAACCCCTGGGATGGATCTCACTTGGCCCCACACAACCCCTCGGATGGATCTCACTTGGCCCCACCCAACACAACCTCGGATGGATCTCACTTGGCCCCACCCAACCCCTCGGATGGATCTCACTTGGCCCCACCCAACCCCTCGGATGGATCTCACTTGGCCCCACCCAACCCCTCGGATGGACCCCACTTGGCCCCACCCAACACAACCTCGGATGGATCTCACTTGGCCCCACCCAACCCCTCGGATGGACCCCACTTGGCCCCACCCAACCCCTCGGATGGATCTCACTTGGCCCCACCCAACCCCTCGGATGGATCTCACTTGGCCCCACCCAACCCCTCGGATGGATCTCACTTGGCCCCACCCAACACAACCTCGGATGGATCTCACTTGGCCCCACCCAACCCCTCGGATGGACCCCACTTGGCCCCACCCAACACAACCTCGGATGGATCTCACTTGGCCCCACCCAACCCCTCGGATGGATCTCACTTGGCCCCACCCAACCCCTCGGATGGATCTCACTTGGCCCCACCCAACCCCTCCGATCCCCACCCTGTGTCACACGAGGACCGTGGTGAACCACACCCAGTAATTAATGTTTTGCAGAGGTCGGTCACTGACCTTTGTTGAAGCCATGTCTGGTGAAGATTTCATCCAGGATCAGACAATCTTCAAAACCCTGCCAAATGGAACCAGTATTAGTTGGTCGCGTGACAGTAACGTCATTTGTCAGTGTCTGCCACTTCTATGATTGATGACTGATGACTGTATGACTGAAACAATGACTGATGACTGATGCTGACTTTTTGACTGAGACTCACAGAGTTCATGCCCTGCCCGTAGAAGGGCACCATAGCGTGGGCAGCGTCCCCCATGATGAGGACCTTCTCTCCGGCGTGGTAGGGCTTGACCTGAGGCAGACAGGGCAGGAGGGGGTCAGATCATTCACGTCAAACATCGACATCATAATATCAGATTCACTCACGTCAAACATCGACTTCATGATATCAGATTCACTCACGTCAAACATCGACTTCATAATAATATCCTAGCGCCTCAAATCACACGACCCACCCCTGACCTACCTGGCTGGACCGACCCCCCCCCCCCTGATATACCTGGCTGGACTGACTCACCCTTGACCGACCCACCCCTGACCGACTCAACCCTGACCGACCCACCCCTGACCGACCCACCCCTGACCGACCCACCCATGACCGACCCACCCCTGACCGACTCAACCCTGACCGACCCACCCCTGACCGACCCACCCCTAACCGACCCACCCCTGACCGACCCACCCCTGACCGACCCACCCCTGACCGACCCACCCCTGACCGACCCACCCCTGACCGACCCACCCCTGACCGACCCACCCCTGACCGACCCACCCCTGACCGACCCACCCCTGACCGACCCACCCCTGACCGACCCACCCCTGACCGACCCACCCCTGACCGACCCACCCCTGACCGACCCACCCCTGACCGACCCACCCCTGACAGATCCACCCCTGACCGACCCACCCCTGACCGACCCACCCCTGACCTACCTGGTTGGACACCAGCCTCCCAGGACGTCTGTCCTCTCGTTCAAAAAAGTGATGTATCAGATTCTTCCTGCAGTAAACATCAAGTTTAAGGTGAAGGTGTGTGTGTGTATGTGTGTGTGTGGATGTTCAATAAAGTGATGTATCAGATTCTTCCTGCAGTAAACATCAAGTTTAAAGTGAAGGTGTGTGTGTGTATGTGTGTGTGTGGATGTTCAATAAAGTGATGTATCAGATTCTTCCTGCAGTAAACATCAAGTTTAAGGTGAAGGTGTGTGTCTGTGTATATATGTGTGTGTGTGGATGTTCAAAAAAGTGATGTATCAGATTCTTCCTGCAGTAAACATCAAGTTTAAGGTGAAGGTGTGTGTGTGTATATGTGTGTGTGGATGTTCAATAAAGTGATGTATCAGATTCTTCCTGCAGTAAACATCAAGTTTAAGGTGAAGGTGTGTGTCTGTGTATATATGTGTGTGTGTGGATGTTCAATAAAGTGATGTATCAGATTCTTCCTGCAGTAAACATCAAGTTTAAGGTGAAGGTGTGTGTCTGTGTATATATGTGTGTGTGTGGATGTTCAAAAAAGTGATGTATCAGATTCTTCCTGCAATAAACATCAAGTTTAAGGTGAAGGTGTGTGTGTATATGTGTGTGTGTGGATGTTCAATAAAGTGATGTATCAGATTCTTCCTGCAGTAAACATCAAGTTTAAAGTGAAGGTGTGTGTGTGTATGTGTGTGTGTGGATGTTCAATAAAGTGATGTATCAGATTCTTCCTGCAGTAAACATCAAGTTTAAGGTGAAGGTGTGTGTCTGTGTATATATGTGTGTGTGTGGATGTTCAAAAAAGTGATGTATCAGATTCTTCCTGCAGTAAACATCAAGTTTAAGGTGAAGGTGTGTGTGTGTATATGTGTGTGTGGATGTTCAATAAAGTGATGTATCAGATTCTTCCTGCAGTAAACATCAAGTTTAAGGTGAAGGTGTGTGTCTGTGTATATATGTGTGTGTGTGGATGTTCAAAAAAGTGATGTATCAGATTCTTCCTGCAGTAAACATCAAGTTTAAGGTGAAGGTGTGTGTCTGTGTATATATGTGTGTGTGTGGATGTTCAAAAAAGTGATGTATCAGATTCTTCCTGCAGTAAACATCAAGTTTAAGGTGAAGGTGTGTGTCTGTGTATATATGTGTGTGTGTGGATGTTCAATAAAGTGATGTATCAGATTCTTCCTGCAGTAAACATCAAGTTTAAGGTGAAGGTGTGTGTCTGTGTATATATGTGTGTGTGTGGATGTTCAAAAAAGTGATGTATCAGATTCTTCCTGCAGTAAACATCAAGTTTAAGGTGAAGGTGTGTGTCTGTGTATATATGTGTGTGTGTGGATGTTCAATAAAGTGATGTATCAGATTCTTCCTGCAGTAAACATCAAGTTTAAGGTGAAGGTGTGTGTCTGTGTATATATGTGTGTGTGTGGATGTTCAAAAAAGTGATGTATCAGATTCTTCCTGCAGTAAACATCAAGTTTAAGGTGAAGGTGTGTGTGTGTGTGTGTGTATATGTGTGTGTGTGGATGTTCAATAAATTGACGTATCAGATTCTTCCTGCAATAAACATCAAGTTTAAGGTGAAGGTGTGTGTGTGTGTGTGTATATGTGTGTGTGTGGATGTTCAATAAAGTGACGTATCAGATTCTTCCTGCAATAAACATCAAGTTTAAGGTGAAGGTGTGTGTGTATATGTGTGTGTGTGGATGTTCAATAAAGTGATGTATCAGATTCTTCCTGCAGTAAACATCAAGTTTAAGGTGAAGGTGTGTGTGTGTATATGTGTGTGTGGATGTTCAATAAAGTGACTATCAGATTCTTCCTGCAGTAAACATCAAGTTTAAGGTGATGGTGTGTGTGTGTGTGTATATGTGTGTGGATGTTCAATAAAGTGATGTATCAGATTCTTCCTGCAGTAAACATCATGTTTAAGGTGAAGGTGTGTGTGTATATGTGTGTGTGTGGATGTTCAATCAAGTGATGTATCAGATTCTTCCTGCAGTAAACATCAAGTTTAAGTTGAAGGTGTGTGTATGTGTGGATTTGAGTGTGAGTGTGTATAGCATAAATTGTTTCACTTATAAAAATATTCCACTATAACAAATGAAAACTCTCATAAATAGCCAAGATTTACTTTTTAAATTGACCAAAATCTACATTTCTAATTGACCAAGGTCTATATTTAAAATTGGCTAACGTCTACATAAATAAAGCGGGAGTGATCTCCCCTTAACTTTCCCGAATGTTCATATATAAAACTATGTGGGATGGCAACTCGGGGTATAGAGACAAGATTTTCAATCTATTTTTAATTACTTAAAATTAAAAAAAAAAATAGAATAGAAAAAAATGCGCACCATGTGAACAACAAACAATGTTTGTATAATAGTATGGATAATTAGTACTTTATAAATTGTCACGCAATTTTTGAGAAATCGGAAATAGCGTAAACTACTAATTCCGGTTAACGGATATTACTCAAAATTTGAAAAAAAAGGCAAGGAATTAGATCTTTTACTCATATGAGAAATTTCTTCTCTCTATCTCTAACAGTAGTCAAGTTATAGACTTTTGAAAAACTAAAAGTAGGACAAAGGCCACTTCCGGTTACCGGAAATCGCTGAAAAGTTGACACAGAACAACAAATTTGATATGATACTTATATATGAAATTTTATCAACCTAGCCTTATTGGTACTCAAGTTATCGTGTTCACAGACACACATCCACACAGACAGACACACACACACATATACATACGGACGTAATTGCAAAACTATGTTTTTCCGACTCACGGAGGCGTAAACCGTCGAAATTTGTGAAAATCTCGATTTCGATTTTTGGCACGATTACAACACTTCCTCTGTAGGACAAGTTCGTGCAGTAGAAAGTCAAAATTGGCCGAGATCTACATTTAAAATTGGCAAAGATCAACATATCTCACAGACGACAGTAAGTTATAAAGCCTGTTACATCCCCTTAGTTTCAAATAGTTTAAAAACTTTATTATCTGCCCCTAATAGCCTTACTAGATCGACCGGCTCTACGATTGTAAACATTCTCGTGAGCTACAGCTCACCAGACTGGTCGGGTGATTGCGTCTAGCTAGTTATCTCCCCTTCCGTTATTTAATTTAATAATCTATCGAGTTATTTAATTTTGTTATCTCCCCTCAGTTTTGAAACCGTTTAATTAATTTTTAATGACTAATTTAGCATCTAATTAAATTATAAAATAGATAGACTTGTATTGTCATCGAAGTGGAACTTATCTGATTGCATCAGAAGTGGGACATAATTAAGTTACAAAATTAGCCACAATCCCACAAACATACAAACATACATACAAACAAACAGACATTACGAACTAAACCTAGCTGAACTTACTCTCCCACCATTCGCACCAGGTCTGGGAACTCTTTATTAAAAAAGTCCAGCATGACGGTCTTGTCGGACATGACCTCATCAAACTTCTTGAAGGGCATGAACAAAGTTCCAGAGAAAGTTCCGTCCAGGTTGGGGAATGTGATGAGCATGAACTCTCCTCTCGGCCAGATGTGTAGCATGTCAGGCTCCATCTGGTACTGTGGGGACACGGGCTTTCAGGATTCTGCTGGGGTGTCTTTGTGGCTGGGGTGTCTTTGTGGCTGGGGTGTCTTTGTGGCTGGGGTGTCTTTGTGGCTGGGGTGTCTTTGTGGCTGGGGTGTCTTTGTGTCTGGGGTGTCTTTGTGGCTGGGGTGTCTTTGTGGCTGGGGTGTCTTTGTGGCTGGGGTGTCTTTGTGGCTGGGGTGTCTTTGTGGCTGGGGTGTCTTTGTGGCTGGGATGTGTTTGTTACTGTCGCGTGCTAGTGACTTAATTACATCTTTGAGCTGTTGGCAGGAGCAAGCGACGGACCTACCTGCTGCCCTGGACCTGCGGGCACCTTGAGCTCCATGTAGCCGTCGTCGTGATACTCCTGCTTGAAGAAGTCGAGCTTCCTGGCCTTGAACATCTGTTCCCTGACGGCTGAGTGGGCGCCGTCTGCCCCGATGATCAGGTCTGCTCCACACTCCAGTTCTTGCACCTGGCCACTGCAACAAACAGCAGCAACATTGTGAACAAACACCAGCAACATTGTGAACAAACACCAGCAACATGGTGAACACCAGCAACATTGTGAACAAACACCAGCAACATTGTGAACAAACACCAGCAACATGGTGAACACCAGCAACATTGTGAACAAACAGCAGCAACATTGTGAACAAACACCAGCAACATTGTGAACAAACACCAGCAACATTGTGAACAAACACCAGCAACATGGTGAACACCAGCAACATTGTGAACAAACACCAGCAACATTGTGAACAAACACCAGCAACATTGTGAACACCAGCAACATTGTGAATAATTGTGAACAAACACCAGCAACATTGTGAACAAACACCAGCAACATGGTGAACACCAGCAACATTGTGAACAAACACCAGCAACATTGTGATGGACAGAAAACAAGTTTAGACATCAGGTGCACATGTAATCTTTGACCAGCACCTAACTGACCACCTACCCGCTGGTAACCTTGAAAGTACACCTGCCCTTGTTGACGTCACAAGAGGTCAGCTCGTGCTGGAAGAAAATCTCCACACCTTCATGTCTGAGGGCAGCTGGGGAGACAAGGGGAATTCAGACAACTGGGGGGGGGGTGTGGTGGGGGAGGGGATGGAGGGGTGTAAGGGCAGCTGGGGAGACAAGGGGAATTCAGACAACTGGGGGGGGTGTGGTGGGGGAGGGGTGTAAGGGCAGCTGGGGGTAGGGTGGAGTGTGGTTAATGAAGGGGTGTCAGACAGACAGACAGACAGATAGCTTGTCACCCTGTAGCGATGAGTAGACACCCACAAGACGAGTCGGGTCTACTTGATGTGCTGATGTCTACACCTCGGGCAAGTTTGATGTCGCTCAGAGAGCACGTCAAGTGTGAGTGGGTCACCGTGACGTCACCTGACACTTACCGTTAATGAGCAGACTGTTTAGCTGTGTTCTCCTCAGTGACACGATACCCTGCAACACACAACACATCATTGTGTACCTTCTGTTCATTTTTACACATACGATTTTTGTTCGATAGTTAACTATGATATTTCGTGTAGACCAATGCATTTGGATGCCCGAAAAATCGTATTTTCGAGAAAAATCTATAGAGGTGTCAAAGCCAGAGGTGTAACGACGCATTTCGGTGCCCGGTGCAAACTATCGACTTTGCGCCCCCCTCCCCCCATTTGGAAAGGTGAGGTGCTTTTAAGCAGCCATTAATCCTAAATCCAGCCGTGTATAATTCAGTAATACAGCTCAGAATGAGCTTTTGTGTTTGTTCCTACTCCGTTTGATGCCCCCTTATGATCGACGCCCGGGACGGCCACCCAACTATTCCCCCCCCCACCCCCCCTGGCTACGCCTCTGGCAACAGCTGTACTTCATAGCACTTTTTTTTGTGATAAACGGAGGCGCATTTTCCAAAAGCTTTTTAGGGTACACCTATGCAATTTAGGGGAATTCAACTCGGGGTAATAGAAAAACATTTTCTCTTCAGGAAAACATTGAATTTGCGAATTGCTTTAAAAATATTCGCTCCTTTTGTAATGTTAATTTTCAAGAGCATTTAAATACTTATGTGATCTAAAAAAAAACCTGCACATGACCTTCAAACCTCCCTCCCTTGACCTTTGAACCTACCCCTCATGATCTTCAAACCTACCTCCCATGACATTTGAACCTACCTCCCATTACCTTTGAACCTACCTCCCATGATCTTTGAACCTACCTCCCATGACCTTTGAACCTACCTGCCATGACCTTTGAACCTACCTCCCATGACCTTTGAACCTACCTCCCATGACCTTTGAACCTACCTCCCCCTTCTCGTTGTATGGACTGTGCTTCTTGTTGCCCTTGCCGTCGTGCACAATGCGACCCCTGGCCAGCACGCCATCTTTCAACACCTCCCCCTCCAGGCCGATCTCTCGTAGGGCCAGCTGACCCCTGGGTGACATGGTCAGGTTGATGCTGCGGGCCCTCTCCTCGCTCCAGGTCCTGGGATCTGGGACAAGATGGCTTCACTGGTTGTCATGGCAACACGGTTTGCGCGCGCATAGTCTAAATAGCATATTACGTGTAGCTTTCTGTATCAGGACCTTCAGCTTTATATAAGGTCTGGTGTTGTCATCAGTTATAATATCAATAGCTTTGTGTATGTTCTTGTGAATGGTCTGGTGTTGCCATCAGTTATAATATCAACAGCTTTGTATGTGTATGTTCTTGTGAATGGTCTGGTGTTGCCATCAGTTATAATATCAATAGCTTTGTATGTGTATGTTCTTGTGAATGGTCTGGTGTTATCATTAGTTATAATATCAACAGCTTTGTATGTGTATGTTCTTGTGAATGGTCTGGTGTTATCATCAGTTATAATATCAACAGCGTTGTATGTGTATGTTCTTGTGAATGCACGCGTATAAGTATGTGTTTATGCATGTTTCTATCCATATTTGTATGTCCATGTGTAGACATGTGTCTTTGTATGTCCTTGTGTCTGTCCATGTATGTATGAATATGTCTGTGTCCATGTGTATGTCCAGCTGATCATGACCATTGACCTCCTCTAACGTACCTTCAAACTGTTCAATGACTAGACCATTGCACCTCCTCTAACGTACCTTCAAACTGTTCAATGACTAGACCATTGCACCTCCTCTAACGTACCTTCAAACTGTTCAATTGCTAGAACATTGCACCTCCTCTAACGTACCTTCAAACTGTTCAATGGCTAGAACATTACACCTCCTAACGTACCTTCAAACTGTTCAAATATTTTCACCTTGACACCTTTCCTGGCCATGTAGATGGCTTCAACACACCCCACCTGTAAACACACAAGATCGACATTACAACAAGTTTCAACAAGTTTCACTTGACAAAAACATTTCAACAAGTTTCACTTGACTAAATAATTTCAACAAGTTTCACTTGACTAAATAATTTCAACAAGTTTCACTTGACTAAATAATTTGAACAAGTTTCACTTGACTAAATCATTACAACAAGTTTCACTTGATAAAATCATTTCAACAAGTTTCACTTGACCAAATCATTTTAACAAATTTCACTTGACAAAATAATTTTAACAAGTTTCACTTGACCAAATCATTTCAACAAGTTTCCAAATAATTTCAACAAGTTTCACTTGACCAAATCATTTCAACAAGTTTCACTTGACCAAATCATTTCAGCAAGTTTACAAATAATTTCAACAAGTTTCACTTGATCAAATCATTTCAACAAGTTTACAAATAATTTGAACAAGTTTCACTTGACCAAATCATTTTAACAAATTTCAATTGACCAAATCATTTCAACAAGTTTACAAATAATTTGAACAAGTTTCACTTGACCAAATCATTTTAACAAATTTCAATTGACCAAATCATTTCAACAAGTTTACAAATAATTTGAACAAGTTTCACTTGACCAAATCATTTTAACAAATTTCAATTGACCAAATCATTTCAACAAGTTTACAAATAATTTGAACAAGTTTCACTTGACCAAATCATTTTAACAAATTTCAATTGACCAAATCATTTCAACAAGTTTACAAATAATTTGAACAAGTTTCACTTGACCAAATCATTTTAACAAATTTCAATTGACCAAATCATTTCAACAAGTTTACAAATCATTTCAACAAGTTTCACTTGACCAAATCATTTCAACAAGTTTACAAATCATTTCAACAAGTTTACAAATAATTTGAACAAGTTTCACTTGACCAAATAATTTCAACAAGTTTCACTTGACTAAATAATTTTAACAAATTTCACTTGACCAAATCATTTCAACAAGTTTACAAATAATTTCAACAAGTTTCACTTGACAAAAACATTTCAACAAGTTCCACTTGACCAAATCATTTCAACAAGTTTCCAAATAATTTCAACAAGTTTCCAAATAATTTCAACAAGTTTCATTTGACCAAATCATTTCAAAAAGTTTCCAAATAATTTCAACAAGTTTCCAAATAATTTTTTAAAAGTTTCACTTGACCAAATCATTTTAAAAAGATTCCAAATAATTTCAACAAGTTTCACTTGACCAAATCATTTCAACAAGTTTACAAATCATTTCAACAAGTTTACAAATAATTTGAACAAGTTTCACTTGACCAAATAATTTCAACAAGTTTCACTTGACTAAATAATTTCAACAAGTTTCACTTGACAAAAACATTTCAACCAGTTTCCAAATAATTTCAACAAGTTTCACTTGACCAAATAATTTCAACAAATTTCACTTGACCAAATCATTTTAACAAATTTCACTTGACCAAATCATTTCAACAAGTTTACAAATAATTTCAACAAGTTTCACTTGACAAAAACATTTCAACAAGTTCCACTTGACAAAATCATTTCAACAAGTTTCCAAATAATTTCAACAAGTTTCCAAATAATTTCAACAAGTTTCATTTGACCAAATCATTTCAAAAAGTTTCCAAATAATTTCAACAAGTTTCCAAACAATTTTTTAAAAGTTTCACTTGACCAAATCATTTTAAAAAGTTTCCAAATAATTTGAACAAGTTTCACTTGACTAAATAATTTCAACAAGTTTCACTTGACCAAATAATTTGAACAAGTTTCACTTGACAAAATAATTTGAACAAGTTTCACTAGACCAAATCATTTTAAAAAGTTTCCAAATAATTTCAACAAGTTTCACTTGACCAAATAATTTTAACAAGTTTCACTTGACCAAATCATTTTAAAAAGTTTCCAAATAATTTGAACAAGTTTCACTTGACTAAATAATTTGAACAAGTTTCACTTGACCAAATAATTTGAACAAGTTTCACTTGACAAAATAATTTGAACAAGTTTCACTTGACCAAATAATTTGAACAAGTTTCACTTGACCAAATAATTTGAACAAGTTTCACTAGACCAAATCATTTTAAAAAGTTTCACTTGACCAAATAATTTCAACAAGTTTCACCTGAATAAATCATTGAACTTACCAGCCCAGCCCCTACAATGATCACCTTGAACGTCTGCTCCGACATGTCTTCTGCTGTCCTGATTTCTCCAGTCCCTCTTGCTTGCATTAGGACACAAAACTGTAGAGCTTGGGCTTTTAAAGGTTCGACAACAAAAACAGGGTATTTCCATTGTTATTCCCCTTTACACGATTTACTTAGAAATTTGACCAACAGCAAGAGCAGGGTATTTCCGTTGCTACCCCCTCCCCCTCCCACGCCCCCCCCCCCCCCCACACACACCTCGGTTATTCTTAGATTATTACCAAGGTTCTGACAGAACCGTTCAGTGTAATCTACGCAGGATAATTAAATTGCTTAAAAAATATTGAACACAGTCACGATACAACAGCGTGATATTGAGGTTTAATAGTTGTCTACATAAGACACGTCACTCTATCGGCGTTGTAATGGTCTTTATATATATATATATATATATATATATATATATATATATATATATATATATATATATATATATATATATATATATATAAGCCCTGCTGGGGGGGAATAACTAAAAATCTATCTACCCTTCCCTGGCTTATCTATTACTGTCCGCGGTCAGTGCAAGCCCGGCTAAATCCAGACTGGTTAATAACCTTAACCTTAGTCTAAATAATAAAAACAAAAAGCTTTTAACAATTAATTAAATTTATTTCATGGAACCAATCAAAATAAGAAAGATGATAAACCACAGAATACACAAAACACGACTAAACAAAACAAACTTTTTACACCAAACAAAACACCCAGCAACCGCACTCCAACGCACGAAGTGCGACCACAGACAACTGACTTGACCTACATTCTTGCGGTCAAAAAGAAAAAAAATTATCCGAGTGGTCAGTTTATATACTGACCGCTTCGGGCGGAAGGGGAACCCCGTAACCTCTGTCCAGTGGACCATTTACTCACAGATTCGCAGCCAATAAAATAATACAAAATAAATAATCCATTCACCCGCTCACATATATAAATAATATGTGTGTGAGTACCTATGCTACAGGCTACCTACAGGCTACCTATCCTATGCTACAGGATACCTATGCTACAGGATGGCTAATAATATCAAAGATGTATCTAAACTAACAAGTTTCTAATTGTGAACAGCTGTGTGTTAAAACGTATGGCAGATTGCGGTCAAACGTTAACGATGTGTGATTAAAACAGAGAGCCATGTTGACCTTTACGTCCTAGATTTCTCAACAAAAATTGATTCGTGTGTTGATGGGAGTGCGTGTTGATCGGGTTTTCTTAGAAAACGAAAGTTCCTTTTATTTTAGGAATGATCTGACACGCTTGAAACGTGGCTGACTCTCTCCCCGGAAAATTGTTTTTGGCATTCTCAAGCTGTTGGGTAAAAACTGGCTATACTCGGATTAGGTGAAGTAGAGTTGACTTTTGACCTCGGCATATGAAGGACTGTTGTGGTCAGCACTATGTACTGCCACGTTGACCTGCCATAGAGACTTACAGGTGTACCATAATGTGCAGGTACTCGGCCTGCGGGTCTATGCAGGATCTACATGTCATAGCCCCCCCCCCCCACCCACCCACACACAACTTCACACCCTGGGGATGTTTATGTGCTTGGTATTTCGCTCGCGAGTGTCAGATTGTATAAGGACCAAAAGCTCGCTTAAATATGGCAGAGATTTTATAAGGACGAATGCTCTATTTAGAGAAATACTTAAGTGTTTTATTTTTTTTTAAATTCAGTGTAGGGCCTATTTTAAAAGTTTATTAAAAAAATTTAAATTAGTAGCATTTAAAAGCCTATATTTAGTATATTCTAAAGATACGAAGGTCCTTGTGTAATTAAACGTTTTAAAAATAGTAATTAGGCTCCAAAGTTAATTTGGGTAATTTTAATGAAACCGCCACTCCCACCATTAAAATAACTTGAACCCCGACCAGAAAATCCTAACCACAATTGTGTCACGTGGTCGGTTCTCTGGTCTCATGTGTGATGGAGACATCCGGGAATACAGCTCTCCTGACTGGGTGCCGCCACTACTTGACTGGGTGCCGCCACTACTTGACTGGGTGCTGCCACTACTTGACTGGGTGCTGCCACTACTTGACTGGGTGCCGCCACTACTTGACTGGGTGCCGCCACTACTTGACTGGGTGCCGCCACTACCTGTCACACTGGGTGCCGCCACTACTTGACTGGGTGCCGCCACTACCTGTCACACTGGGTGCCGCCACTACCTGACTCGCTGGGTGCCGCCACTACCTGTCACACTGGGTGCCGCCACTACCTGTCACACTGGGTGCCGCCACTACCACTACCTGTCACACTGGGTGCCGCCACTACCGGACACGCTGGGTACCGCCACTACCTGCCACATTGAATGCCGCCACTATCTGACTCGCTGGGTGCCGCCACTACCTGTCACACTGGGTGCCGCCACTACCTGACACGCTGGGTGCCGCTACTACTTTTTTTGCCATGTCACCCGGTGCACCCCCACCACTACTAATTAACCTTGTTATGTAATTCGGTCATCTTAGTTACATTAATGTTTAGTGACTAATTAATAACCATTATTAATTATTTTGAAGATTGTCTATCATTGCGTGGTCATCTGAAACGAGTTATTTGTGGTACGTAAACAAATAGAAGTTGAACATAACTCATATCCCTAGTCGCCACAAATATACGTAAGAAAAGCTTAAAATAGAAATTACATCGCCCGCCGCTAAACGGAAAAATCCCATTTCACAGAAAATTTAGTAGGGCGAGCAAGAAACTGTTTTCTCGAATATTTCTGATTGGCTGCAGGCCAAAAATGGATCGGGTTTTTTTTTTTTTTTTTTTGCGTGCCTACCTGAAACACAACTCGACTAGGAGGCGAGGTTTAGTTCAATATATTTATTACAATCTGTAGAGAAAATGTCAGTACAATATTCATACAATATTTCGTTTAATGAGACAATGACAGCTGTTTAAATAATTGTTTTCATCAGTTCTGAGACAAATTGGATGTTGCCACTCCCCACCATGAGCAGCAGGTTGCTGCCTTCACCACTCTCAAGTAACTGAGATAATCTTTACTTCGCTCAGTTACACAACAACTTTTCAAATCCTTTATTTGAGTTAGCAGAGAAATCTTTTGCTCCTTGAATAATGTCAAACTAGGTGATGATTCGTGCTATCAAGCAATCACACGTCTTATAAAAGGTTCAAGTAATAACCTGTAGACACCCACCAATCTGTCATGCTATTAACATCGGGAAATTAACAAAATATTATGCTTAGGCATATCATAATTAATGCTTTGTTGACATAGATGGATACTAAAGTACACATGATAAGGAAATAAAAGCTGAATATGAGTTCTGCGGCTAAGTCCAGGGACACGTTTCTCTTTGTATGTTAGTGATTACATGAATACAGAAATAAAAAATAAATGCTAAAATGTATGTACATGCCCATATGTTGTTCACATAGCCAAAGTTTGGAGTGGAAGAAATGTTGATGAACACAAGTATGAATGGGTCAAGTTGTGGGATAGAAAGATATGGAACTATCACAAATTCCAACTTGTCAATTGTTGTATGAATGGGTCAAGTTGTGGGATAGAAAGATCTGAAACTATCACAAATTCCAACTTGTCAATTGTTGTATGAATGGGTCAAGTTGTGGGATAGAAAGATCTGGAACTATCACAAATTCCAACTTGTCAATTGTTCAAAGTTTGAACACAGCGCAGTATCTGGCCACACCCACCCATCCAGCTTTAATCTAAGTACTAGGGAGACAATGATGCTAAAACTGGGCTCTACTGTACACAGCATAAGACAAAAGTTAAAACTACCATTGGTTAGCAAAGTAAAATATGAGACTAAAACAGGATATACAAATCTGATATAGCTATATCAAGTAAAACATGTTGCATATATATGACAAAGATATATCAATTTTAAAAAGGTTTCAGTACATCCAGCCATCTTGACAAATTTAGCAGTTTTGTTTTGGGCTCTAGCAAGTCACACAGCTGACACATGTCAGGTGATGTGGTGATTGATTAGCCAATATTTACAAACAGATGAATGATTGTACAGAGAGATTGGGGAGAAAACAACCTGTCAACAGTGATTGTGGTTTATTAAATCTTTGTTCAACATGACATGTAGCCATGACACAATGTCAGGACAGGATGACATGTAGCCATGACACAATTGCTTGTATTGCGTGCATTTGTTGCACTCATTAGAACAGCAGCAGTACTAAAAAAATTCTAAAATTAGAACTTACAAAAAGCAGGTGTATGATTGATTCCAGTCCAACAAAAACTAGTTCAGCAGTTTGAAAAAGGCTAGGTATAAAACTTGTGTAAATAAATCTCTGATCCAAAAAAGTTTGTACTCAAATATTTTGGTGCATGTCCAGAAATACAAAGAAAATGTGGACATTGGGTCACATCAGACACATCTAAAAATAGCACCAAAACACAGACTACACACACAGTCAGTTTAACCTCATTACACATGTGTGGCTCTTTCCTTTTTGTGCTCCTTGTCCTTCTTCTTCTACACATGTGTGGCTCTTTCCTTTTTGTGCTCCTTGTCCTTCTTCTTTTTGAGGAATCCAAACACACCGTGACTTTTTCTTTTTTCTTGACGGTCATCTCCACCTGCAGGCTCGGAGTGGCTGGAGGCTGATTCGGACCTTCGACCCCGGATCTGAGAAAAAGTGGGACGGAATTCACAAACCTGTACACTACATCCTAATGCTTAGAACTGTAAGACTAATGTGCAAATGGCAAAACATTGTCAGCATAAATCATTTAATATTTCAACACTTTACATCTAAATTAGGGTTAGTATAATGATCTTTATCAAACTGAGTCAAATAAAATAAGCATCTTTTGACCTGTTTATGTTATGTAGACATTTTTGTTTTTCTCAGACAGTTTCATAATACAGCTGAGGAAATAAGCGTGTTGCTTATTTTATTTACTATAAGACAAATTAAGCACCACCAGGGTTTCTACTGTAAACATTCTAAGTTAAGAAATAATGTGCTAGTGCTTGTGGACAACAGAAGATGAAATAAGCAACTAGCTTATTTCTGCCAACCAGCTGTCTAGGAAATTTTAACCCCTTTCCCTTCTTTATATATAATGTATTGAAAAATATATTGTTAATGCCATTTGCATTATAAACAAGAAAAAACACGGCTGCTATACTCAGTTCTAAACCCCAAACCTTGGTAGATGCCCAACATTCCAATTTCTTAAATCAGTCAAACTTCTCTTTAAAAATACTAAAAATATTTGCCTATAAATGCAAGGTAAATATAGATCATCGTTGACTGAAATAAGCCTGTTATTTTTTTGTCACCAGTTTTCCCAGTTAACCACCCTAAATTTAGAACAAACACAGCCAGTGTTTCTTCCAGACTTTTTTCTCCGGGGGGGCACTTGAAATCTTCGGGGGGGCGGTAAACTTTCTTCGGGGGGGCGGACACTGTTAAAAGTATATATTTTCTATATAAATTATATAAATTTCATTTCGTTCGGGGGGGCGGTAAAAATTTTTCGGGCCCCCCCCCGAAGAGATGCCTGGAAGAAACTCTGAACACAGCTAAGGTTCATAGTGTTGGCAATCTGACCTGGGAGTCATCATCAAATGAAGAATCTTTATCTTGACTGCTGTCTCCATATGGCTGAGGGTGACCATCTTCTTCATCTAGAAACAAAAATTTTATTTAATAGATTTATTGTAGGAGCTAGCAATTGGAGCTTTTAACTGACAGAATAATTGACCTAAAGTCCCAGTAGGAGCTAGCAATTGGAGCTTTTAACTGACAGAATAATTGACCTAAAGTCCCAGTAGGAGCTAGCAATTGGAGCTTTTAACTGACAGAATAATTGACCTAAAGTCCCAGTAGGAGCTAGCAATTGGAGCTTTTAACTGACAGAATAATTGACCTAAAGTCCCAGTAGGAGCTAGCAATTGGAGCTTTTAACTGACAGAATAATTGACCTAAATTCCCAGGGTAAGAGCTAGCTATTGAAACTTTTAACTGACAGAATAATTGACCTAAAGTCCCAGTAGGAGCTAGCAATTGGAGCTTTTAACTGACAGAATAATTGACCTAAAGTCCCAGTAGGAGCTAGCAATTGAAGCTTTTAACTGACAGAATAATTGACCTAAAGTCCCATTGTAGGAGCTAGCTATTGAAACTTTTAACTGACAGAATAATTGACCTAAAGTCCCAGTAGGAGCTAGCAAATGAAGCTTTTAACTGACAGAATAATTGACCTAAAGTCCCAGTGTAAGAGCTAGCTATTGAAGCTTTTAACTGACAGAATAATTGACCTAAATTCCCAGGGTAGGAGCTAGCATATGAAGCTTTTAACTGACAGAATAATTGACCTAAAGTCCCAGTAGGAGCTAGCAAATGAAGCTTTTAACTGACAGAATAATTGACCTAAAGTCCCAGTGTAAGAGCTAGCTATTGAAGCTTTTAACTGACAGAATAATTGACCTGAAGTCCCAGTAGGAGCTAGTAAATGAAACTTTTAACTGACAAAACTCACCTGAATGATTGGATGGAAGACTTGGTGTCCTGGAATGTACGACCACACCCCCTTCAAGCTGCACATGCCTGGAATGTTCTAGTACTGGTTCAAAAGTTCTGGGGAGGGGCTTAGGGGGTACAGCAGGTTTGGCTGATGGAGCCTCATGTGGAGGTGGGTGTGCAGGTGGTGGGGGACTGGCATCCCTGGTGTGGTCCAGTGATGGTGAAAACTGCTCGGATGGGTCCAGGTCTGAGAAAAACAGGTCTGGTCAGTTAACATTAGGTCTCAACACTACCAGGTCTGGTCATTAGGTCTCAACACAACCAGGTCTGGTCAGTTAACATTAGGTCTCAACACAACCAGGTCTGGTCAGTTAACATTAGGTCTCAACACTACCAGGTCTGGTCATTAGGTCTCAACACAACCAGGTCTGGTCAGTTAACATTAGGTCTCAACACAACCAGGTCTGGTCAGTTAACATTAGGTCTCAACAAAACCAGGTCTGGTCAGTTAACATTAGGTCTCAACAAAACCAGGTCTGGTCAGTTAACATTAGGTCTCAACACAATCAGGTCTGGTCAGTTAACATTAGGTCTCAACACAACCAGGTCTGGTCATTAGTTCTCAACACAACCAGGTCTGGTCAGTTAACATTAGGTCTCAACACAACCAGGTCTGGTCATTAGGTCTCAACACAACCAGGTCTGGTCAGTTAACATTAGGTCTCAACACAACCAGGTCTGGTCAGTTAACATTAGGTCTCAACACAACCAGGTCTGGTCATTAGGTCTCAACACAACCAGGTCTGGTCAGTTAACAATAGGTCTCAACACAACCAGGTCTGGTCAGTTAACATTAGGTCTCAACACTACCAGGTCTGGTCAGTTAACATTAGGTCTCAACACAACCAGGTCTGGTCAGTTAACATTAGGTCTCAACACAACCAGGTCTGGTCAGTTAACATTAGGTCTCAACACAACCAGGTCTGGTCAGTTAACATTAGGTCTCAACACAACCAGGTCTGGTCATTTAACATTAGGTCTCAACACAATCAGGTCTGGTCAGTTAACATTAGGTCTCAACACAACCAGGTCTGGTCATTAGGTCTCAACACAACCAGGTCTGGTCAGTTAACATTAGGTCTCAACACAACCAGGTCTAGTCAGTTAACATTAGGTCTCAACACAACCAGGTCTGGTCAGTTAACATTAGGTCTCAACACAACCAGGTCTGGTCATTAGGTCTCAACACAACCAGGTCTGGTCAGTTAACATTAGGTCTCAACACAACCAGGTCTGGTCAGTTAACATTAGGTCTCAACACTACCAGGTCTGGTCATTAGGTCTCAACACAACCAGGTCTGGTCAGTTAACAATAGGTCTCAACACAACCAGGTCTGGTCAGTTAACATTAGGTCTCAACACTAACAGGTCTGGTCAGTTAACATTGGGTCTCAACACAACCAGGTCTGGTCAGTTAACATTAGGTCTCAACACTACCAGGTCTGGTCAGTTAACATTAGGTCTCAACACAACCAGGTCTGGTCAGTTAACATTAGGTCTAAACACTACCAGGTCTGGTCATTAGGTCTCAACACTACCAGGTCTGGTCATTAGGTCTCAACACTACCAGGTCTGGTCAGTTAACATTAGGTCTCAACACAACCAGGTCTGGTCAGTTAACATTAGGTCTCAACACAACCAGGTCTAGTCAGTTAACATTAGGTCTCAACACAACCAGGTCTGGTCAGTTAACATTAGGTCTCAACACAACCAGGTCTGGTCATTAGGTCTCAACACAACCAGGTCTGGTCAGTTAACAATAGGTCTCAACACAACCAGGTCTGGTCAGTTAACATTAGGTCTCAACACAACCAGGTCTGGTCAGTTAACATTGGGTCTCAACACAACCAGGTCTGGTCAGTTAACATTAGGTCTCAACACAACCAGGTCTGGTCAGTTAACATTAGGTCTCAACACAACCAGGTCTGGTCAGTTAACATTAGGTCTCAACAAAACCAGGTCTGGTCAGTTAACATTAGGTCTCAACACAATCAGGTCTGGTCAGTTAACATTAGGTCTCAACACAACCAGGTCTGGTCATTAGGTCTCAACACAACCAGGTCTGGTCAGTTAACATTAGGTCTCAACACAACCAGGTCTGGTCAGTTAACATTAGGTCTCAACACAACCAGGTCTGGTCATTAGGTCTCAACACAACCAGGTCTGGTCAGTTAACATTAGGTCTCAACACAACCAGGTCTGGTCAGTTAACAATAGGTCTCAACACAACCAGGTCTGGTCATTAGGTCTCAACACAACCAGGTCTGGTCAGTTAACAATAGGTCTCAACACAACCAGGTCTGGTCAGTTAACATTAGGTCTCAACACTACCAGGTCTGGTCAGTTAACATTGGGTCTCAACACAACCAGGTCTGGTCAGTTAACATTAGGTCTCAACACTACCAGGTCTGGTCAGTTAACATTAGGTCTCAACACAACCAGGTCTGGTCAGTTAACATTAGGTCTAAACACTACAAGGTCTGGTCATTAGGTCTCAACACTACCAGGTCTGGTCATTAGGTCTCAACACTACCAGGTCTGGTCAGTTAACATTAGGTCTCAACACAACCAGGTCTGGTCAGTTAACATTAGGTCTCAACACAACCAGGTCTGGTCAGTTAACATTAGGTATCAACACAACCAGGTCTGGTCAGTTAACATTAGGTTTCAACACAACCAGGTCTGGTCAGTTAACATTAGGTCTCAACACAACCAGGTCTGGTCAGTTAACATTAGGTCTCAACACAACCAGGTCTGGTCAGTTAACATTAGGTCTCAACACAACCAGGTCTGGTCATTAGGTCTCAACACTACCAGATTTGGTCAGTTAACATTAGGTCTCAACACAACCAGGTCTGGTCATTAGGTCTCAACACTACCAGGTCTGGTCAGTTAACATTAGGTCTCAACACTACCAGGTCTGGTCATTAGGTCTCAACACTACCAGGTCTGGTCAGTTAACATTAGGTCTCAACACTACCAGGTCTGGTCAGTTAACATTAGGTCCAACACAACCAGGTCTGGTCATTAGGTCTCAACACAACCAGGTCTGGTCATTAGGTCTCAACACAACCAGGTCTGGTTAGTTAACATTAGGTCTCAACACAACCAGGTCTGGTCATTAGGTCTCAACACAACCAGGTCTGGTCAGTTAACATTAGGTCTCAACACAACCAGGTCTGGTCATTAGGTCTCAACACAACCAGGTCTGGTCATTAGGTCTCAACACTACCAGGTCTGGTCATTAGGACTCAACACAACCAGGTCTGGTCAGTTAACATTAGGTCTCAACACAACCAGGTCTGGTCAGTTAACATTAGGTCTCAACACAACCAGGTCTGGTCATTAGGTCTCAAAACAACCAGGTCTGGTCATTAGGTCTCAACACAACCAGGTCTGGTCAGTTAACATTAGGTCTCAACACAACCAGGTCTGGTCATTAGGTCTCAACACAACCAGGTCTGGTCATTAGGTCTCAACACAACCAGGTCTGGTCATTAGGTCTCAACACAACCAGGTCTGGTCATTAGGTCTCAACACTACCAGGTCTGGTCATTAGGTCTCAACACAACCAGGTCTGGTCAGTTAACATTAGGTCTCAACACTACCAGGTCTGGTCATTAGGTCTCAACACTACCAGGCCTGGTCAGTTAACATTAGGTCTCAACACAACCAGGTCTAGTCAGTTAACATTAGGTCTCAACACAACCAGGTTTGGTCAGTTAACATTAGGTCTCAACACAACCAGGTCTGGTCAGTTAACATTAGGTCTCAACACAAACAGGTCTGGTCAGTTAACATTAGGTCTCAACACAACCAGGTCTGGTCATTAGGTCTCAACACAACCAGGTCTGGTCAGTTAACATTAGGTCTCAACACAACCAGGTCTGGTCATTAGGTCTCAACACAACCAGGTCTGGTCAGTTAACATTAGGTCTCAACACAACCAGGTCTGGTCATTAGGTCTCAACACAACCAGGTCTGGTCATTAGGTCTCAACACAACCAGGTCTGGTCATTAGGTCTCAACACAACCAGGTCTGGTCATTAGGTCTCAACACAACCAGGTCTGGTCATTAGGTCTCAACACTACCAGGTCTGGTCATTAGGTCTCAACACAACCAGGTCTGGTCAGTTAACATTAGGTCTCAACACTACCAGGTCTGGTCATTAGGTCTCAACACTACCAGGCCTGGTCAGTTAACATTAGGTCTCAACACAACCAGGTTTGGTCAGTTAACATTAGGTCTCAACACAACCAGGTCTGGTCAGTTAACATTAGGTCTCAACACAAACAGGTCTGGTCAGTTAACATTAGGTCTCAACACAACCAGGTCTGGTCATTAGGTCTCAACACAACCAGGTCTGGTCATTAGGTCTCAACACAACCAGGTCTGGTCAGTTAACATTAGGTCTCAACACAACCAGGTTTGGTCATTAGGTCTCAACACAACCAGGTCTGATCATTAGGTCTCAACACTACCAGGCCTGGTCAGTTAACATTAGGTCTCAAAACAACCAGGTCTGGTCAGTTAACATAAGGTCTCAACATTACCAGGTCTGGTCAGTTAACATTAGGTCTCAACACAACCTGGTCTGGTCAGTTAACATTAGGTCTCAACACTTTCAGGTCTGGTCATTAAGTCTCAACACAACCAGGTCTGGTCAGTTAACATTAGGTCTCAACACAACCAGGTCTGGTCAGTTAACATTAGGTCTCAACACAACCAGGTCTGGTCATTAAGTCTCAACACAACCAGGTCTGGTCAGTTAACATTAGGTCTCAACACAACCAGGTCTGGTCAGTTAACATTAGGTCTCAACACAACCAGGTCTGGTCAGTTAACATTAAGTCTCAACACAACCAGGTCTGGTCAGTTAACATTAGGTCTCAACACTACCAGGTCTGGTCAGTTAACATTAGGTCTCAACACAACCAGGTCTGGTCAGTTAACATTAGGTCTCAACACTACCAGGTCTGGTCATTAGGTCTCAACACTACCAGGTCTGGTCAGTTAACATTAGGTCTCAATACTACCAGGTCTGGTCAGTTAACATTAGGTCTCAACCCAACCAGGTCTGGTCATTAGGTCTGAACACTACCAGGTCTGGTCAGTTAACATTAGGTCTCAACACTACCAGGTGTGGTCAGTTAACATTAGGTCTCAACACAAATAGGATTAATTAATTAACATTAATTTTTAACCCAATCAATAGAATCAAATGTAGGAATTAAAATGTTTCCAACTCCAACCAATCTAGGTTCATTTTTCTATCTTTTAATTATCTTAATTAATATTTCATGTTCCTGTATTTAACACAAAAATTTGATTATCAGATTTTGCTTAGATATTTGATTGGTTCATTCATGTGAAATGACAACTGTTTACATCTATAATAAATAATAGATTTGGAATCTGTAAAAAAAAATATTAAATTTCATTTGTATCATAGACTTAAAACAAATATTTCACATGCAACACTAGCAATTAGAAATGCACAACTACTGCACATCAGTTTTTAGCTTAAGCTAAAAGAAAGCTAGCAAGCATTAAACATAAACAAAATAAAGAGAAATAGCAATACAACCACCCAAAGTTGTTATTTTACATCCACCCAAAGTTATAAAAAACTATTTTACCATCACCTGCTAAGACATGCGCTACAAGTCAAAAGGCTAAAGGCTATGTATCTAGTTACTAATGGCTACAAGTCAAAAGGCTAAAGGCTATGTATCTAGTTACTAATGGCTACAAGTCAAAAGGCTAAAGGCTATGTATCTAGTTACTAATGGCTACAAGTCAAAAGGCTAAAGGCTATGTATCTAGTGAAATTAAAAACGTTGTCTAGTCTAAAAACTCTCATATATTGACCTACCAAAGCAATTGCATAGAATAAAAATGTCTTGATATTTTCTAAAGGAAGTCAAGTGTTTTAGGAAGAGAGTGAGAAACTGATGTTTAAAAATTATTTAAATATTATCCAGCTAGGAACGAAAGATAAAAATTTCTTTAAAAAATTATTTTACACCGATAAAAATCATTAAAAAAAAACATAATGACATTTGATATTCAGAACTAATAACAAAAAGTAATGAATTATGTAATAATGGGTAGAATGCAATCTAAATTTAAACAATTGTCGAAGGCCTGAAAATGGAATTGGTATTTTTAAACAATTATTGGTACTGAAATGAAATAGGTAACTTTATTCAACAGTTGACATTAAAATCAAACTGGCAGATTTAAAGAACTGTTGGTAGGCCTACAGTAATGAAAATTGTAAATTCAAACACATGTTGGTAGTGTTATGAAATTGATACATTTGATCGACTGTTGGTACTGTAGTCTTAAGAGATGGTTACATTTATAATTTGGTCACTCTATAGTGAAATAGGATAAAACACAATAAAGCTTTGACCAAAAAAAATGTTCAAACTTATAAACAAAGCAAATATGGTTGCACAAACCTAGGCATATATATTTGTTTAACTCAAAACATGGATTCAAAATAATAAATGTAGGCTACTGTTTCACGTGGGGGGAGGGGGAAATTGTCATCTCCAGATCCATCTGATAAGTGAAAGTATTTTATTTAAAATTATAAATGAATCTTATTGATATTGCCAATTTTACTTGATTCATTTAACAGTTAAGTTACAATAAAAGATAATAGACATTTTGTTGAGTAATTTACTTAAATTAAGTTAATTGTCTATTCTTGTTTTATAAATTTATTTTACTTTAATTTCAAGAAAAAAAGAAATCTATCTGCAATTTTCAATTTAAAAGCATGTATGGTACTAATCTTTGAATAACAAATAAGAAAATGTTTAGTTATTTTCACTTAAAGGCCAGGTAAGCTTTGAGTAACCAAACACCATGTATTATGCTACAAGCACAACTATTGTGTGTAGCTGGAAGCAAGTAGAAATCGTCCACAGCAATTCTTCAGAAGGTGCATTCATACAATACAATCAAGATCCCCAACCAAAAAAAAATAAAAAATTGAAAAAAATCCAAAAAAAAAAAGCATCAAATTCTAAAATAAATGTGGCCTAGTTCACCTTCTTCTGGAGGCAGCTCTGGCTGACCTAGATTTAGACCTTCAAGCATAGATTCCTGCTCTGAAAAATATTTGACAGCTGGTTAAAAGATGCATGTCTAGCAGCCTGGTGAGGCCCCCTGCTCACTGTGCTCAGCCCAATTATTGACCTATCAGAATTAGTTAGAGTAGAGAGCCAATGCGCAGTTTAAACCATGTTGGTTCTCCAATTGGTTCCTTTTAAATGTCTTCTCATCATGTGTATGGCACGGCTACATTGGAGGTAGATCAAGTATTTGACACCACTAAACTCATGCTGAACAACAACTGAACTATTATAAAAAGATATTAGTTGCCAGAAGAGTTACCAAGGTAAACAATGAGATACAAGTTTTAAAATATCCATACATCAGTTATAGTATTTACATTTGTTGGGATAATGGGATTATGATCTAAAATATTAGAAAATTTCCATCATCAGCGTCCACAGAAAGCCAAAAAATGTGTTAGTTTTTAGAACAAGTGTACAAGCAACTGACCAGCAAAGTACTGGATCTTTGAATGCCAGGCTTTCATGGTTTCTGTGTTAGAGAACTCTAACAAGTACTCAGCTCCATCCTGCAGCCTCAGGCGCAGCACGTTCTGTTTCTTGGTGTAGTCAGAGGCCACTTCATTGATGGACCGATGGATGTTGACAGGGGGGGCTGCGGCCACACCATCGCCATATGCTGGACAGGTAAGGCAAGTGGTCAGATATTTTAGTGGACAAACAGGTAAGGCAAGTGGTCAGATATTTTAGTGGACAAACAGGTAAGGCAAGTGGTCAGTTATTTTAGTGGACAAACAGGTAAGGCAAGTGGTCAGATATTTTAGTGGACAAACAGGTAAGGCAAGTGGTCAGATATTTTAGTGGACAAACAGGTAAGGCAAGTGGTCAGATATTTTAGTGGACAAACAGGTAAGACAAGTGGTCAGTTATTTTAGTGGACAAACAGGTAAGGCAAGTGGTCAGATATTTTAGTGGACAAACAGGTAAGGCAAGTGGTCAGTTATTTTAGTGGACAAACAGGTAAGGCAAGTGGTCAGATATTTTAGTGGACAAACAGGTAAGGCAAGTGGTCAGATATTTTAGTGGACAAACAGGTAAGGCAAGTGGTCAGATATTTTAGTGGACAAACAGGTAAGGCAAGTGGTCAGATATTTTAGTGGACAAACAGGTAAGGCAAGTGGTCAGTTATCTTAGTGGACAAACAGGTAAGGCAAGTGGTCAGATATTTTAGTGAACAAACAGGTAAGGCAAGTGGTCAGTTATTTTAGTGGACAAACAGGTAAGGCAAGTGGTCAGATATTTTAGTGGACAAACAGGTAAGACAAGTGGTCAGTTATTTTAGTGGACAAACAGGTAAGACAAGTGGTCAGTTATTTTAGTGGACAAACAGGTAAGGCAAGTGGTCAGATATTTTAGTGGACAAACAGGTAAGACAAGTGGTCAGTTATTTTAGTGAACAAACAGGTAAGGCAAGTGGTCAGATATTTTAGTGGACAAACAGGTAAGGCAAGTGGTCAGATATTTTAGTGGACAAACAGGTAAGACAAGTGGTCAGTTATTTTAGTGAACAAACAGGTAAGGCAAGTGGTCAGATATTTTAGTGGACAAACAGGTAAGGCAAGTGGTCAGATATTTTAGTGGACAAACAGGTAAGGCAAGTGGTCAGTTATTTTAGTGGACAAACAGGTAAGGCAAGTGGTCAGATATTTTAGTGGACAAACAGGTAAGACAAGTGGTCAGTTATTTTAGTGGACAAACAGGTAAGGCAAGTGGTCAGATATTTTAGTGAACAAACAGGTAAGACAAGTGGTCAGTTATTTTAGTGAACAAACAGGTAAGGCAAGTGGTCAGTTATTTTAGTGAACAAACAGGTAAGGCAAGTGGTCAGTTATTTTAGTGAACAAACAGGTAAGACAAGTGGTCAGATATTTTAGTGGACAAACAGGTAAGGCAAGTGGTCAGTTATTTTAGTGAACAAACAGGTAAGGCAAGTGGTCAGTTATTTTAGTGAACAAACAGGTAAGACAAGTGGTCAGATATTTTAGTGGACAAACAGGTAAGGCAAGTGGTCAGTTATTTTAGTGGACAAACAGGTAAGGCAAGTGGTCAGATATTTTAGTGGACAAACAGGTAAGGCAAGTGGTCAGATATTTTAGTGAACAAACAGGTAAGGCAAGTGGTCAGATATTTTAGTGAACAAACAGGTAAGGCAAGTGGTCAGTTATTTTAGTGAACAAACAGGTAAGGCAAGTGGTCAGTTATTTTAGTGAACAAACAGGTAAGACAAGTGGTCAGATATTTTAGTGGACAAACAGGTAAGGCAAGTGGTCAGTTATTTTAGTGAACAAACAGGTAAGGCAAGTGGTCAGTTATTTTAGTGAACAAACAGGTAAGACAAGTGGTCAGATATTTTAGTGGACAAACAGGTAAGGCAAGTGGTCAGTTATTTTAGTGGACAAACAGGTAAGGCAAGTGGTCAGATATTTTAGTGGACAAACAGGTAAGGCAAGTGGTCAGATATTTTAGTGAACAAACAGGTAAGGCAAGTGGTCAGATATTTTAGTGAACAAACAGGTAAGGCAAGTGGTCAGTTATTTTAGTGAACAAACAGGTAAGGCAAGTGGTCAGTTATTTTAGTGAACAAACAGGTAAGACAAGTGATCAGATATATTGTGAGGGCTAAAATGAAAGGCAAATATTCAGTTATTTTATGCTAGCAACCTTTAATGGATCATCCAAGAATGTATTCACATGTGTTGTACTAAAATGTCTAAGATGAAGTGTACAAGCAACTGAGGGAAAATGTCTGAGAAAACACCTACCTTCCTTATCTTTAAAGAAACACAAGAGCTGCCCAAAGAGGACTGTGTAGAAGTTCTTCCAGGAGCGGATGGTGGCTTTCTTCCCCCCTGCCTGCAACTCATGCTTGCGCTCTACCACCCCCTCCAGCTCAGGGGCAGGCAAGTTCTCTGGCAGCTTGTACTTGTCCTTAAAGCTTCTTGTACGTCTTCTGATGTTGAAACTAGGAGTTCTCTTTGATTTCTTGCTCTCATCTTTAACCTACAACAGCAAACAATGCCAGATTTTACTTTCTAGATCAAGTGCCAGCAGAGAAAACATGTGCTTCTAGGAAGAGACACACAGGAGGTTGTGAGAGACACACAGGAGGTTGTGAGAGACACACAGGAGGTTGTGAGAGACACACAGGAGGTTGTGGTTCTAGGAAGAGACACACAGGAGGTTGTGAGACACGCAGGAGGTTGCGAGAGACACACAGGAGGTTGTGAGACATGCAGGAGGCTGTGAGAGACACACAGGAGGTTGTGAGAGACACATAGGAGGTTGTGAGAGACACACAGGAGGTTGTGAGAGACACACAGGAGGTTGTGAGAGACACGCAGGAGGTTGTGAGAGACACACAGGAGGTTGTGAGAGACACATAGGAGGTTGTGAGAGACACACAGGAGGTTGTGAGAGACACATAGGAGGTTGTGAGAGACACACAGGAGGTTGTGAGAGACACGCAGGAGGTTGTGAGAGACACACAGGAGGTTGTGAGAGACACACAGGAGGTTGTGGTTCTAGGAAGAGACATGCAGAAGGTTGTGAGAGAGACACAGGAGGTTGTGAGAGACACATAGGAGGTTGTGGTTCTAGGAAGAGACATGCAGAATGTACTCACAATCTCTGCACGCTTCATTCCTGTTGGACTCAGAGGAGGAGATAAGTTGCCTTTCATCTGGTAAGAAGGAGAGGTAGGACCAGGACTTGTATTGCGAGGCTTTGGCTTGGGGTGTGAAGTAGGTGGTGGGGCATTGGGCAGCTCAGGGGCAGGGGCATTTGGCAGTTCAGGGGCAGGGGCATTGGGCAGTTCAGGGGCAGATGTCTCATCTTCTTCAGTCAAAGAAATATTTTTTGGTGATGGCAGGGTTAGATCTCCATCAGCTGGAGCAGCCCTAGGTGATGTTGGTGGAGATGATGGTGGTGATGCTTTTGTCCACACAGGTTCAGCTTTGTCTTCAGGGGATGAGAGATGCTCATCAAGACTGGTCTGAAATCAATAAGGTAAACTTATACACCTGTGCAGGTGTCAAGATAGGAATCATACCTTTTACCTGGAAGAAAATGTCACATATTTCTTTCTCATTAAATTAAGAGTCAGGACAACAGGGCTGTTTGGTTGGGCTGTACAGTGTACAGTGTACAATAAACTCAAGTCTCAGGTTAGGACTCCAGGCTTGAGTCTTTATGTGTCTACCTCAGTCTGATGGGTACCTAACTCATGTTAGGGAAAGTAAAGGTCTACCTAGGTCTGATGGGTACCTAACTCATGTTAGGGAAAGTAAAAGTCTACCTAGGTCTGATGTAAAGGGAAAGTAAAGGCAGTTGGGCAAAGAACTGATCACGCTAAACCTGCATATATTGAGGTGATGGAAACTTCATTTGTACAGCATTAGGTCAGAAAGGGCCGGTTAATTTTTTTTTACATACAGCATTACAGATAAACACACAGTAGGAACAGGTTCAAGTTTCTGTATTTCAGGGATTCTCCTTGGTGCTCCTAAACTAAACCTTAGATTGCTGAAGTAACGAGTTGGTCAGCACAAAACTCAGTTTGGGCAAATCTTACCTGCTTGAAGTTGGCAGCTTTAGGCAGAGAAATGGTAGGTGAGGTTGGATGATCTGACCGTGTACGAAAACTGACTGCCCTTTGAACATCTTGTTTTGAGCCCTCCGGTCTGGCTGCTATTTTTATACTCTGTGATCTACCAATCAAATTTTTCACTGTTGACCTGTCCAGTTTGTCCTCATTCCTTAAAAAAAACAGATTGGAATATGACAATCAATTAATTAGTTCAGCTATAATTATAAATTTTCATTCAGAAATATTATGTTATATTATAAATTAAATGTATTTTATTTTGGAGAAACACCATGTAAATTTTAACAATGAGGGCTTATGGTATACATATATAAAAGTAAAATGAAGGTTTTCAGCCTGGTGAATGTAGACTAAATGGCCAGCCTGGTAAATGTAGACTGAATGGCCAGCCTGGTGAATGTAGACTGAATGGCCAGTCTGGTGAATGTAGACTGAATGGCCAGTCTGGTGAATGTAGACTGAATGGCCAGCCTGGTGAATGTAGACTGAATGGCCAGTGTGGTGAATGTAGACTGAATGGCCAGTCTGGTGAATGTAGACTGAATGGCCAGTGTGGTGAATGTAGACTGAATGGCCAGTCTGGTGAATGTAGACTGAATGGCTGAAGTCTACACATCAGTACCTTGTGTTTTCATCTTCTTCCATCTGACGACGCAGCAAAAATTCTTTAGCTTTCCTGTGTTCGTCTTCCCTTCGTCTCTCCTACAAATAAAACAGACATGTTAGCTCACCATCTGACTAACATGGTATCAATCTTAAATTGTTTCTTTTATTTACCAATATACACTATTGAGAAATAACAAACATTTTTATAAAAACACCATTAAATGCTAAATTATTTTAAAAATCCCTTGATTATATAATCTAAAATAAAATACTTACAGATTATCTTAAATTTGTTTAAATAATATACATTTTGTAATTGTCTATGTGTTGTATATTAGGCCTAGATTCTGAAAATATTGGTAGGTAACAGATCTACTACAAGGAAGTGTGAAAACATGTGGGTCCACACAGACTGTTTACTGGTTAGCTACTAATTACAGACAACAGTGGGTCTACATATTTTAATTCACTTTCATTAAAACTTCCTTAGTAAAATAAAATAAAAAATGTAAATAGTAAACAGAGTAATGAAATGGGTAGTTTAAAATAAAGAGAATATTCTTGTGAACTAATTATTGATAAAGACAATTTAAAAGAGCCTAGATGTGAGAATAGAAGAACTGATGTCAAGAAGATGACCACTAGATTTGGTGATCACTCACAACATGAAACCAGTGTAATGTTACAGGACAACAGCAATACACACAACCAACTGACTAGCCCCAGAACTACTTTCTGTTATTGCTTTTTGGAAATCTTTTATCACTCTTCATCTTGATTAGATTTATTATAAGCTTTTAGTAAAAATGTCAAGTTTAAGCATGATTATTTTTAAAAGTAATAATAAGCAATAAATATTTTGAGAAGAGAAAATGATATTTAAATAAACCAAGAGCAGAAGATAAAAAAAGAGAGTAGTCCAGCAGTAGAGTGCCTACATTGTATGGAAGAAGAGGATCAAAATTAGTGCTAGGAAACAAAATCTCTAACAGTTACTCTTTATACTAGAGCCAACCTGACCCACTCATGGTGCTCGTCAGAAGATTTTTTACAAGTTTATGTACAATGGGACAACACTGCTAAAAGTTGATTAGAACCCTCATCCACATGTGTCAGAGCAAAAATAAAACAAATCAAAGCAAATGAAACTTTTCATTGGTTAAATTCTAATTTGTCAATTTCCAGATCGAGTTGATCAATGGCTTACTGTCACCATTTAGTTTAGTGTTAAATTAGATCACCAATCAGTTTAATTGGGTTAAATTTGATAAGCAGCACTCTAGGAATAGACAGATCTGTTTTAATTTAAAATAAGCATTTAAAAAATGAAGTCACTTTTGTAACTGAATATTTAAATACTATTTTTTAAAGTTTAAATTAAAGGGATAGAAAGACATTTTTTTTAAACACTCCAGTTAGCTTAAAAATTGTTCAGGGTATTAAATACACAAACAGCTCTGTGCTATAGGGAAGGAAACAAAATATAAAACCTGGGTTTATAATAACACAAGGAATATAAAGGCTAATAGCAGCAGTGCTCAAAATAAATACAAAGTGAAGGCAAGAAGCCACATCTAAGTAACATACGTTTATCTGGGCCTGGAAGATGAGTAACATTTCAATTAGTATTTTATAGTAACATTTCAATTAGTATTTTATAATCATGTGCAGCTACAAGTCAATGGCTAATAGAGTCTACAGGGTGCAATCAATCTAGTGTATGTAACTGTGGCATAGTGTAGGCCTATAATTGTAGCAGTCATTCTAGTGTAGGCCTATACTTGTGGCAGCCAATCTAGTGTAGGCCTATACTTGTAGCAGTCATTCTAGTGTAGGCCTATACTTGTGGCAGCCAATCTAATGTAGGCCTATAATTGTGGCAGTCATTCTAGTGTATGTAGCTGTGGCATAATGTAGGCCTATAATTGTGGCAGTCATTCTAGTGTAGGCCTATAATTGTGGCAGTCATTCTAGTGTAGGCCTATACTTGTGGCAGCCAATCTAGTGTATGTAGCTGTGGCATAATGTAGGCCTATAGTTGTAGCACAGTCAGTCTAGCATTTATTATTGAGAATGTAGATAAATTACTGCACCATCAAACTAATGTCAGATTTATGGATTTCTTGTAAATTAGTTTCTCTTGTACAAAAGTTTGCTATGTCTTGTCACTACTAACCAAACAAAAAACAACTAGGAAGCAAAACTAAAATGTCAGGTTCCATCACACTATGTCAAATTTATGGATTTCTTAGTAAATTAGTTTCTCTTGTAATAAACTTTGTAATAGTCAAGTGACTACTAACCAAACAAAAAACGACTAGGAAGCAAAACTAAAATGTCAGGTTCCATCACACTATGTCAAATTTATGGATTTCTTAGTAAATTAGTTTCTCTTGTAATAAACTTTGTAATAGTCAAGTGACTACTAACCAAACAAAAAACAACTAGGAAGCAAAACTAAAATGTCAGGTTCCATCACACTATGTCAAATTTATGGATTTCTTAGTAAATTAGTTTCTCTTGTAAGAAAGTTTGTAATAGTCAAGTGACTACTAACCAAATACAAAACGACTAGGAAGCAAAACTAAAATGTCAGGTTCTATCACACTATGTCAAATTTATGGATTTCTTAGTAAATTAGTTTCTCTTGTAATAAACTTTGTAATAGTCAAGTGACTACTAACCAAACAAAAAACAACTAGGAAGCAAAACTAAAATGTCAGGTTCCATCACACTATGTCAAATTTATGGATTTCTTAGTAAATTAGTTTCTCTTGTAATAAACTTTGTAATAGTCAAGTGACTACTAACCAAATACAAAACGACTAGGAAGCAAAACTAAAATGTCAGGTTCCATCACACTATGTCAAATTTATGGATTTCTTAGTAAATTAGTTTCTCTTGTAATAAACTTTGTAATAGTCAAGTGACTACTAACCAAATACAAAACGACTAGGAAGCAAAACTAAAATGTCAGGTTCTCTAACTGGGGGACTAGGTGCAACACAAGCACAGGGGGAATAACTTGACTCAATTGTTGTTTACAAACAGGAAATCACAGACAGGAAAATTTAGTGGAATTGGGAAATAGAATCAAATAAAAAACTGGGAGGCATTTTCCTGTGATGAGGATAGTACATCAGAAATGGGATAAAATGGGCGGTCTGATAAAATGTCAGACAAGTACCTCCATTTAAGTCACCTGTCAGTAATACCAGGTACTGTGTTCTTATGGTCAACTTATGACAATGTAGCCTACTGGTCACTTGGTGCGGTAACATGTTTGTCATTATTAATGTAGTAATAAAAAAGCCATTATTTAAAGTATTATTTATTAATACTTTTTCCTGTAATAAGTGTACACTATCCTGTCTTGAAAGTCTTATTACAGCAGTAAAAAAATAAAAGTGTCTACAATGCTTGCCTGACTGGAAAGACTAAAGCTAAAATTGTGCAGCTAAAACTAAACTTGAATGCCTGAAGAGTTACCTCCAAAATTCTCTCCTGTTCTTTGCGTCTGAGGTCGTCTAACCTTTCCTTCTCTCTCCTTGCTTCATCTTCCACTTGCTGTTGTTGTTCTAGAAGTTTCTGCTGTCTAACAGCTTTATCCACCTGAAACAAACATTAGATCAGGTCAAAGTTCATTCATACATGGAGCTCAGAGATTTCTTAGCCAGGTTATATATTTTATAATTTGCTACTATAAGACTTTTTCACACTGCTGCAATGTCCACAGTCTATATAAAATTATTTTCTGTAACTAACTGACACAGGTGTGTTTAAGCCTACCTTGTCTGTCTGACACAGGTGTGTTTAAGCCTACCTTGTACCTGTCTGCCACAGGTGTGTTTAAGCCTGCCTTGTCTGTCTGACACAGGTGTGTTTAAGCCTACCTTGTACCTGTCTGACACAGGTGGGTTTATGCCTACCTTGTACCTGTCTGACACAGGTGTGTTTATGCCTACCTTGTCTATGACACAGGTGTGTTTATGCCTACCTTGTCTATGACACAGGTGTGTTTATGCCTACCTTGTCTGTCTGACACAGGTGTGTTTATGCCTACCTTGTACCTGTCTGACACAGGTGTGTTTATGACTACCTTGTACCTGTCTGACACAGGTGTGTTTATGCCTACCTTGTACCTGTCTGCCACAGGTGTGTTTATGCCTACCTTGTACCTGTCTGCCACAGGTGTGTTTAAGCCTACCTTGTACCTGTCTGACACAGGTGTGTTTATGCCTACCTTGTCTCTGTCTGACACAGGTGTGTTTATGCCTACCTTGTACCTGTCTGACACAGGTGTGTTTATGTCTACCTTGTACCTGTCTGACACAGGTGTGTTTATGCCTACCTTGTACCTGTCTGACACAGGTGTGTTTATGTCTACCTTGTACCTGTCTGACACAGGTGTGTTTATGCCTACCTTGTACCTGTCTGACACAGGTGTGTTTATGCCTACCTTGTCTGTCTGACACAGGTGTGTTTAAGCCTACCTTGTCTGTCTGCCACAGGTGTGTTTATGCCTACCTTGTCTCTGTCTGACACAGGTGTGTTTATGCCTACCTTGTCTGTCTGACACAGGTGTGTTTAAGCCTACCTTGTACCTGTCTGCCACAGGTGTGTTTAAGCCTACCTTGTACCTGTCTGCCACAGGTGTGTTTAAGCCTACCTTGTCTCTGACAGGTGAGTTTATGCCTACCTTGTACCTGTCTGACACAGGTGTGTTTATGCCTACCTTGTCTCTGCAAAGGTTGTTGACCCGTTCCTCCTGAGCATCGACTGTCTTCTCGAAGTCCGCATGACGCCTGAGCAGCTCTTCCACTTCCTGGATGGACTCGCCTTTCTTGGCTCCTTTAATCAGAGGCTCCCTGAGGTTCATCCAGGCCTCGATCTGCTCAATCTCATGGCGCAGTCTCTGTTCAAAGACACCTTTACTGTTACACAGTCGCCCTTTTACACTAAGTAAACTAATGTACCTGGCCCTGTGATCAGGTTGAAAAGGTAACTTACCTGAGCTTCCAGATTCTTCTCATGTAAATTCCTCCTGTGTTCTAGAGTTCTAATGAGACCCTCATAAGATTTGTCCAGCTGGTGGATTTTTTCTTCTATCTGAAAGTGGACAGCTGTGTCTAGACAACTATTTAAATCTTATGTACAGATGTGTGTAGACAACTATTTAAATCTTATGTACAGATGTGTCTAGACAACTATTTAAATCTTATGTACAGCTGTGTCTAGACAACTATTTAAATCTTATGTACAGATGTGTCTAGACAACTATTTAAATCTTATGTACAGCTGTGTCTAGACAACTATTTAAATCTTATGTACAGATGTGTCTAGACAACTATTTAAATCTTATGTACAGATGTGTCTAGACAACTATTTAAATCTTATGTACAGATGTGTCTAGACAACTATTTAAATCTTATGTACAGATGTGTCTAGACAACTATTTAAATCTTATATACAGATGTGTCTAGACAACTATTTAAATCTTTTGTACAGCTGTGTCTAGACAACTATTTAAATCTTATGTACAGATGTGTCTAGACAACTATTTAAATCTTATGTACAGATGTGTCTAGACAACTATTTAAATCTTATGTACAGATGTGTCTAGACAACTATTTAAATCTTATGTACAGATGTGTCTAGACAACTATTTAAATCTTATGTACAGATGTGTCTAGACAACTATTTAAATCTTATGTACAGATGTGTCTAGACAACTATTTAAATCTTATGTACAGCTGTGTCTAGACAACTATTTAAATCTTATGTACAGATGTGTCTAGACAACTATTTAAATCTTATGTACAGATGTGTCTAGACAACTATTTAAATCTTATGTACAGATGGCTCTAGACAACTATTTAAATCTTATGTACAGATGTGTCTAGACAACATTTAAAAATATTATTTTATTTATAGTCTGTGTGATCAGCCAAGCTTACACAGAAATGTACTGCTTTTAAGTTGTGATATTGTTGTGTTTTATATTTCAATGTCTAGAGGCAACCAACAATTCTCAATCTTACAAATGCTACAGATGCACTAAGAATTTGTTGTGACTCCTTTAGCTAATCAAAAAACTATTCGCACACAGCTATGTTTTGAAAGTCTGCCTTTAGCTAATCAAAAAACTATTCGCACACAGCTATGTTTTGAAAGTCTGCCTTTAGCTAATCAAAAAACTATTCGCACACAGCTATGTTTTGAAAGTCTGCCTTTAGCTAATAAAAAAACTATTCGCACACAGCTATGTTTTGAAAGTCTGCCTTTAGCTAATCAAAAAACTATTCGCACACAGCTATGTTCTGAAAGTCTGCCTTTAGCTAATCAAAAAACTATTCGCACACAGCTATGTTTTGAAAGTCTGCCTTTAGCTCATCAAAAAACTATTCGCACACAGCTATGTTTTGAAAGTCTGCCTTTAGCTAATCAAAAAACTATTCGCACACAGCTATGTTCTGAAAGTCTGCCTTTAGCTCATCAAAAAACTATTCGCACACAGCTATGTTTTGAAAGTCTGCCTTTAGCTAATCAAAAAACTATTCGCACACAGCTATGTTTTGAAAGTCTGCCTTTAGCTAATCAAAAAACTATTCGCACACAGCTATGTTCTGAAAGTCTGCCTTTAGCTCATCAAAAAACTATTCGCACACAGCTATGTTTTGAAAGTCTGCATTTAGCTAATCAAAAAACTATTCGCACACAGCTATGTTTTGAAAGTCTGCCTTTAGCTAATCAAAAAACTATTCACACACAGCTATGTTCTGAAAGGCTGCCTTTAGCTCATCAAAAACTATTTGCACACAGCTATGTTCTGAAAGGCTGCCTTTAGCTCATCAAAAAACTATTTGCACACAGCTATGTTCTGAAAGGCTGCCTTTAGCTCATCAAAAAACTATTTGCACACAGCTATGTTCTGAAAGGCTGCCTTTAGCTCATCAAAAAACTATTTGCACACAGCTATGTTCTGAAAGGCTGCTTGACCTACCTCATCAGATAAAAAGTGACCTTCATCAATAAAGGCTTGACCAGTCTGTTGAAATTTGCTGAAAGCCTCTTTCCTGCTGTCCACTTCAGCTCTGTGTTCCTTGTAGCGTGTGATCATGGCCTCAGCTCCTGGGAGGTCGTGGGCCAACTCGTCAGCTGTAATGATGGCCATCATCTCACTGACCCAGGCTCTGGAGGGAAGCAGACATTATAGTGGACACAACCTTTTACTGACCCAGGCTCTGGAGGGAAGCAGACATTATAGTGGACACAACCTTTTACTGACCCAGGCTCTGGAGGGAAGCAGACATTATAGTGGACACAACCTTTTACTGACCCAGGCTCTGGAGGGAAGCAGACATTATAGTGGACACAACCTTTTACTGACCCAGGCTCTGGAGGGAAGCAGACATTATAGTGGACACAACCTTTTACTGACCCAGGCTCTGGAGGGAAGCAGACATTATAGTGGACACAACCTTTTACTGACCCAGGCTCTGGAGGGAAGCAGACATTATAGTGGACACAACCTTTTACTGACCCAGGCTCTGGAGGGAAGCAGACATTATAGTGGACACAACCTTTTACTGACCCAGGCTCTGGAGGGAAGCAGACATTATAGTGGACACAACCTTTTAAGGCAAGTCTTGACATTCAACATGTTTCTTGGTTTAATTGACATCCACATTTTTTATTTACCACTCTTAATGGTACTCTACTAATTAATTTATATGCTTACACCATTACAAAAAGATCACCCCATCCAGATGTGTCATACATACTGCATGTAATCATTAAAGCAGAACCCCCCATACACTTACGTCAGCTCCCTGTAATCATTAAAGTAGAGCCCCCCATACGCTTACATCAGCTCCCTGTAATCATTAAAGTAGAACCCCACTCCCCCCCCCCCCCATACACTTACGTCAGCTCCCTGTAATCATTAAAGTAGAACCCCACTCCCCCCCCCCCATACACTTACGTCAGCTCCCTGTAATCATTAAAGTAGAGCCCCCCATACACTTACGTCAGCTCCCTGTAATCATTAAAGTAGAGCCCCCCCATACACTTACGTCAGCTCCCTGTAATCATTAAAGTAGAACCCCACTCCCTCATACACTTACGTCAGCTCCCTGTAATCATTAAAGTAGAGCCCCACTCCCCCCCCATACACTTACGTCAGCTCCCTGTAATCATTAAAGCAGAACCCCCCATACACTTACGTCAGCTCCCTGTAATCATTAAAGTAGAGCCCCCCATACACTTACGTCAGCTCCCTGTAATCATTAAAGCAGAACCCCCCATACACTTACGTCAGCTCCCTGTAATCATTGAAGTAGAGCCCCCCATACACTTACGTCAGCTCCCTGTAATCATTGAAGTAGAGCCCCCCATACACTTACGTCAGCTCCCTGTAATCATTAAAGTAGAACCCCCCATACACTTACGTCAGCTCCCTGTAATCATTGAAGTAGAGCCCCCCATACACTTACGTCAGCTCCCTGTAATCATTAAAGCAGAACCCCCCATACACTTACGTCAGCTCCCTGTAATCATTAAAGTAGAACCCCCCATACACTTACGTCAGCTCCCTGTAATCATTGAAGTAGAGCCCCCCATACACTTACGTCAGCTCCCTGTAATCATTAAAGCAGAACCCCCCATACACTTACGTCAGCTCCCTGTAATCATTAAAGTAGAACCCCCCATACACTTACGTCAGCTCCCTGTAGTCATTGAAGTAGAGCTGAAGCTGTTCAGCCTGAGACAGTTTCTCCTTCCTGACAGCAGCCTTCTCCACCAGCTTGTTCCACGCCCCCACCATCTCCTCATGTTTGGCTGCTATGTGCTCCTGGGCGTCTGGGTAGGTGCTGATCAGACGCTCGGCCTCTTTGGTGATACTCTCCACCTGGTCACTTATGGCAGCCATGTCTCTCTGTAGAGTGGACAGTACAAGTTGTGTACATGTTTGACCAGTGGACAGTACAAGTTGTGTACATGTTTGACCAGTGGACATACAAGTTGTGTACATGTTTGACCAGTAGACAGTACAGTTGTGTACATGTTTGACCAGTGGACAGTATAAGTTGTGTACATGTTTGACCAGTGGACATACAAGTTGTGTACATGTTTGACCAGAGGACATACAAATTGTGTACATGTTTGACCAGTGGACAGTACAAGTTGTGTACATGTTTGACCAGTGGACAGTACAAGTTGTGTACATGTTTGACCAGTGGACATACAAGTTGTGTACATGTTTGACCAGTAGACAGTACAGTTGTGTACATGTTTGACCAGTGGACAGTACAAGTTGTGTACATGTTTGACCAGTGGACATACAAGTTGTGTACATGTTTGACCAGAGGACATACAAATTGTGTACATGTTTGACCAGTGGACAGTACAAGTTGTGTACATGTTTGACCAGTGGACATACAAGTTGTGTACATGTTTGACCAGTGGACAGTACAAGTTGTGTACATGTTTGACCAGTGGACATACAAGTTGTGTACATGTTTGACCAGAGGACATACAAGTTGTGTACATGTTTGACCAGTGGACAGTACAAGTTGTGTACATGTTTGACCAGTGGACATACAAGTTGTGTACATGTTTGACCAGAGGACATACAAATTGTGTACATGTTTGACCAGTGGACAGTACAAGTTGTGTACATGTTTGACCAGTGGACATACAAGTTGTGTACATGTTTGACCAGTGGACAGTACAAGTTGTGTACATGTTTGACCAGAGGACATACAAGTTGTATACATGTTTGACCAGTGGACAGTACAAGTTGTGTACATGTTTGACCAGTGGACATACAAGTTGTGTACATGTTTGACCAGTGGACAGTACAAATTGTGTACATGTTTGACCAGTGGACAGTACAAGTTGTGTACATGTTTGACCAGTGGACAGTACAAGTTGTGTACATGTTTGACCAGTGGACAGTACAAGTTGTGTACACATGTTTGACCAGTAGACAGTACAAGTTGTGTACATGTTTGACCAGTGGACAGTACAAGTTGTGTACACATGTTTGACCAGTAGACAGTACAAGTTATGTACATGTTTGACCAGTGGACAGTACAAATTGTGTACAAGTTTGACCAGTGGACAGTACAAGTTGTGTACATGTTTGACCAGAGGACATACAAGTTGTATACATGTTTGACCAGTGGACAGTACAAGTTGTGTACACATGTTTGACCAGTGGACAGTACAAGTTGTGTACACATGTTTGACCAGTGTACAGTACAAGTTGTATACACATTTGTAACCTGAACAACATCATTAAACAACTTATAAAAACTACCTCAAGGACTTCATGTCTGCTGATCAGTGCCTGGCTGCTCTCAAGGTCATGGCCAAAGTCCTCACTGCTGACAATCAAGTCTTTCTCTTGGATCCACTCTAATGTGTCATCAGCATCCCGGCCGTACATGTGAACTTCTTTAGCACCACCAAGTGCCTGAAACAACAAGGTGAGTGAAGGACGCTTTAGGTAGGAAAACACAGGGAACAGTTGAATGCTCATCACATGGTCAGTAATTAACTTACATCTTGACGAGCTTGAGGGATTATCACACAGTCAGTAATTAACTTACATCTTGATGAGCTTGAGGGATTATCACAGTCAGTAATTAACTTACATCTTGACGAGCTTGAGGGATTATCACACAGTGAGTAATTAACTTACATCTTGACGAGCTTGAGGGATTATAACACAGTCAGTAATTAACTTACATCTTGACGAGCTTGAGGGATTATCACACAGTCAGTAATTAACTTACATCTTGACGAGCTTGAGCAATTTCCTTTAACTCTGCCCACTGGCCTGTAATGTCCTTCATTTTACTCTGGATTCCATTAGCCTTGAAGTGACCTGCATCAACCATAGCTTGACCAGTGGTCACCAGCTGGGTCACCCTGTCCTCGTTACTGCTCAGGTCATGCAAGAAGTCATCAAACCTCTGTTGGAGGACCTAAAAATGATTTTTTTAAAATGTTATTTTGTAAACATTGGACACAAGTAATTAATAAACACAGTAGCCTGGTTAGAACTTTGTAAAAAATCTACAGTTTAAAGAAATGTTTTAATTACCTCGATATGTTCTAAATCCTGACCATAATCTTCTGATGATGCAATCACTATCCGGTCAGCAATCCAAGTCTCTACTGCGTCTGCTTGATGGTAAAACTCAAAGAGTCGTTTACTGTCCAGCAGCTGCTTCCTCCTCTGTGTGGTCAAGTCCTGAAGTTTGGAGTACTGGCTCTCTATCTTAGCCTGTACATCAGCAATGTTTACATTTTCAGACTTTAGTTTTAATCAACCCCAACAACTAATTAAACATTGTAAGAAAAAAATGTTCAACACAGTGTCATGTGCATCATGTGTGTTGTGTAGGATAACCTGCATGTCAGGTGTACTATGTAGCTGGGCCCAGTGTGTGTGCACTCACCTGTGTTTGTTTAATGTTGTCTGAATCGTAGTGCTGCCTGTCTGTCAGTGTTCTACTAAGGGTGTGTGTGCACTCACCTGTGTTTGTTTAATGTTGTCTGAATCGTAGTGCTGCCTGTCTGTCAGTGTTCTACTAAGGGTGTGTGTGCACTCACCTGTGTTTGTTTAATGTTGTCTGAATCGTAGTGCTGCCTGTCTGTCAGTGTTCTACTAAGGGCGTGTGTGTACTCACCTGTGTTTGTTTAATGTTGTCTGAATCGTAGTGCTGCCTGTCTGTCAGTGTTCTACTCAGGGTGTGTGTGCACTCACCTGTGTTTGTTTAATGTTGTCTGAATCGTAGTGCTGCCTGTCTGTCAGTGTTCTACTCAGGGTGTGTGTGCACTCACCTGTGTTTGTTTAATGTTGTCTGAATCGTAGTGCTGCCTGTCTGTCAGTGTTCTACTCAGGGCGTGTGTGTACTCACCTGTGTTTGTTTAATGTTGTCTGAATCGTAGTGCTGCCTGTCTGTCAGTGTTCTACTAAGGGCGTGTGTGTACTCACCTGTGTTTGTTTAATGTTGTCTGAATCGTAGTGCTGCCTGTCTGTCAGTGTTCTACTCAGGGCGTGTGTGTACTCACCTGTGTTTGTTTAATGTTGTCTGAATCGTAGTGCTGCCTGTCTGTCAGTGTTCTACTCAGGGTGTGTGTGCACTCACCTGTGTTTGTTTGATGTTGTCTGAATCGTAGTGCTGCCTGTCTGTCAGTGTTCTACTCAGGGTGTGTGTGCACTCACCTGTGTTTGGTTGATGTTGTCTGAATCGTAGTGCTGCCTGTCTGTCAGTGTTCTACTCAGGTCGTGTGTGTACTCACCTGTGTTTGTTTAATGTTGTCTGAATCGTAGTGCTGCCTGTCTGTCAGTGTTCTACTAAGGGCGTGTGTGTACTCACCTGTGTTTGTTTGATGTTGTCTGAATCGTAGTGCTGCCTGTCTGTCAGTGTTCTACTAAGGGCGTGTGTGTACTCACCTGTGTTTGTTTAATGTTGTCTGAATCGTAGTGCTGCCTGTCACACTCACCTGTGTTTGTTTAATGTTGTCTGAATCGTAGTGCTGCCTGTCTGTCAGTGTTCTACTCAGGGCGTGTGTGTACTCACCTGTGTTTGTTTAATGTTGTCTGAATCGTAGTGCTGCCTGTCTGTCAGTGTTCTACTAAGGGCGTGTGTGTACTCACCTGTGTTTGTTTAATGTTGTCTGAATCGTAGTGCTGCCTGTCTGTCAGTGTTCTACTCAGGGCGTGTGTGTACTCACCTGTGTTTGTTTGATGTTGTCTGAATCGTAGTGCTGCCTGTCTGTCAGTGTTCTACTAAGGGCGTGTGTGTACTCACCTGTGTTTGTTTAATGTTGTCTGAATCGTAGTGCTGCCTGTCACACTCACCTGTGTTTGTTTAATGTTGTCTGAATCGTAGTGCTGCCTGTCTGTCAGTGTTCTACTCAGGGCGTGTGTGTACTCACCTGTGTTTGTTTAATGTTGTCTGAATCGTAGTGCTGCCTGTCTGTCAGTGTTCTACTAAGGGCGTGTGTGTACTCACCTGTGTTTGTTTAATGTTGTCTGAATCGTAGTGCTGCCTGTCTGTCAGTGTTCTACTCAGGGTGTGTGTGCACTCACCTGTGTTTGTTTAATGTTGTCTGAATCGTAGTGCTGCCTGTCTGTCAGTGTTCTACTAAGGGCTGACAACTCTCCTATGCTGTTAGCAAAGTTGTCAATATCTCTCTCAAGGGCGTCAAGTTTTTTGGTCAGTGCCTGGCAAATGAAAACATTTGATCATCAGAAATCTTCCATAACGTAATGGTTGCAGAGTTATGTAAAACATTTGATCATCAGAAATCTTCTATAATGTAATGGTTGCAGAGTTGTAAAACTGATGAAATAAAAACATTTGATCATCAGAAATCTTCCATAACGTAATGGTTGCAGAGTTATGTAAAACTGATGAAATAAAAACATTTGGTCATCAGAAATCTTCTATAACGTAATGGTTGCAGAGATCTGTAAAACTGATGATTTAAAATAGTTTGGTACCAGCACTGAGTCCTCATCCTTGCCCAAGTCTGGACTGGTCAGCTGTGGAAGTTTCTCATTCATCCACTGCTCCAGTTCATTGACCTCTGTATAAAACTGGAAACAAAAAATGTAAACCATTAAAATGTGTCAATGTTTAAACGTGAAGCTTTAAACAGTTTAAACAGAGCCCTAGAGCTGACACAGAGCCCTAGAGCTGACACAGAGCCCTAGAGCTGACCTAACCAACAGAGCCCTAGAGTCACAGATCACTTACAGCATGATACTATAGTCACCAGATCAAGTATACAATGACCAGACAGATCAAGTATAAAATGACCAGACAGATCAAGTATAAAATAACCAGACAGATCAAGTATAAAATGGCCAGACAGATCAAGTATAAAATGACCAGACAGATCAAGTATAAAATGACCACACAGATCAAGTATAAAATGACCAGACAGATCAAGTATAAAATGACCAGACAGATCAAGTATAAAATGACCACACAGATCAAGTATAAAATGACCAGACAGATCAAGTATAAAATGACCAGACAGATCAAGTATAAAATGACCACACAGATCAAGTATAAAATGACCAGACAGATCAAGTATAAAATGACCAGACAGATCAAGTATAAAATGACCAGACAGATCAAGTATAAAATGACCAACCTTCTGGGCCTCCAGGGCATCCCTCAAACGATTTTTCCTGTCTGAAGTTTTTTTCTTCAGCTCTGAGAGATTCTTGTGTAGGTTGTCCAGTTTGGACTGGATGTCATTGGCTGCAAAATGTTTGCTGCGGATCATCTGCTGGGCAGATGTAGCGACCGTCTCAATCAGGGGCTCATGGGCCACGATTTCTGACTCCAAGGCCTGCAATGGTAAAATATCTTCATCAAGGGGACAAGGTGGAGGTTTTATGGAGCAAACATGGTGGTATAATAGGTGGTAATCATGGAGTTAATATTGTGATTGTAAAAAACATTTCTTAAATACACAGAAAAATATGTAAAGAAATTAAGCAACATATAATTTTCAGTTCTATGTTATTTTAAAGAAACATATAAAAATAAAACATGTAAAGATTGAGACAAATCATGTGATTGCTGTGGTTGTAACAATCATGTGAACATTCTCTACAACAGCTGTGATTGGTGAACACCCAGTGACCCAGTGACCTAGTTAACATTTATCAAACCTCGTCATCGTCTACCTCCCAATCATCGTCATCTGACCTCTCTTCTCCATCACTCAATAAGTTGTTGACACGAGGAGGATCTGTGTCAGACTACACACCACACCATGGTTAGGACAATTGTTTATCAACATAGACACAAGGGAGAGAATCAAAACAATTCTACACAGCTAATGATTAAACTCAGCAGCAAGGGCAGATCATCAAATTGTACCTGATGTTTTTTCATCAAATTCTGCACTGAACTGAGCGAGTGGCCCAGGTCCTGGGACTCTGCCATGGGACGTCTGTCTTGTATCCAGGCCAGCTCGTCCTCCACGTCCCTGAAGAACTGGTACATCCTCCTGGCTTCTTCCAGGTTTTCTCTCCGGATGTGGCAGGGCTCTTGTAGGGAGTTGTACCTAACAACATCATCACAACATCAGTCAGACAACATACAACAGTATCATACATCATTCAACATACAACAGTATCATACAACATACAACAGTATCATACATCATTCAACATACAACAGTATCATACAACATTCAACATACAACAGTATCATACATCATTCAACATACAACATACAACAGTATCATACATCATTCAACATACAACAGTATCATACAACATTCAACATACAACAATATCATACAACATACAACAGTATCATACATCATTCAACATACAACAGTATCATACAACATTCAACATACAACAGTATCATACAACATACAACAGTATCATACATCATTCAACATACAACAGTATCATACAACATTCAACATACAACAGTATCATACATCATTCAACATACAACATACAACAGTATCATACATCATTCAACATACAACAGTATCATACAACATTCAACATACAACAGTATCATACATCATTCAACATACAACATACAACAGTATCATACATCATTCAACATACAACAGTATCATACAACATTCAACATACAACAATATCTTACATAATTCAACATACAACAGTATCATACAACATTCAACATACAACAGTATCATACATCATTCAACATACAACAGTATCATACATCATACAACATACAACAGTATCATACATCATTCAACATACAACAGTATCATACAACATACAACAGTATCATACATCATTCAACATACAACAGTATCATACAACATTCAACATACAACAGTATCATACATCATTCAACATACAACATACAACAGTATCATACATCATTCAACATACAACAGTATCATACAACATTCAACATACAACAATATCTTACATAATTCAACATACAACAGTATCATACAACATTCAACATACAACAGTATCATACATCATTCAACATACAACAGTATCATACATCATACAACATACAACAGTATCATACATCATTCAACATACAACAGTATCATACAGTATCATACATCATTCAACATACAACAGTATCATACAACATTCAACATACAACAATATCATACATAATTCAACATACAACAGTATCATACATCATTCAACATACAACAGTATCATACAGTATCATACATCATTCAACATACAACAGTATCATACAACATACAACAGTATCATACATCATTCAACATACAACAGTATCATACAACATTCAACATACAACAGTATCATACATCATTCAACATACAACATACAACAGTATCATACATCATTCAACATACAACAGTATCATACAACATTCAACATACAACAATATCTTACATAATTCAACATACAACAGTATCATACAACATTCAACATACAACAGTATCATACATCATTCAACATACAACAGTATCATACATCATACAACAGTATCATACATCATTCAACATACAACAGTATCATACAGTATCATACATCATTCAACATACAACAGTATCATACAACATTCAACATACAACAATATCATACATAATTCAACATACAACAGTATCATACATCATTCAACATACAACAGTATCATACAGTATCATACATCATTCAACATACAACAGTATCATACAACATACAACAGTATCATACATCATTCAACATACAACAGTATCATACAACATTCAACATACAACAGTATCATACATCATTCAACATACAACATACAACAGTATCATACATCATTCAACATACAACAGTATCATACAACATTCAACAATATCTTACATAATTCAACATACAACAGTATCATACAACATTCAACATACAACAGTATCATACATCATTCAACATACAACAGTATCATACATCATACAACATACAACAGTATCATACATCATTCAACATACAACAGTATCATACAGTATCATACATCATTCAACATACAACAGTATCATAATCATACAACATACAACAGTATCATACATCATTCAACATACAACAGTATCATACAGTATCATACATCATTCAACATACAACAGTATCATACAACATTCAACATACAACAATATCATACATAATTCAACATACAACAGTATCATACAACATTCAACATACAACAATATCATACATCATTCAACATACAACAGTATCATACATCATACAACATACAACAGTATCATACATCATTCAACATACAACAGTATCATACAACATTCAACATACAACAGTATCATACATTATTCAGGCAACATACAACCGTATAATACATCATTCAACATACAACAATACCATACATAAGTCAGAAAAAGTCACTCAATTCAGTCAACGTACAACACGTTGATATGAACAACCTCTCAGAGCCCTAGAGCTGACCTAACCAACAGAGCCCTAGAGGTGACACAGAGCCCTAGAGCTGACACAGAGCCCTAGAGCTGACACAGAGCCCTAGAGCTGACACAGAGCCCTAGAGCTGACACAGAGCCCTAGAGCTGACACAGAGCCCTAGAGCTGACACAGAGCCCTAGAGCTGACACAGAGCCCTAGAGCTGACACAGAGCCCTAGAGCTGACACAGAGCCCTGACACAACTCACTTGTCTGAGATCTCCCTTGCCCTTGCCTGTAGCTCCTTGTTCATGAAATGTTTACTTTCTTTAAAAACTTGAGCAGCGTCCATCACATCGGTCACCTTCTCTTTGTGGGACGCGATGTCCTGTTCTAGTTGCTGAGGTGGTCAATCAGATAAACACATGTTACTTGTGATATTTAGTTTTATATTTTAATACAACAGATACTGACCTGATGTTTATTGGGCTAAATGTTGACTGACCTGATGTTTGTTGAGTAAACTGTTGACTGACCTGATGTTTATTGGGCTAAATGTTGACTGACCTGATGTTTGTTGAGTAAACTGTTGACTGACCTGATGTTTGTTGGGCTAAATGTTGACTGACCTGATGTTTAGTGGGCTAAATGCTGACAGACCTGATGTTTGTTGAGTAAACTGTTGACTGACCTGATGTTTGTTGGGCTAAATGTTGACTGTCTGGTGTTTGTTGGGCTAAATGTTGACTGACCTGATGTTTGTTGGGCTAAATGTTGACTGACCTGATGTTTAGTGGGCTAAATGTTGACTGACCTGATGTTTGTTGGGCTAAATGTTGACTGACCTGATGTTTGTTGGGCTAAATGTTGACTGACCTGATGTTTGTTGGGCTAAATGTTGACTGACTTGATGTTTAGTGGGCTAAATGTTGACTGACCTGATGTTTGTTGAGTAAACTGTTGACTGACCTGATGTTTGTTGGGCTAAATGTTGACTGACCTGATGTTTGTTGAGTAAACTGTTGACTGACCTGATGTTTGTTGGGCTAAATGTTGACTGACCTGATGTTTGTTGAGTAAACTGTTGACTGACCTGATGTTTGTTGAGTACACTGTTGACTGACCTGATGTTTGTTGAGTAAACTGTTGACTGACCTGATGTTTGTTGGGCTAAATGTTGACTGACCTGATGTTTGTTGAGTAAACTGTTGACAGAGCTGAGATCTTTCCCATGATCCTCTGACATCAGGTGGTTTTCTACTTCCTCCATCCACACTGCTAGGTCTGATACCACTCTGTGAGCACAAAGTTAGTGGTCAAGTATCTGATAGGGTCATCTAGCTGGTCAAGTATCTGATAGGGTCATCTAGCTGGTCAAGTATCTGATAGGGTTATCTAGCTGGTCAAGTATCTGATAGGGTCATCTAGCTGGTCAAGTATCTGATAGGGTCATCTAGCTGGTCAAGTATCTGATAGGGTCATCTAGCTGGTCAAGTATCTGATAGGGTCATCTAGCTGGTCAAGTATCTGATAAGGTCATCTAACTGGTCAAACATCTACCCTGAGGTTCCTTTACCTGTTGAAGAGCAGGGCCTGGTAGGCGTCCTGCAGCCTGTCCTTTTTATCAGCACTTGCAGCAATCAGGGACTGCCAGGACAACTCGAGCTCTTCCAACTTTTTCTGAATGTCCAAACTGGCATAATGTTTCTCTTCTTTCAACCCCCGGCCTTCCTGTATTAGATAACAGCACTGTCAGGTCTAATTTGTTGGACAATTTTTAAGAAACAAACCCTCTACCCCAACCTATCAATGACATCTCGATATGATACCCACCTCTACAATAACAAAACATGACACCCACCTCTACAATAACAAAACATGACACCCACCTCTACAATAACAAAACATGACACACACCTCTACAATAACAAAACATGACACCCACCTCTACACTAACAAAACATGACACCCACCTCTACAATAACAAAACATGACACACACCTCTACAATAACATAACATGACACCCACCTCTACAATAACAAAACATGACACCCACCTCTAGTATAACAAAACATGACACCCACCTCTACAATAACAAAACATGACACCCACCTCTACAATAACAAAACATGACACCCACCTCTACAATAACATAACATGACACCCACCTCTACAATAACAAAACATGATACCCACCTCTACAATAACAAAACATGACACCCACCTCTACAATAACAAAACATTACACCCACCTCTACAATAACAAAACATGACACCCACCTCTACAATAACAAAACATGACACCCACCTCTACAATAACATAACATGACACCCACCTCTACAATAACAAAACATGACACCTACCTCTACAATAACAAAACATGACACCCACCTCTACAATAACAAAACATGACACCCACCTCTACAATAACAAAACATGACACCCACCTCTACAATAACAAAACATGACACCCACCTCTAGTATAACAAAACATGACACCCACCTCTACAATAACATAACATGACACCCACCTCTACAATAACAAAACATGACACCCACCTCTACAATAACAAAACATGACACCCACCTCTAGTATAACAAAACATGACATCCACCTCTACCATAACAAAACATGACACCCACCTCTACCATAACAAAACATGACACCCACCTCTACAATAACATAACATGACACCCACCTCTAGTATAACAAAACATGACACACACCTCTAGTATAACAAAACATGACACCCACCTCTACAATAACAAAACATGACACCCACCTCTACAATAACAAAACATGACACACACCTCTACAATAACAAAACATGACACCCACCTCTACCATAACAAAACATGACACCCACCTCTACAATAACAAAACATGACACCCACCTCTACAATAACAATACATGACACCCACCTCTACAATAACATAACATGACACCCACCTCTACAATAACAAAACATGACACCCACCTCTACAATAACAAAACATGACACCCACCTCTACAATAACATAACATGACACCCACCTCTACAATAACAAAACATGACACCCACCTCTACAATAACAAAACATGACACCCACCTCTACAATAACAAAACATGACACCCACCTCTACAATAACAAAACATGACACCCACCTCTACAATAACATAACATGACACCCACCTCTACAATAACAAAACATGACACCCACCTCTAGTATAACAAAACATGACACCCACCTCTACAATAACAAAACATGACACCCACCTCTACAATAACAAAACATGACACCCACCTCTACAATAACATAACATGACACCCACCTCTACAATAACAAAACATGATACCCACCTCTACAATAACAAAACATGACACCCACCTCTACAATAACAAAACATTACACCCACCTCTACAATAACAAAACATGACACCCACCTCTACAATAACAAAACATGACACCCACCTCTACAATAACATAACATGACACCCACCTCTACAATAACAAAACATGACACCTACCTCTACAATAACAAAACATGACACCCACCTCTACAATAACAAAACATGACACCCACCTCTACAATAACAAAACATGACACCCACCTCTACAATAACAAAACATGACACCCACCTCTAGTATAACAAAACATGACACCCACCTCTACAATAACATAACATGACACCCACCTCTACAATAACAAAACATGACACCCACCTCTACAATAACAAAACATGACACCCACCTCTAGTATAACAAAACATGACATCCACCTCTACCATAACAAAACATGACACCCACCTCTACCATAACAAAACATGACACCCACCTCTACAATAACATAACATGACACCCACCTCTAGTATAACAAAACATGACACACACCTCTAGTATAACAAAACATGACACCCACCTCTACAATAACAAAACATGACACCCACCTCTACAATAACAAAACATGACACACACCTCTACAATAACAAAACATGACACCCACCTCTACCATAACAAAACATGACACCCACCTCTACAATAACAAAACATGACACCCACCTCTACAATAACAATACATGACACCCACCTCTACAATAACATAACATGACACCCACCTCTACAATAACAAAACATGACACCCACCTCTACAATAACAAAACATGACACCCACCTCTACAATAACATAACATGACACCCACCTCTACAATAACAAAACATGACACCCACCTCTACAATAACAAAACATGACACCCACCTCTACAATAACAAAACATGACACCCACCTCTACAATAACAAAACATGACACCCACCTCTACAATAACATAACATGACACCCACCTCTACAATAACAAAACATGACACCCACCTCTAGTATAACAAAACATGACACCCACCTCTACAATAACAAAACATGACACCCACCTCTACAATAACAAAACATGACACCCACCTCTACAATAACATAACATGACACCCACCTCTTATATAATAAAACATGACACCCACCTCTACAATAACAAAACATGACACCCACCTCTACAATAACATAACATGACACCCACCTCTTATATAATAAAACATGACACCCACCTCTACAATAACAAAACATGACACCCACCTCTACAATAACAAAACATGACACCCACCTCTACAATAACAAAACATGACACCCACCTCTACAATAACAAAACATGACACCCACCTCTACAATGGCGTCCACCCTGTTTCTGTTTGCAGACAGCTCCGCCTCAAACGCCGAGTGTTTCTGCAGCTTGGCCTGGAGGTTGGTAGGGTCCCTGTAGGACTCGTCCAGAGCCACTTGCAGCTTCTCATTGATCCAGCTGGCCACCTGGCAGGGAACGTTGACATCAAGGGGGGTGGGGGGGGGGGGCATTGCATAAATTTGGTTTAATTATAATTACATACTAATGTACCCACTGCAGGCTTCATACATCCCAGCCCATCAAGTAAAAAATAAATAGAGCTTACATCATAGAGGTTCCTGAGGAAGAGCTGGTAGTTCCGAGAGTCTATTAACTTCTTCTTGCGAGCCTCAGAAGATTCCCACATCCGTTTCCTCCTGTTGAGGACTTGCTGGCAGCGTGCGTTGATCTCATCAGTGGCGTAGTGCTGGTCAGCACACAGGTCAGAGGCAAACTGCTTCAGCTCTTCTACCCTGTCTTCTTGGGCTCTGGTGGTTTTCTCAAAGTTTTCTTGTTTCTTTATCAAGCTTTCAACACTGTACAGTGTGTTCTACACAAAATAAAATGTAAGTAATGTGGTCTGTAGAATACCAGCTGACACAAATTTTAACTGATTTCACCAGTGAACTAATGATCTTAACATTTGAGCAATAAAAACCCCACCCTACAATAAATGAATGATCTTAACATTTGAGCAATGAAAACCCCACCCTACCCCAACATCCTCATTAGCCAGGAAAGCTTCTTTTGTCCCTATCCAAGCCTCAGCTTGCTCAGCTGTCTCCTTGAAGATCTGAAAACACAAACAACACAGAACCTGCTGTAGCTAAGTTGTTACATTTCAGTGTTGTTACCTTGGCTAGTTTAAAATAAATGTGTAATTTAATGAACATGTGTGAACAGACTGTGTTACTGGTCAGTGTCTTGTGTTACTGGTCAGTGTGTTGTGTGTGTTGTGACACTGGTCAGTGTGTTGTGTGTGTTGTGGCACTGGTCAGTGTGTTGTGTGTGTTGTGGTACTGGTCAGTGTGTTGTGTGTTACCTGCAGGTTATGACACTGGGTCAGCAGGTTGTTCCTCTTCTCCCAAGCACCAGAGAGGGTAAGCCTGGTTGTGTCCAGCTGCTTGACCACCTTCTGTATCTCCTCACTGGCATAATGTTTACTGTTGATTAAATTGTTGCCATCTTCCTTGATTCTGGCAAAGTGGGCTTTACGGCCTTCAATTTCAGCCTAGAAGAAAGTCACACTTTTTAGTTTGTTGACATGTAATTTTTCCTCAATCATTTTATGCTGATGGTCAGTGGTTGTTGGTTAGTAGTTACTGGCATTGATTTAATGAAAGGCCACTTAGTCAGGACAACAAATGAGTGAAGATATTTAGTCAGGACAACAAATGAGTGAAGATATTTAGTCTGGACAACAAATTAGTGAAGATATTTAGTCAGGACAACAAATGAGTGAAGATATTTAGTCAGGACAACAAATGAGTGAAGATATTTAGTCAGGACAACAAATGAGTGAAGATATTAAGTATGGACAACAAATGAGTGAAGATATTTCGTCTGGACAACAAATGAGTGAAGATATTTAGTCAGGACAACAAATGAGTGAAGATATTTAGTCAGGACAACAAATGAGTGAAGATATTTAGTCAGGACAACAAATGAGTGAAGATATTTAGTCAGGACAACAAATGAGTGAAGATATTTAGTCAGGACAACAAATGAGTGAAGATATTTAGTCAGGACAACAAATGAGTGAAGATATTTAGTCAGGACAACAAATGAGTGAAGATATTTAATCAGGACAACAAATGAGTGGAGATATTTAGTCAGGACAACAAATGAGTGAAGATATTTAGTCAGGGCAACAAATGAGTGAAGATATTTAGTCAGGACAAGAAATGAGTGAAGATATTTAGTCAGGACAACAAATGAGTGAAGATATTTAGTCAGGACAACAAATGAGTGAAGATATTTAATCAGGACAACAAATGAGTGAAGATATTTAGTCAGGACAACAAATGAGTGAAGATATTTAGTCAGGACAACAAATGAGTGAAGATATTTAGTCAGGACAACAAATGAGTGAAGATATTTAGTCAGGGCAACAAATGAGTGAAGATATTTAGTCAGGACAACAAATGAGTGAGGTGAGGCAAACCTTTCTTTCGTTGTGCATCTGCAGCATGTTTTCTGCCTCAGACACATCCTTGGCCAGCTCCTGGGCGTTCATTTTACTGGTCATGTCATTCGACCAGCCCATCTGATGGACAAAGATTTATTTTTAAGTAATTCCATAATTTATTGTATAAATTAAAATAAAATAATTCTTCTAAAGACAGAAAAGAAATGGTTACCAGTTCTCTGGCATCTGACAGGAACTTCTGTAGTTTGTATGACGCTGCCAGTTTGGCTTTCCTTTTAAAAGAGAAAAAATATTTCAAGTAAATGATGAGAACTTAACATACATCATCACCATGGAAACTTAAATGTTAGAAGCAGCTTATTTAAAACCAAACAGGTGGCAGGACAAACCTGGCGTCTGCTAAATCTTCCAGTCTCTCCCAGTTGTCTTCAGCCTCCTGTTTCTTCAACTCTATTTCTTTGGCTCGGTCTTTGTACGTCTGCTTCAGTTTGTTTGCCTGGCTCTCAAGTTTCTAAACACAACAAAAGTAAAATTAGGTTTGGTTTGTGAGATGACAAATACACCAACACAAAAATTAGATTTGGTTTGTGAGTTTATGAACATTTCAACAAAAAATTAGATTTGGCTTGTGAAAAGTTTAAAGTGCAATAGAAACCTCTAATTGGTTCTGTAAGGCTGTCATGTCCCTCTCCACCTCCTCCTGTTTCCTCTGTAGGGCCTCAACAGCCTGCAGGTCTTTGCCCAGGTCCTCATTTGACAAGAGCTGGGCCTTCTCATGGATGCGTCCATTGATGTCATCCACATCTCGGATGAAGCCATGGATTTCCAGCGCAGCGGACAGGCGGGCTTTGTAGTCGTTGAGGGCACCCTGCAGGTTCTGCCACCTGGTCACAGGTGATACACAGGTGATACATAGGTGATACACAGGAGATATACAGGTGATACACAGGTGATACACAGGTGATACTAGTGTCAGTTGGTCAACTGTGGTGGGTCTAGGACACACTGACCAAGTGTCAGTTTGTCAACTGTGGTGGGTCTAGGACACACTGACCAAGTGTCAGTTGGTCTAATGTGGTAGGTCTAAGACACACTGACCAAGTGTCAGTTGGTCTAATGTGGTAGGTCTAAGACACACTGACCAAGTGTCAGTTGGTCTAATGTGGTAGGTCTAAGACACACTGACCAAGTGTCAGTTGGTCTATTGTGGTAGGTCTAAGACACACTGACCAAGTGTCAGTTAGTGAAGTGTGATGGGTCTAAGACACACTCCCCCCCACCCCCACTGTCAATCCCCTCTCTACATATTTTACAGATACCAGCATATGTAGAAAGACAGCACTCATCAAGTGACTAAAATAATTGTATTGCATACTTTGCCAAGCTATTTTATATAATGCCTAACAAGGTAACTGGCAAAGTATGAAAAAGCTTATTCCTTCCAGAAAATTCTAAGACCCTAAACCTAAGACTAACTCTAGCCCTATATCATCTTTAGCTTAGTATTATGCTTAAAATTAGGATTTGGTTTAATTTGTAATCAGGGAGGGGGTAAAATATATGGGGGGGAGGGGTAACAGATCTGTAGGTAATGTAATTGAAGCTGATGACTAGGGGAACTGGACATGGGGTAATATCCTGCTCCTTAATAGCTGGACATATGCAGGGAAATAATACAACGTTACCTGATAGGTTTAATCCAGAACTTGAACAACTTAAATTAGTTCACATTTGATCATAAAGTCCAGATATAATGTTTAATCTAGAACTTGAACCAGAGGCGTAGCGACCCTTCCTGGCAGCTAAAATGACATTTTAATTTGTTTTTACAACCCATTTTGGCGCCCCTAAGGTCGGCGCCCGGGGACATATGTACTCCACTGCCCCCCCCCCCCCCCCCCCCATCGCTACGCCTCTGACTTGAACAACTTACTTTTTGTTCATGTCGGCTCGTTTTTCTTTGACCTGCTGAGTGTCAGTGCGACCTTGAGCTATCAGCCTGTCAGCAAGGTTGTTAATGGCCTGGATTCTCTTCTCATCCACAGTGATACCCTGTTGGCCATAAGTACACAACTAGTGCTAGCTATTGATATACAATCAGGTAACTGACATTTGACTACAAAAATGTAAACATGTATATATAGCTTATATTTTAATATAATTCTAAGATAGGAATGTTGAAATAATTATGTATAAATGAATGATGTGCTAATTAAAAAGGTCCACCTACTGCTGACTCCAGATTGTTGACCTTCTTCTGCAGCTCCAGACAATGTTCGTAGTCCCTGCCCAGGTCGTTCTGTTGGACCAAGGACTCCTGCGGGACAAGACAGGACTTTAAAAACATTGGGTTCAACTTGCAGCCCATTCTCAGGGTCCAGACTACACACATTATTGAACTGCTCTCAAGGGCTGAACGTTTTTCTAAGTTGCTGGACAAAAGTCCTAGAGCACTTCAATAATGTTTGCTGCCATCAGAGCTTTAGCATGCTACATAATTGATGTCATCTTTCTATATGTCATGGCTGTCATTTTGTTCTAAATGTCATGGCTTTCATGTTGCTCTAAATTTCATGGCTTTCATGTTGCTCTAAATGTCATGGCTTTCATGTTGCTCTAAATGTCATGGCTTTCATGTTGCTCTAAATTTCATGGCTTTCATGTTGCTCTAAATGTCATGGCTTTCATGTTGCTCTAAATGTCATGGCTTTCATGTTGCTCTAAATGTCATGGCTTTCATGTTGCTCTAAATGTCATGGCTGTCATGTTGCTCTAAATGGTATGGATGTCATGTTGTTCTACATGACCAGCCTGAAGAAAGCACTGACCTTCTCCTTGACCCAGAGCAGGACCTTGTCCACCTGCTCCATGAACTCCAGAATGTCCTTAGCCTCCTCCAGGCCCTTCCCCCTGTTGGCTGAGGCTGCCAGCAGTTCACTCCACTTGCCAGATAAACCCTGAATTGATTTTTTTATCTCCTTTTGTTCTCGGTGTTGTTTCTTGATTAGAAGTTCTCCGACCTTTAAAACATTATTATTGTCATCTCTCTTACATGGAAACAAAATCAAACAATGCTCTCTCTAAACCTAGGGGTTCAAAGATCTTACTAAACCTTGAGGTTCATTGCCATAACTAAAACCCTAGAAGTTCAATGTTGGCACTAAAACCTACCGCTATAATGCTGTTAATGCGATCAGTGTTTGCCACTATCTCGCCATGGAAAGCTTGGTGTTTTTGTAACTTCTTCATTTTATCGTACAGGTCAGTCACATCTTTAAAGTCATCCTCGTAGGCAACGTGGAGCCTCTCATTGATCCAATGCTCAGCCTGGAGAAGTAAAATTACTTGACTGAACTTTTTCATCCACAGATACTTGTTGTAAACGAAACACAAAGTAGTAGTAAAAGATGTAAACAATAGATGAAAAAGGTCAACCAACAAACCTCGTTCTCATCTCTACAAAACTGCTGGTACAACAGTGAGTCTTGCAGCTTGCCTTTCTTTATGGCTGACTCCTCATGGATGTTCTTTCGTCTAATTATCAAGATGTCAGACATTCATTTATTGTGTCTTCTAATTATCAAGATGTTAAACATTCATTTATTGTGTCGTCTAATTATCAAGATGTCAAACATTCATTTATTGTGTCATCTAATTATCAAGATGTCAAACATTCATTTATTGTGTCTTCTAATTATCAAGATGTTAAACATTCATTTATTGTGTGGTCTAATTATCAAGATGTTAAACATTCATTTATTGTGTCGTCTAATTATCAAGATGTCAAACATTCATTTATTGTGTTGTCTAATTATCAAGATGTCAAACATTCATTTATTGTGTCGTCTAATTATCAAGATGTCAAACATTCATTTATTGTGTCGTCTAATTATCAAGATGTTAAACATTCATTTATTGTGTCTTCTAATTATCAAGATGTTAAACATTCATTTATTGTGTCTTCTAATTATCAAGATGTCAAACATTCATTTATTGTGTCGTCTAATTATCAAGATGTTAAACATTCATTTATTGTGTCGTCTAATTATCAAGATGTCAAACATTCATTTATTGTGTCGTCTAATTATCAAGATGTTAAACATTCATTTATTGTGTCGTCTAATTATCAAGATGTCAAACATTCATTTATTGTGTCGTCTAATTATCAAGATGTTAAACATTCATTTATTGTGTCTTCTAATTATCAAGATGTTAAACATTCATTTATTGTGTCTTCTAATTATCAAGATGTCAAACATTCATTTATTGTGTCGTCTAATTATCAAGATGTTAAACATTCATTTATTGTGTCGTCTAATTATCAAGATGTCAAACATTCATTTATTGTGTCGTCTAATTATCAAGATGTTAAACATTCATTTATTGTGTCTTCTAATTATCAAGATGTCAAACATTCATTTATTGTAGAGTTAACAAAACAAAATTTTATATTTTAAGAAATCTAAATGGCAATATCTGTGTATCTGTCACAAATACTAGGATAAAACACAACTTTAAAACAGGAAATATGCAAACCAGACAACATACAACTGACCACACCATACAACATAAAGCTGACCACACCAGACAACATACAACTGACCACACCATACAACATAAAGCTGACCACACCAGACAACATACAACTGACCACACCAGACAACATACAACTGACCACACCATACAACATAAAGCTGACCACACCAGACAACATAAAGCTGACCACACCAGACAACATAAAGCTGACCACACCAGACAACATACAACTGACCACACCATACAACATAAAGCTGACCACACCAGACAACATACAACTGACCACACCATACAACATAAAGCTGACCACACCAGACAACATAAAGCTGACCACACCAGACAACATAAAGCTGACCACACCAGACAACGTACAACTGACCACACCAGACAACATACAACTGACCACACCAGACAACATATAACTAACCACACCATACAACATACAACATACAACTGACCATACCTGGCCTTAATATCTGCCATTGTCTGCTTGACATGACTAGCCTGGAAATGTTCCGTGTCAATCAACTGCTGACCGTGCTCTGTCACACTCTTCAACTTGTCCTTCTGGACATCCAAAACCTTTTCAAAAGCCTCGTGTTTCCTGCTCAGTGTCTCCACCTGCTCCACACTCTCCCCTAGGTCTGGGCTGCTCAGGTAAACCTAGATAAACAGTACAAGCCGAGTGTGAAGATTTGTGTACCAATGTACCAAACTTACCTGTGTGACCACTGACTGACCAATGTACCAAACTTAGCTGTGTGACCACTGACTGACCAATGTACTAAACTTACCTCCTGTGTTGCGCTGATCCTGTTTAGCAGCTCTGTATCTCTCAGGAATATGTTGAGGTCATACACCTGGTCGTACAGATCTTTTCTTTCAATCCAGATATTTTGTAGCCTCTCCCTGGCATCTTCAACCTCTTTCACTTTAGATTTTATCTGGGTGACAAACAGATACTAAATGTTGGACTACACACTTTAGATTTTATCTGTGTGACAGATACTAAATGTTGGACTACACACTTTAGATTTTATCTGGGTGACAGATACTAAATGTTTGACTACATACTTTAGATTTTATCTGGGTGAGAAACAGACACTAAATGTTGGACTACACACTTTAGATTTTATCTGGGTGACAGATACTAAATGTTGGACTACACACTTTAGATTTAATCTGGGTGACAGATACTAAATGTTTGACTACATACTTTAGATTTTATCTGGGTGAGAAACAGACACTAAATGTTGGACTACACACTTTAGATTTTATCTGGGTGAGAAACAGACACCAAATGTTGGACTACACACTTTAGATATTATCTGAGTGACAAATTGAAAAGATACTGAATGTTGGACTATCCCTGATAGATGGTGATGTGTGACTGATGGTACCCACCTCATCCCTAGCGTAGTGGTTGTTGGTGATGAGTGTGAAGCCAGCGTTGATGACAGCATCAAATGTGTCTTGCCTAGCCTCGATCTCAGCACGGATTTCTTCGTGTCTTTGTCTCAGCATGTCTGCAGCATTGACGTCTCGTACATTGTGGTCAATCTTCATTTCACGTTCTGTTTCCTTGGCCCAACCCAGTAGATCACGGGCCTACACAAGTATACACAAGGGAAGTAAAGAAAAATTGAGATCAGCACTTAATAAGAGTCTCAATTATGTCACAGGCTTGTTTTTATATTGATATTAATTTGGGTTGTGTGTTGTGTTTTTAGTTTAATTTTGATATTAATTGGGTTGTGTGTTGTGTTTTTAGATCAGATAATTTTTAAAAAATAATGTTTTCATAATATTCTTTCTAAGTAGTTCAGTGGGTCTTTATTTTGTCTTGTTTTTATTTTGTTGTTGATTTATTCCAGACCATCTAAGTCTAATGAATGTCTGCTGTAGTTAAAATGTGGTGGCCACTTACACTGGCCAGGAACTTGTGCAGATCTGCAGCTGCCAGCAGCATGATCTTCCTCTGGTCAGCTTTGGTCTGTAACTCTGCCCAGTCATCAATGACAGCTGATTGCAGCTGGGCGATTTGGTCAGCATTTTCCCCAGGGTAGTCTTCTTGCAGGCGCTTGGAGTCGTCCATCAAGACCTGAAGCTGTAGCAAAGGTTAAGAGTTCAATCAGAGACTTGTGTCAAGTTTGACCTATTGTAAAACACTGTGTAAGTTGATGGCTTACCTGTCCTTCTAAGGCCACAAGTTCATTTTCAAAGGCCTCGTGTTTCTTGAGGAAGGTGAGGGTAGAGTTGTAGTCCCTGCCCAGGTCGTCTGGGATGCTGGAGCTCTTCTCCTGGACAACAAATGTCACACACATGTCAACAAACTGATGTCAGACACATGTCAACAAAGATGTCAGACACATGTCAACAACTGATGTCAGACACATGTCAACAAACTGATGTCAGACACATGTCAACAAACTGATGTCAGACACATGTCAACAAACTGATGTCAGACACATGTCAACAAATGTCAGACACATGTCAACATACTAATGTCAGACACATGTCAACAAATGTCAGACACATGTCAACATACTGATGTCAGACACATGTCAAGAATTGATGTCAGACACATGTCAACATACTGATGTCAGACACATGTCAACAATTGATGTCAGACACATGTCAACAAACTGATAACAGACACATGTCAACAAACAAATGTCAGACACATGTCAACAATTGATGTCAGACACATGTCAACAACTGATGTCAGACACATGTCAACAACTGATGTCAGACACATGTCAACAACTGATGTCAGACACATGTCAACAACTGATGTCAGACACATGTCAACAACTGATGCCAGACACATGTCAACAACTGATGTCAGACACATGTCAACAAACTGATGTCAGACACATGTCAACAAACTGATGTCAGACACATGTCAACAACTGATGTCAGACACATGTCAACAAACTGATGTCAGACACATGTCAACATACGGATGTTAGAGGCAGATCAACAAAGGAAAACTACCTGTTTTACTTACCTTTAAAAAGGGATATTTACCTGTATTCTGGATAGAGCATCCTCCACATCCCTGTTGAACCTGTGGATCTCTCCAGCACCCAGAAGCTTCAGGTCTCTGTTGTGGATGTTCTCAAGAAGATCATTCCATCTTTTTCTGCAAGAACAATTTTCAAAGTCAAATATTCATATTAAAAAAATTGAAAAAAATCCATTTTTTACTTGAATTTAAATAAAATATAGTTTTAAATAATATAATTTTATAATATAATATAGTTTTAAATAAAATATAGATTCTTCTTCCAATATAATTTTCAAAATAGTAAACATTTAGATTTTAAAAAATGTATATTGTATATTTTTGGAAGTGTAAGTTATATCTATAAATGTAGACCTTATTGTTCAAACTAAGCATTTGACTTTCTTCCCTCTCATGCCAGTGTTAGACAAGACTAGAAGACTGACCTAATGCTCTCTTGTCTGTCTGTTACATCTTTGGTGTGTGGACCTCGGTCATCTATCAGGTACTTGGCCAATCGCTCACAGTTTTGGAACCTCTCTGTTCTAGCCTCCACCTGTCGCTTGAATTCATCAAACTTGCTGCGCAGTATCTGGCAACAAACAGCAGAGTTAGTCCCCCTGCCCACACAACAAAAGGAAGTTGATACAAGAAGTAGGTTGATCTTAATGGCCTGGCCAAGCTTAAGCTGATTAGATCCTTACTTCAAGGTGTTCATAGTCCTGGCCATATTCCTCTGAAGTGGCAGTTTGCATTTGTTCATTGATCCAGTCCTCTATCTCATCAGCCTCCCTCATGTAAGCATGAAGGCGCTTGGACCTCTCCAGCAAATGGCACCTTTCAGCTGCCAATCTTTTCAACTTGTTCAAGTTGTCTTGGAGTTGTTCCTAGAAAAAAATTAATGACATTTTATCTGATAATAACTTTTCTAAACAGTTTACTTTTGTTACATGTGTCAACCATTGTCCAGTTGTTGCTGTAGGTGTGTTGACCATTGTCCAGTTGTTGCTGTAGGTGTGTCAACCATAGTCCAGTTGTTGCTGTAGTGTCAACCATTGTCCAGTTGTTGCTGTAGGTGTGTTGACCATTGTCCAGTTGTTGCTGTAGATGTGTCCACCATTGTCCAGTTGTTGCTGTAGGTGTGTTGACCATTGTCCAGTTGTTGCTGTAGATGTGTCCACCATTGTCCAGTTGTTGTTGTAGATGTGTCCACCATTGTCCAGTTGTTGCTGTAGGTGTGTTGACCATTGTCCAGTTGTTGCTGTAGGTGTGTCAACCATTGTCCAGTTGTTGCTGTAGTGTCAACCATTGTCCAGTTGCTGTAGGTGTGTCAACCATTGTCCAGTTGTTGCTGTAGGTGTGTTGACCATTGTCCAGTTGTTGCTGTAGGTGTGTCAACCATAGTCCAGTTGTTGCTGTAGGTGTGTCAATCATTGTCCAGTTGTTGCTGTAGGTGTGTCAACCATTGTCCAGTTGTTGCTGTAGGTGTTTTGACCATTGTCCAGTTACCTGAGCTTTCCTCAGTGCCTGAGGGTCAGAGTAGCCCAGCTTAAAGAGCCGGCTTGATTCTTTAGCTAACCCGTTGACTATGTTCTGGTAGGTCTGGATGTCTGTTTCAAGAACCTGAAAGGGGGGGGGGGGGTGTGGAGAGAAAAAATCAACTGTATAAAAAACTTTAAATTCCATGGGTTTCATAAGTACAGCAGGAAAATAAAAATGAAATGAAATGGAGCCATTCTACATACAAGAGATTCTAGCTTTGATCAAATCGCCAGTTAAAACAAGATGGCAGCTTACATTATTTTTGGCCAGAAGTTTGTCAGCAGCACTTTCATCTTTACCAAAGTCCTCACTGGTCACTAAAGCCATCTTGTCATTGATCCAAGCATCAACTTCTGCTATTTCAGAAAAGTACTAAACAAAACAAAAGATTTATATTAGAGCTGTAGGCTACCATCACACCATATGAGATTTATTTCCAAGTATTTTTTCTGATAAACACTAAACAAACATAAAACCTTGATTTTAGGAAAGTGCTAGACAAACAGAAAAAAATGTCTTAACAGTCTGAGAAGGGAAATGACTTGTTCAAGCAGTGACCAAGTATTTAATTACCCTCTGGGTCTGCAGGGAAATATCCAAGTTTTTCTTTCGGCTTTTGGATTTCTTGAGAAGATCATCCCAAGAGAGCTGTAACTCCTGGTTCTTGTCCCGAATGGACTTGGCATTGTTGTGGTGGGCAGCTATCAAGCGGTCACCCTCAGTGGTCACTTTGTCTATGGCCACTTGATGTCCTAGAATTTCTCTGTCTAAATCCTTCAAAAACAAAGAGCATAATGTTTCTATACACAAGTTATCCATGTAGCGGAAGCCAATCAGATCAACAAATAAGATCACAAAGTAAGGATAGCAAGCACATGATGAAACAGCAAAATGGGAACAGCAGGAAGACAACAAATAAGATCACAAAGTAAGGACAGCAAGCACATGATCAAACAGCAAAATGGGAACAGCAGGAAGACAACAAATGAGATCACAAAGTAAGGACAGCAAGCACATGATCAAACAGCAAAATGGGAACAGCAGGAAGACAACAAATAAGATCACAAAGTAAGGACAGCAAGCACATGATCAAACAGCAAAATGGGAACAGCAGGAAGACAACAAATGAGATCACAAAGTAAGGACAGCAAGCACATGATCAAACAGCAAAATGGGAACAGCAGGAAGACAACAAATGAGATCACAAAGTAAGGACAGCAAGCACATGATCAAACAGCAAAATGGGAACAGCAGGAAGACAACAAATAAGATCACAAAGTAAGGACAGCAAAATGGGAACAGAAATAAATAGATTAAAGAATGACCTACCTGGTGTTTCTTGTGGAGTTTTTGCGCATCCACGAGATTTTTGCCATATTCAACAGAAGCTGCTGAAGGAAGATGGTCTTTGATCCACTGAAGTTCCAGGTCAGCATCAAACAGGAACTGGTGATATTCTAGAGATTCTTCAAGCTTACTTTTACGTAGATTGACAGCAGGCTTCAGACGCTCAAATCTACAGATGACATTGTTTAAAATTGTAAATTAAAAGACAGTAACCGTGGTAACACAACTCCTGTATTACACTGCCACACAAAATTATGATTGAAAGTGAATGGTCCATGAGTCCAAAACCTTTCTTACAACAAACAAAATGCACAGACTGCTGAACAGTTTACAATTTACTAATGGAGTGTAAACTTGGGACTTCTAAGAGAGCATCTATTTACTCTGCTTGTGAACCATTCTATCAGCTATAGACTTTGGAAGTACAAAACATATCAAACCTTCGATTGAACTCCTCGACGGCAGATTTGATGTTGGCTGAGTTGAAGTGACCAGAGTCTGCCATCTGCTTGCCCTGACTGACAATGTCCTTGATGGTCTCAGACAAGCTGGCCAGGTCATTCTCCAGGTTCTGGGACAAAGATAACAATTAGCATAAACCAGCTGGACAACAAACAAAATGTTATAGTCTAAACCAGCTGGACAACAAACAAAATGTTATAGCCTAAATCAGCTGGACAACAAACAAAATGTTATAGCCTAAATCAGCTGGACAACAAACAAAATGTTATAGCCTAAACCAGCTGGACAAAATGTTATAGTCTAAACCAGCTGGACAACAAACAAAATGTTATAGCCTAAATCAGCTGGACAACAAACAAAATGTTATAGCCTAAACCAGCTGGACAACAAACACAATGTTATAGTCTAAACCAGCTGGACAAAATGTTATAGCCTAAACCAGCTGGACAACAAACAAAATGTTATAGTCTAAACCAGCTGGACAACAAACACAATGCTATAGTCTAAACCAGCTGGACAAAATGTTATAGCCTAAACCAGCTGGACAACAAACAAAATGTTATAGCCTAAACCAGCTGGACAACAAACAAAATGTTATAGTCTAAACAAGCTGGACAACAAACAAAATGTTATAGTCTAAACCAGCTGGACAACAAACAAAATGTTATAGTCTAAACCAGCTGGACAACAAACAAAATGTTATAGCCTAAACCAGCTGGACAACAAACAAAATGTTATAGCCTAAACCAGCTGGACAACAAACAAAATGTTATAGCCTAAACCAGCTGGACAACAAACAAAATGTTATAGCCTAATCCAGCTGAACAACAAACAAAGTGTTATAGTCTAAACCAGCTGGACAACAAACAAAATGTTATAGCCTAAATCAGCTGGACAACAAACAAAATGTTATAGCCTAAACCAGCTGGACAACAAACAAAATGTTATAGCCTAAACCAGCTGGACAACAAACAAAATGTTATAGCCTAAACCAGCTGGACAACAAACAAAATGTTATAGCCTAAACCAGCTGGACAACAAACAAAATGTTATAGCCTAAACCAGCTGGACAACATACACAATGTTATAGTCTAAACCAGCTGGACAAAATGTTATAGCCTAAACCAGCTGGACAACAAACAAAACGTTATAGCCTAAACCAGCTGGACAACAAACAAAATGTTATAGCCTAAACCAGCTGGACAACAAACAAAATGTTATAGTCTAAACCAGCTGGACAACAAACAAAATGTTATAGTCTAAACCAACTGGACAACAAACAAAATGTTATAGCCTAAACCAGCTGGACAACAAACAAAATGTTATAGCCTAAACCAGCTGGACAACAAACAAAATGTTATAGTCTAAACCAGCTGGACATCAAACAAAATGTTATAGCCTAAACCAGCTGGACAACAAACAAAATGTTATAGTCTAAACCAACTGGACAACAAACAAAATGTTATAGTCTAAACCAGCTGGACAACAAACAAAATGTTATAGCCTAAACCAGCTGGACAACAAACAAAATGTTATAGTCTAAACCAGCTGGACAACAAACAAAATGTTATATTCTAAACTAGGTTTAAAGATGAGAATAGACCTAAATGAGTGTAGAGCATTTCTAGTGTTGCTTTCATTAAATCACTAGATAAGAGAATGTTGTGTGTTGCCTTCATTAACTCACTAGATAAGAGAATGTTGTGTTTTGGCCACAGGATGTACTCACCTGGTGTTTCTTCAAAAGTTTTTTCACACCTCTCAGATCAGAGCCCAGGTCAGTATTATTGGAAGACTTCTGCATCTCATCCAACTTAGCCTGGAGGCAGACATCATGAGACAGACATCATGAGACAGACATCATGAGACAGACATCATGAGCACAGACATCATGAGACAGACATCATCAGACAGACATTATGAGGCAGACATCATGAGACAGACATCATGAGACAGACATCATGAGACAGAGATCATGAGACAGACATCATGAGACAGACATGAGATATATAATGAGACAGACATCATGAGACAGACATGAGACAGACATCATGAGACAGACATCATGAGACAGACATCATGAGACATGAGAGACGTCATAAGGACAGACATGACCTGTGGTCACTGTTTATACCTGGGCATCATCCAGCGCTCTGTTAAGTGTGTGCTGGGCAGAGGCCTGTCTGAGTTTGTTCCCTTTATCTTGAGCTTTATCGCTCAGCTCCTTCCACTGCTTGTTGAGGATGTCCAGAACCTTCTTCACCTCGTCAGACTTGGGGTGGCGCTCAGAAATCAGGGAGTTGCCAGTCTTCAAACAAAGCCAAAATTTTGGGTTGCCAGTTCAATATTTGCACAATTATATTCAACACTTGGTCTTTGATTAAACTATCAAACTTAAACTCTCTTACATTGTTAAGTCCCTTGAGTTGCTCATTGTTTGCCTTGAGTTCCGCTTCAAATGCTGCATGTTTCTGTAACTTGGCCATCAGATTGCTCAAATCTCTGTAGGACTCGTCTGTGGCTGTTTTCATCTTCTCTTTGATCCAGTCTGATAGCTAGACAAGAAACATCTAAGATCTAGTCTGATAGCTAGACAAGAAACATCTTAGTTCTAGTCTGATAGCTAGACAAGAAACATCTTAGATCTAGTCTGATAGCTAGACAAGAAACATCTTAGATCTAGTCTGATAGCTAGACAAGAAACATCTTAGATCTAGTCTGATAGCTAGACAAGAAACATCTTAGATCTAGTCTGATAGCTAGACAAGAAACATCTTAGATCTAGTCTGATAGCTAGACAAGAAACATCTTAGTTCTAGTCTGACAGCTAGACAAGAAACATCTTAGATCTAGTCTGACAGCTAGACAAGAAACATCTTAGATCTAGTCTGACAGCTAGACAAGAAACATCTTAGTTCTAGTCTGATAGCTAGACAAGAAACATCTTAGATCTAGTCTGATAGCTAGACAAGAAACATCTTAGATCTAGTCTGATAGCTAGACAAGAAACATCTAAGATCTAGTCTGATAGCTAGACAAGAAACATCTAAGATCTAGTCTGATAGCTAGACAAGAAACATCTAAGATCTAGTCTGATAGCTAGACAAGAAACATCTTAGTTCTAGTCTGATAGCTAGACAAGAAACATCTAAGATCTAGTCTGATAGCTAGACAAGAAACATCTTAGTTCTAGTCTGATAGCTAGACAAGAAACATCTAAGATCTAGTCTGATAGCTAGACAAGAAACATCTTAGTTCTAGTCCGACAGCTAGACAAGAAACATCTAAGATCTAGTCTGATAGCTAGACAAGAAACATCTAAGATCTAGTCTGATAGCTAGACAAGAAACATCTAAGATCTAGTCTGATAGCTAGACAAGAAACATCTTAGTTCTAGTCTGATAGCTAGACAAGAAACATCTTAGATCTAGTCTGATAGCTAGACAAGAAACATCTTAGATCTAGTCTGACAGCTAGACAAGAAACATCTAAGATCTAGTCTGATAGCTAGACAAGAAACATCTAAGATCTAGTCTGATAGCTAGACAAGAAACATCTAAGATCTAGTCTGATAGCTAGACAAGAAACATCTTAGATCTAGTCTGACAGCTAGACAAGAAACATCTAGCACATCATTATCTCCTTTAAATCCAAACATTGCCTTGTGGGACATGGAGGTATGTGGTTACATTTATATTGTAGTGTTATATTGTAGTGTTATATTGTAGTGTTATATTGTAGTGTTATATTGTAGTTTTATATTGTAGTGTTATGACACACATTTACAGTTACTTCTGGGCTTTTTGTTATTTTGTGAATTTAATGATAACAGATTTAATTACAATGAATCTGAAACACAATAATGAGAAGTAAATTAATTAAAACCTCGTTAGCATCTCGCTTGAACTTTTGGAAAGCTTGTGAGGCCAGCAATGTTTCGTGTCTCTCTTTGGCCTTGTCCTTGGCTTTTTGACGTCTTGCCAGAACTTCCTTCCTACGCTTGTCAATTCTAGCAAGGATTAAAGCATCATTAGCCTGAGTACACAAATTACACATACAAGCTTCATACAATCCTACCAAGGTTTAAAGCATCATTAGCCTGAGTACACAAATTACACATACAAACTTCATACAATCCTAGCAAGGTTTAAAGCATCATTAGCCTGAGTACATAAATTACACATACAAGCTTCAGACATCAGATTTTAATACATTTAGTTAAACATTAAGTTCCAACACTATTCCAAATCAATACATCTACACAAATTATCAATACATATAATTTTCAGGTTAATAGTGATCGATAATTTATTTTTTAACTGTTTTGCTTATTGATAGTTGGAGGAATAAATTAGGATTTACTTATCACTGTCTGGGTGACCTTTGACCAGTTAATTGATAGTTGGAGGAATAAAATAGGATTTACTTATCACTGTCTGGGTGACCTTCTTTGACCAGTTAATTGATAGTTGGAGGAATAAAATTTGGATTTACTTATCACTGTCTGGGTGACCTTCTTTGACCAGTTTGTCGGCCAACTCATTCAAGGCCTTGACCTTTTCATCTTGAGCTTTTAGTTTTTTTTCAAAGTCTGCGTGACGTCTGAATAAACCCTCCACGTCACCCACTGTACTCTGGGGAGAAAGTTTCAATGGTCAGCACCGTCAGGTGGACACTGGACACTTGCTTAAGTCAGACAAGGGTTGACCAGCATCAGCCCACCAGCAACTTACCCCAGTGTCATCATATTCCAAAAATGCTTCATGGCCGCTGGTGATGGCATCAATTTGGTCAGCTTCTCTGTTGAACACCTTGGAGAAATAAAAGATTTTCAAGTGTTACCACGTGAACAACAAGGGAATGAAAATATGAGCAATATTTAAACAGAAGACAAAGAGATCCACAGAGAGATCCACCAAGACACAGAGATCCACCAAGACAGAGAGATCCACCAAGACAGTGAGGTCCACCAGACAGGTCCACCAAGACAGAGAGATCCACCAAGACAGAGAGCTCCACCAAGACAGAGAGATCCACCAAGACAGTGAGGTCCACCAGACAGGTCCACCAAGACAGAGAGATCCACCAAGACAGAGAGATCCACCAAGACAGAGCTCCACCAAGACAGTGAGGTCCACCAGACAGATCCACCAAGACAGAGATCCACCAAGACAGAGAGCTCCACCAAGACAGTGAGGTCCACCAGACAGGTCCACCAAGACAGAGAGATCCACCAAGACAGAGAGATCCACCAAGACAGAGCTCCACCAAGACAGTGAGGTCCACCAGACAGGTCCACCAAGACAGAGAGATCCACCAAGACAGAGAGCTCCACCAAGACAGTGAGGTCCACCAGACAGGTCCACCAAGACAGTGAGCTCCACCAAGACAGAGAGATCCACCAAGACAGAGATCCACCAAGACAGAGAGCTCCACCAAGAAAGTGAGGTCCACCAGACAGGTCCACCAAGACAGAGAGATCCACCAAGACAGAGAGCTCCACCAAGACAGTGAGGTCCACCAGACAGGTCCACCAAGACAGTGAGCTCCACCAAGACAGAGAGATCCACCAAGACAGAGAGATCCACCCAGACAGCAATATCCACCAAGACAGACAGATCCACCAAGACAGAGAGATCCACCAAGACAGAGATCCACCAAGACAGAGATCCACCAAGACAGAGAGATCCACCAAGACAGAGAGATCCACCAAGACAGAGAGATCCACCAAGACATAGATCCACCAAGACAGACAGATCCACCAAGACAGAGATCCACCAAGACAGAGATCCACCAAGACAGAGAGATCCACCAAGACAGAGAGATCCACCAAGACAGAGAGATCCACCAAGACATAGATCCACCAAGACAGAGAGATCCACCAAGACATAGATCCACCAAGACAGACAGATCCACCAAGACAGAGAGATCCACCAAGACAGAGAGATCCACCAAGACAGAGAGATCCACCAAGACAGAGAGCTCCACCAAGACAGAGAGATCCACCAAGACAGAGAGCTCCACCAAGACAGTGAGGTCCACCAGACAGGTCCACCAAGACAGAGAGATCCACCAAGACAGAGAGATCCACCAAGACAGAGCTCCACCAAGACAGTGAGGTCCACCAGACAGGTCCACCAAGACAGAGAGATCCACCAAGACAGAGAGCTCCACCAAGACAGTGAGGTCCACCAGACAGGTCCACCAAGACAGTGAGCTCCACCAAGACAGAGAGATCCACCAAGACAGAGATCCACCAAGACAGAGAGCTCCACCAAGACAGTGAGGTCCACCAGACAGGTCCACCAAGACAGTGAGCTCCACCAAGACAGAGAGATCCACCAAGACAGAGAGATCCACCCAGACAGCAATATCCACCAAGACAGACAGATCCACCAAGACAGAGAGATCCACCAAGACAGAGATCCACCAAGACAGAGATCCACCAAGACAGAGAGATCCACCAAGACAGAGAGATCCACCAAGACAGAGAGATCCACCAAGACATAGATCCACCAAGACAGACAGATCCACCAAGACAGAGATCCACCAAGACAGAGATCCACCAAGACAGAGAGATCCACCAAGACAGAGAGATCCACCAAGACAGAGAGATCCACCAAGACATAGATCCACCAAGACAGAGAGATCCACCAAGACATAGATCCACCAAGACAGACAGATCCACCAAGACAGAGAGATCCACCAAGACATAGATCCACCAAGACAGACAGATCCACCAAGACAGAGAGATCCACCAAGACAGAGAGTTCCCTGTACCTGCAGGTTGTAAGCATCCATGAGATCTTTCTGTCTGGCCGCCCACAGGTTGTTGATGGCCCTCTCCTCCTCCTCCAGCTTCTTGACCTTGTCCTTCACATCCTGGGCGTTTCTGTTCTTAGAGATGATGTCTTTACCTAGGTCTATGGTTGACTTCAGTCTGGGGATTGAAAGAAAATATTCCAGCAAATTCCATAGAAAGGTGTGTGTTACAATGTTATCTGCTGACCAGTGTGTACACATCCAACACAATGAGAATGTTATCTGCTGACCAGTGTGTACACATCCAACAGATGACACAATGAGAATGTTATCTGCTGACCAGTGTGTACACATCCAACACTATGAGAATGTTATCTGCTGACCAGTGTGTACACAGACAACACAATGAGAATGTTATCTGCTGACCAGTGTGTACACAGACAACACAATGAGAACATACTTGGCCTTGTGAGACTTGATGTCATCCAGCACCTCATCATGGGCCTTCAGCATCTCCTCAGCACTCTTGATGTCGTGGGGTTTTTCTGCACTGGCCAAAGTTCTCTTCACACCGCTGGCCCAAGACAGCTGAGCAAAGTTATTACATTTTCTTATGTACAACATATATCTAGATTCAACATTTTTATATACAACTTTTATTTTTATGCAGCATATATTTATATGCAGCATTTCTTAATAATTCAGAATCTATTTATATACAATATTTATTTGTATATTGTGTAAATAGCCAACATTTACTTATATGCAGTGTTTTTATGGAGTGTTTTAATTCACAAGAAGAATATGCAAAATTTAATTCAAATTGGAGGTGTAAGATGTTCTGCTTGTTGGAGGTAAAAGTACAAACCAAATCTTTAGCATCATCGTTGAATCTCTGTTGACTGTTGGCACTGTCCAGATTTTCTTTGCGCGACTTGGACAGGTCCTAGGGGACATAACACATCATGGTTAAAACATTATGTCCTAGGGGACATAACACATCATGGTTAAAACATTATGTCCTAGGGGACATAACACATCATGGTTAAAACATTATGTCCTAGGGGACATAACACATCATGGTTAAAACATTATGTCCTAGGGGACATAACACATAATGGTTAAAACATTCTTCATGTCCTAGGGGACATAACACATCATGGTTAAAACATGGAGGATGTTTGAACATTTTTATGAATTACAAAGATTAAAAGAAGCTAACTATATTTTATGCTATATTTTTATTTGACTACTCTGTCAAAAACCCCAACAAACTGTTAATTTCATGAATTATTACAAATAAAAAAATTCTGAAACCAATCCTCACTTTCAAGGAGTTCCAGTCTCCAGCAATATTTTTCTGCCTCTGGTCAACATATCCAGCTTCATCTGGGTAGGAGGATCTCACTCTGGAATATTTGTTTTTTTAACAAGTAATTAAACAATTTCATCAGTTAAATATTTGTGCTTTTAACAAGTAATTAAACAATTTGCTCAGTTAAATATTTGTGTTTTTAGCAAGTAATTAAACAATTTCTTCAGTTAGATATTTGTGTTTTTATCAAGTAATTAAACAATTTCCTCAGTTCAATATTTAAAGCATCATGTCATGGGAGGTAACAAAATAATACTAACGAATCAGCCAAGAAATCCATTCTCTTCATCTTTTCATCCATTGGGATTAATTCTCTTTCCAATTGCTAGAAGAAAATTACAATACAGAAAGTTAGATGGATTCTCAATCCTATTGCTAAGGAAAATTACAAAATTGAAAGTTGGATTAATTAATTATTTTCTGATAGCTAAAGAAATTTATACAATGATTAGTTTTTAAAGATAGTGATATGTTTTGCATGTCACTAGTTTTAAATTGACTTAAGTTTTGGAAGTCAACAATTTTTAACTGACTTACAGTATGTTTTGCATGTCACTAGTTTTGAACTGACTTACAGCATGTTTCCTCTGTAGGGCTTCAATCCCCTTGAGGTCAGAGGCCAGTCCATCGTTAGCCAGGGCATTTTTCTTCTCTTTGATCCACTCAGCCAACTCATCACAGATGGACTTGAACATCTCAATGCTGGAGGTCATTGGTAGAGGTCATTGTTAGTGGTGGTCAGGTAATTGTTAGAGGTGGTCAGTTAATGAGGTCAGTTGGTGGGGTCAAGTACAGGTAGACTTGCTGTCAGTTACAACTACATTGGTGGTCAGTTAATTGTTATAAGTGGTCAGTTGGTTGTTAGAGGTGGTCAGTTACAACTATATTGGTGGTAAGTTACAAGTTAGATTGTAGTCAGTAGCAAGAACCATTGTGTTCAGCTATATGAAGACTGTGGTCACCTAAAGGTAGCCTACATTATGTCTCCTATTGAAAGTTGTGTGGTCAGTTACAGGTGGACTGAGGGTAAAGGCTGCCTGTGGTGACAAATATTTACCTGGATGCTCCCTTCAGATTTTTTTCTTTCTCAATTTTCAGCTTGTTCAGTTTGGCCCATCTGAAAGTATTGTTTTTTTCAAGTCAAATACAAAATTCACTAACATAATCAATACAATATGTCAACTGTAATTTTTGTTCCCAATGTACATCAGTAGAAAGTATAATTTCCATGCCCTAATCGTTGTAAGGTTTTAGACTGCTGAAGTTGACCAGACTGACCTGTCATTGATTTCTTGTTGTCTCTGTTTAACTTTTGTCTTTTGAGAGCTGCCAGACTGTATGATGGTCTCTGCCAGCTGGTTGATGCCGTCCAGCCGACCTTTGTTGGCGGCCAGACTGGTCAGCAGGTTCTTTGGAAGACAGGTGAGATGGTTGACAGTGGGGATGGTTGACAGGTGAGATGGTAGACAGGTGAGATGGTTGACAGGTGAGATGGTTGACAGGTGAGATGGTTGACAGGTGAGATGGTTGACAGGTGAGATGGTTGACAGGTGAGATGGTTGACAGGTGAGAGGGTTGACCGGTGAGATGGTTGACAGGTGAGATGGTTGACAGGTGAGAGGGTTGACAGGTGAGAGGGTTGACCGGTGAGATGGTTGACAGGTGAGATGGTTGACAGGTGAGATGGTTGACAGGTGAGATGGTTGACAGGTGAGATGGTTGTCAGTGGGGATGGTTGACAGGTGAGATGGTTGACAGGTGAGATGGTTGACAGGTGAGATGGTTGACAGGTGAGATGGTTGACAGGTGAGATGGTTGACAGGTGAGAGGGTTGACCGGTGAGATGGTTGACAGGTGAGATGGTTGACAGGTGAGAGGGTTGACAGGTGAGAGGGTTGACATGGGAGATGGTTGACATGGGAGATGGTGGACAGGTGAGATGGTTGACATGGGAGATGGTTGACAGGTGAGAGGGTTGACAGGTGAGAGGGTTGACATGGGAGATGGTTGACAGGTGAGATGGTTGACAGGTGAGATGGTTGACAGGTGAGATGGTTGTCAGGTGAGATGGTTGACAGGTGAGATGGTTGACAGGTGAGATGGTTGACAGGTGAGATGGTTGACAGGTGAGATGGTTGACAGGTGAGATGGTTGTCAGTGGGGATGGTTGACAGGTGAGATGGTTGACAGGTGAGATGGTTGACAGGTGAGATGGTTGACAGGTGAGAGGGTTGACCGGTGAGATGGTTGACAGGTGAGATGGTTGACAGGTGAGATGGTTGTCAGTGGGGATGGTTGACAGGTGAGATGGTTGACAGGTGAGATGGTTGACAGGTGAGATGGTTGTCAGTGAGGATGGTTGACAGGTGAGATGGCTGACAGGTGAGATGGTTGGCAGGTGAGATGGTTGACAGGTGAGATGGTTGACAGGTGAGATGGTTGACAGGTGAGATGGTTGACAGGTGAGATGGTTGTCAGTGGGGATGGTTGACAGGTGAGATGGTTGACAGGTGAGATGGTTGACAGGTGAGATGGTTGACAGGTGAGATGGTTGTCAGTGGGGATGGTTGACAGGTGAGATGGTTGACAGGTGAGATGGTTGACAGGTGAGATGGTTGACAGGTGAGATGGTTGACAGGTGAGATGGTTGACAGGTGAGATGGTTGACAGGTGAGATGGTTGACAGGTGAGATGGTTGACAGGTGAGATGGTTGACAGGTGAGATGGTTGACAGGTGAGAGGGTTGACCGGTGAGATGGTTGACAGGTGAGATGGTTGACATGGGAGATGGTTGACATGGGAGAATGTTGTCAGATTATCAGCTGGAGACATTTTTTTTAAACAGGGAAATAACTGTGTTTGGTGAAATTATTGTGCAGATATTTGTCAGAGATCTGTTACAGTTTTTGTGATGCATACATTGTCAGATTAAATAAACTAATGTTTACCAAATGTTTAAGTGATGCTAACTCAGATTTGTGTGCTAAATGTTTATGTCACTTCACATATTTAAACTAATGTGTTTGTTACCTCAGATTTGTGTGCTAAATGTTTATGCCACATACTTAAACTAATGTCTTTGTTACCTCAGATTTGTGTGCTAAATGTTAATGTCACATATTTAAACTAATGTGTTTGTTACCTCAGATTTGTGTGCTAAATGTTTATGTCACATACTTAAACTAATGTCTTTGTTACCTCAGATTTGTGTGCTAAATGTTAATGTCACATATTTAAACTAATGTTTTTGTTACCTCAGATTTGTGTGCTAAATGTTTATGTCACATATTTAAACTAATGTTTTTGTTACCTCAGATTTGTGTGCTAAATGTTTATGTCACATATTTAAACTAATGTTTTTGTTACCTCAGATTTGTGTGCTAAATGTTTATGTCACATATTTAAACTAATGTTTTTGTTACCTCAGATTTGTGTACTAAATGTTTATGTCACATATTTAAACTAATGTTTTTGTTACCTCAGATTTGTGTGCTAAATGTCACTTCACATATTTAAACTAATGATTTTGTTACCTCTAATTTTTTCTTCACAGCTTCCATGTCTTCAGCCAGACTTTCTTTACTGTTGAGTAGAACTTCCTGAGGAGGAGATTTTATCATTGGGTGTGTTGCATCCCAGATATTCTTATCTTATCAGTGTGTATAAGTTGTCATCTTTAGCCATGACATCTAACAAACATGACATCCAACATGACAAAATATCCAACATGACAAAACATCCAACATGACAAAACATCCAACATGACAAAACATCCAACATGACAAAACATCCAACATGACAAAACATCCAACATGACAGAAAACATACAACATGACACAAAACATCCAACATGACAAAACATCCAACATGACATAAAACATCCAACATGACACAAAACATCCAACATGAACACAAAACATCCAACATGACACGCCACCTTGTCTTTCATCCAAGACTCGAACTCGTTACATTCACTGAAGAAATGGAAAAGCTTTACTGCATCATCCAGACTCACTTTCCTTGCCTGTAAAAAAAAGGTTTAGTTTTTTATATATTTTTTATTCAAAATAGAAAGTGTCTTATTTGAGAGTTACCTGAGAAAGTGTCTTGAAGTGAGAGTTACCTGAGAAAGTGTCTTGAAGTGAGAGTTACCTGAGAAAGTGTCTTGAAGTGAGAGTTACCTGAGAAAGTGTCTTGAAGTGAGAGTTACCTGAGAAAGTGTCTTATTTGAGAGTTACCTGAGAAAGTGTCTTATTTGAGAGTTACCTGAGAAAGTGTCTTGAAGTGAGAGTTACCTGAAAAAGTGTCTTATTTGAGAGTTACCTGAGAAAGTGTCTTATTTGAGAGTTACCTGAGAAAGTGTCTTGAAGTGAGAGTTACCTGAGAAAGTGTCTTGAAGTGAGAGTTACCTGAGAAAGTGAGAAAGTGTCTTATTTGAGAGTTACCTGAGAAAGTGTCTTGAAGTGAGAGTTACCTGAGAAAGTGTCTTATTTGAGAGTTACCTGAGAAAGTGTATTGAAGTGAGTTACCTGAGAAAGTGTCTTATTTGAGAGTTACCTGAGAAAGTGTCTTGAAGTGAGTTACCTGAGAAAGTGTCTTGAAGTGAGAGTTACCTGAGAAAGTGTCTTGAAGTGAGAGTTACCTGAGAAAGTGTCTTGAAGTGAGAGTTACCTGAGAAAGTGTCTTGAAGTGAGAGTTACCTGAGAAAGTGTCTTATTTGAGAGTTACCTGAGAAAGTGTCTTGAAGTGAGAGTTACCTGAGAAAGTGTCTTGAAGTGAGAGTTACCTGAGAAAGTGTCTTGAAGTGAGAGTTACCTGAGAAAGTGTCTTATTTGAGAGTTACCTGAGAAAGTGTCTTGAAGTGAGAGTTACCTGAGAAAGTGTCTTATTTGAGAGTTACCTGAGAAAGTGTCTTGAAGTGAGAGTTACCTGAGAAAGTGTCTTGAAGTGAGAGTTACCTGAGAAAGTGTCTTGAAGTGAGAGTTACCTGAGAAAGTGTCTTGAAGTGAGAGTTACCTGAGAAAGTGTCTTATTTGAGAGTTACCTGAGAAAGTGTCTTGAAGTGAGAGTTACCTGAGAAAGTGTCTTGAAGTGAGAGTTACCTGAGAAAGTGTCTTGAAGTGAGAGTTACCTGAGAAAGTGTCTTGAAGTGAGAGTTACCTGAGAAAGTGTCTTGAAGTGAGAGTTACCTGAGAAAGTGTCTTATTTGAGAGTTACCTGAGAAAGTGTCTTGAAGTGAGAGTTACCTGAGAAAGTGTCTTGAAGTGAGAGTTACCTGAGAAAGTGTCTTGAAGTGAGAGTTACCTGAGAAAGTGTCTTATTTGAGAGTTACCTGAGAAAGTGTCTTGAAGTGAGAGTTACCTGAGAAAGTGTCTTATTTGAGAGTTACCTGAGAAAGTGTCTTGAAGTGAGAGTTACCTGAAAAAGTGTCTTATTTGAGAGTTACCTGAGAAAGTGTCTTGAAGTGAGAGTTACCTGAGAAAGTGTCTTGAAGTGAGAGTTACCTGAGAAAGTGTCTTGAAGTGAGAGTTACCTGAGAAAGTGTCTTATTTGAGAGTTACCTGAGAAAGTGTCTTGAAGTGAGAGTTACCTGAGAAAGTGTCTTGAAGTGAGAGTTACCTGAGAAAGTGTCTTGAAGTGAGAGTTACCTGAGAAAGTGTCTTGAAGTGAGAGTTACCTGAGACAGTGTCTACAAGTTACCTGAGAAAGTGTCTTCAAGTTACCTGAGAAAGTGTCAAGTTACCTGAGAAAGCTTGCTGAGTTTAGTGTACTGGTTAGATAACCCTCTCTGCCTGGTCTCAACATTGTCTTTGTCGAAGTGGAGGTTTCCTTTAGAGCGCACTGAAAACAAAAGGTGTCATGTATGGAAACAAATGGTGTCATGTATGGAAAATGTCAACAAAATGTACATGACTTGTACAATAGAAACACACAACGACTACAACATGACCTACCTGAGGGGGCGCGGCGCAGTTTAGCTGATTTCTTCTTCTTTTTCTTGACCACTTCTTTTTTCATAATTGTTTTCTTGACCATGACTTTTTCCGGGACCATGACGGGTTGCTTGACCACCTTCTGGACCACCTTGGGCTCCACTTCCTTCACATAGTTGACCGGGACAAATCCTTCCGAGGCGTCCGCTCTTCTCACTTGCCACCAGTCGTTGTTGGTGCGTTGGAGGAGGATCAGAACCTAACGGGTAGAAGATAAGTGGTGTGGGATCAGAACCTAGCGGGTAGAAGATAAGTGGTGTGGGATCAGAACCTAGCGGGTAGAAGATAAGTGGTGTGGGATCAGAACCTAGCGGGTAGAAGATAAGTGGTGTGGGATCAGAACCTAGCGGGTAGAAGATAAGTGGTGTGGGATCAGAACCTAGCGGGTAGAAGATAAGTGGTGTGGGATCAGAACCTAGCGGGTAGAAGATAAGTGGTGTGGGATCAGAACCTAGCGGGTAGAAGATAAGTGGTGTGGGATCAGAACCTAGCGGGTAGAAGATAAGTGGTGTGGGATCAGAACCTAGCGGGTAGAAGATAAGTGGTGTGGGATCAGAACCTAGCGGGTAGAAGATAAGTGGTGTGGGATCAGAACCTAGCGGGTAGAAGATAAGTGGTGTGGGATCAAAAGCACTGTACTACCAACAGGCACTACATGGTGGTGTAAACACAAACACACACACACAAATACACACACACACACTGGTGGTGCCGACTTTCACAATGAGTATCCGTGTCGCCTGATGACGTCACCAAACACGACATGGCCTGATGACGTCACCAAACACGACATGGCCTGATGACGTCACCAAACACGACATGGCCTGATGCCATAAGATCAAATATCAAATCTATCTGATGACCCTCAGCGAGTTAAAGGAGAAATCAATAACCCCACACAGCCCATTGAAATGATAAATTGTTGTGCCAGCCCTCATTGATTAGGCCGTGGGCAGCGTCAGGTGTTGTACCCAGAGGTCATCAGGGGGTGGGGGGTGGGGGGGGGGGGGGGCAGCGTCAGGTGGTGTACCCAGAGGTCATCAGGGGGTGGGGGGGACAGCGTCAGGTGTTGTACCCAGAGGTCATCAGGGAGGGTGACGTCAGATGGTACCCAGAGGTCATCGGAGGGTGGGCAGCGTCAGATGGTGTACTCAAAGGATTGGAAGATCTTAGAGGGTCAGCCAAAATATTTCACCAATCCACTGTTTCTTATGTAAACTGGCTAATGAAAGGGAAGTGGCGTCGCTAGATCGGGTGTCACCCGGTGCGGCACTCATAGAGTCACCCCCCTCCACCAAAATATATAAATATAAATAAATAAATAAATAAATTTATATATATATATATATATATATATATATAGCATTTATATATATATATATATAGCATTTATATATATATATATATATATATATATATATATATATATATATATATATATATATATATATATATATATATATATATATATATATATATATATATATATATATATATATATATATATATATATATATATATATATATATCATTTATATATATATATAGCATTTATATATATATATATATATATATATATATATATATATATATATATATATATATATATATATATATATATCATTTATATATATATATATATATATATATATATATATATATATATATATATATATATATATATCATTTATATATATATATAGCATTTATATATATATATATATATATATATATATATATATATATATATATATATATATATATATATATATATAATTTACTGGGTGTGGGTTGTAGTGTGGGTTGTAGTGTAGATAGAATGTTTGCTGGACTTATGGCTGGCTGTATCAAGCCCCCCACCCCCACTCCTTTCCCCTCCACCCCCCCCCCCCCCCCCACCCTCAATGCTTTCCGCTCCCCCTCCCAATTTTACATATTTTTTTTACAAAATATCTCTTCAAATTGGGGGAGGGGGAGGGGGATCACCTCTACTGCTCCTACTGACCCAACAAGTCTGGAGCCGTTCTTAAGATTTGAACAAAGCTTCATTAGATAAGACTGGACTCACTGGAGCTGTATTAGGGGAGATATCGACCAAAGCCGTGTGAATGCACGTGCATCAAGAAGCTGACTACTCACACCATAATTTGATCGTATTACACTCAGGAAAAAACCAAGTGTTCATTCATGGGCAAGGGCTGTCTTTGATTGGTCAATATATGGTTTCACTACATGGCTAACACCGCCTTCATTTTATTTGCAACGAGGGGAGGTAACCAGCATGAAGATTGCACGCAGATAGCAGTCACCCTGCGAGTGGCCTCCCTTCTCATTTCGATGGTTTCAGAGAAGAATTTTTTTTTAATGATTTTTTTTTATTTCGGAGATTTAGTTTTAAAATATGGAAAGGATTATTGGATGTAACTGTATTATGTCAAACCAAATACCAATTTTTTTTTAAATAAGCGCGACAGCTCTATAAAATTAAGAGTAGGATAAAGGCGCAGTAGAGAGGAATAAATCTGGTGATTGTTTGAAAGTTCAGGAGATATGCACAAGAAAGGATATTCAACTAGTCTACATGCACGTCCACAGGAGTGTTTGTCTAGTCGGCCAAGTAAGTTATAAACAAAATATATACTATACAGTGGCTGTGACTGTTGTATGGCTGTGACGGTTATGGCTGTGACGGCAACTTATATGGCTGTGACTATGGCTGACGTATATGACTGTGACGGCAACTTATATGGCTGTGACTATGGCTGACGTATATGACTGTGACGGCAACTTATATGGCTGTGACTATGGCTGACGTATATGACTGTGACGGCAACTTATATGGCTGTGACTATGGCTGACGTATATGACTGTGACGGCAACTTATATGGCTGTGACTATGGCTGACGTATATGACTGTGACGGCAACTTATATGGCTGTGACTATGGCTGACGTATATGACTGTGACGGCAACTTATATGGCTGTGACTATGGCTGACTTAGCTGTATGGCAGCTACTGTGGTATAGCAGTGCCAGGAGTATAACTGTCGCTAGTTTTCGGTTAAAATAGTTTTCACGTCTATGCCCACAGTATGCTGTGTAAGAGGTCGGGGGTAATTAAAGTTGTTCATTAGTTGATACATTAGTCCCGAGCATCGCATGTCCCTAAAAAAATCTCGTATGTTTTTAAAACAATGTTGATTTCGTTATTTTAAAATCTTTAAGTGTTTGACACTTCAGTGCGGGTCACATCATTCAACTGGTTTTTGTCTTTTGTTGTATTTCATTTCTAAAGTAAATTTTAGTTCCTTCACACGAGAGCGACATTTACGGAGTGTAACTAGAATGTGGCTGTGTCGAAATTCTGAGAAGCCAACCCTCATTACGTAATGCTCTCTGGACACTGTCTCGCATTTCAACACTAAGCGCTTCATACCGTGTCATACCACAGCAGACGATCCTAATCCTAACGGTACCATGGGCAGTTATACAAGTCTTGAAAAGACAAGGATATGTCTTTATAATATTAGCTGAAATATTGCAACATCTTTAGGATTTCACAAGTGTGTGGGCCTACACAAGTGTGTGGGCCTAGTGTGTGGGCCTACACAAGCCGAATGTAGTTTCTGTGATATTTTTTAGTTAGTGCCCACGCAAGAGCTTGCGTTACGTTAAATGGTTGAAAAGTATTTCATTCATATGTGTTGCTTGACAGACTTAATACGACTTCGTACAGTGATTACAATTTACAATCAGGTTCGTATATATTTGTATCCAGTAAGTTTTTTCACTTTTTTCTATCGCGTTTTCTTAGTGCCTAAAGTAGCCAAACAAGTTGTTTCAAATGTTGTTAACGTTTTTGTTGCAGACATCTGCTCAGGACCTAACCTACAGCACCACCAGCAGCGTGTTGGAGCCCAGTTCAGTGCGACAACAACACAGTTTTCATGTCCAGCGACAACAACGGGTCAGTCAATCTCGGGGTGGATGAGGTCAGATCGACGGCAGAAATTGTGGTGTGGTCAGCAGTTCTGGTCACCATCTTGGTGCTGTCCTTCGTTGGGAACCTGGTGGTGATCGCCGGCGTGAGGCTGCACCACCGTCTGCGCGAGGAGAGGGCCAACATCTTCATCGTCAACCTCAGCATCACTGACATGGCCAGCGCCCTCGTTGTCATGTCCAGCTCACTGCACGCGCTGGCCGCTGACCAGTGGCAGCTGGGCCAGGTCTGGTGTGATGTCGTCTGCGCCGCCAACTACACCCTGATCATCGTCTCCATGACGACCTTGTGCTTCATCTCGCTGGACAGGTACATGGCGGTGGTCCACGCCCTACACTACCACAGGAGGGTCACCCAGGCCCGGATCTACGGGCTCATCACATTCGCCTGGCTCCAGGGCCTCAGCTTCGGCGCGGCTCCCATGCTGGCCCACTGGGTTAAGTACGACTACTGGGAGATCGTCTGCGCCATACAGTGGCACACTGACCACACGCACACACTGACCTACGTGCTGGTGGCTTTCATCGTCTGCTTCCTCACGCCCGGGGTTGTCTTAATATTTGCCTACAGTAAGGTCAGTTGTAGGTTATAAGGTCAGTCGTTTGTGTGGTTCTTGTAGGTTATAAGGTCAGTCGTTTCTGTGGTTCTTTTAGGTTATAAGGTCAGTCGTTTGTGTGGTTGTTGTAGGTTATAAGGTCAGTCGTTTGTGTGGTTCTTGTAGGTTATAAGGTTAGTCGTTTGTGTGGTTCTTGTAGGTTATAAGGTCAGTCGTTTGTGTGGTTCTTGTAGGTTATAAGGTCAGTCGTTTGTGTGGTTGTTGTAGGTTATAAGGTCAGTCGTTTGTGTGGTTCTTGTAGGTTATAAGGTTAGTCGTTTGTGTGGTTCTTGTAGGTTATAAGGTCAGTCGTTTGTGTGGTTCTTGTAGGTTATAAGGTCAGTCGTTTGTGTGGTTGTTGTAGGTTATAAGGTCAGTCGTTTCTGTGGTTCTTTTAGGTTATAATAAGCTCTTACACTCAAAGCAGTCAAGTTCTTCAATCTAAATGGTTTTAGCGGATTCGTTGGGTTCAAAGGGCAAACGTATCCAATAAAACACATCAAAAAAGGTTTTAATTAAAAGTCTTCAATTAAAATGATTATTCGGATTATGGCGTGTAGAAATCAATGACATGCGCAGTTCTCCGTTAACACAGGGCGGGTAAG